TAAAATTATTATGCAAATTAGTTGCTGAACAATTAGCTGGACACTCATTTCATTTGCGATTTCCTCATGCGGCCGTCTAATAGATTTACACCTTGCCATCATCTCACGGTCCATTGTCTTCGTTTCCAGCTCACTTGTCTGCAAATGCGACACTTTTGATTCACACTTTGATTGGTTTACCGCATCGCATGGGCGATTCAATAACCACAGATCTGAGATCACATGATGCCAGTCAATGAAAGGCCAACAAAGTTGCCTTATGGCTAATTTCAATAGCGATTAAAAATGCGATCAATTGCTATTTTCCAGCAAAACGGTTGCTTTTATAACTCTATTGATTTGAATATACAGTTTATGGCTCATTGAATTGCTGATGTGGGCGTGTAAAATGGTTAATTTGTCTCGAGCACGCTTCGATGATAATTTTCCAGAATATTTTCCCAACTGGTTCCGGCATATGTAATGCATTTTACGAGACGCGCCCCCCTTTAACAAATTTTTCGCTGCAGTTGAACGAACTTTTGAGAGTTGAAAACCAAAAGAAAAAAAACACATAAAAAACAAACCTTTATTTGATATTTTGTGTTGAGCTTTTAATTAGACAGCTTTTTGTTTTTATTCGATGGGCCAAAAAGCTTTGATAGAAAATGTGTGTCCCCGATGCATCGTTCACCTGTCTTTCGGTCGGTCACTCTCTCATTTTCTCTGGTGAATCAAAAGAGAGAGAGAGAGAGTAAATTTCAAAGATCGCTGGCGACTTCTCAACTTTAATCTCAGTATAATATCAACCCTCGGGCCCGGTGGTTGTCTGTCTCTGTCTCTCGGCCGATCGATCGTAGTTTTATATATGCCCAAAAGTTGTCAACTGTCAAATCACGAAAGAGAAGGAGAAGAGGCGAAACGAAAAGAAAATCGAGAAAACAAATTGGAATACTTTTCGAAACAAGTCGCGTGTCAACGTAATTACTTTATATGTTTGCAAAGTGCGTGTGTAAATATGTGTATATATGGGTAAATGGGTGCACAGAAAGAAAATTAGACTGATTCTTAATTTTAATATGTTAAAATCAAACTACACTGATGAAAATTAACTTAAATCTTATAATACCCTTGGAATTTGTTACCAAAATCAACTTTAAAGCAAGCAATCATAAAGTAATGAAAATTTCTTCCTGTGCACCTGTGGCAGCCTCCAAAATTGCAATCGGAATGCACATTAAAAGCAAAATCGACTTTTAAATCACGGCTCGTTAATTATCACGCCTAGCTGCCAAACCTAAAAGTAAACATGAGAAAAATCCAACATTTTTAGTCGAGAAAATACAAAAAAAAAAAAAAAAAAAAAAAAAATAAAAACAAGATAAATTATAATATATAAACATTGCCTTTATGTGTACATAGTCTCGTGCGTTGCGTTCGGTTGTTCAATGGTCAGTCACTCGATCAGTCAGTCAATGCTATATGGTTAATGACAGTGCGTTGCGCATACGCCATGTGGTCTGTGCAAAAGGCGCTTAAACTGAGATTTATTGGTGTTTTAAAAGGAGATTTTGTTTGAAATAAATATAAATTTTGAGTTTTATTTTTACCAGTGTAATTTCAGTTTAAATACACATTTTTATAGTAGCCTGTAGTTGCAGAAATAAATAAAACGGGGCTAAGAGAACGATTAATATAAACAGCACACTGTTTGTTTACACTGATTTTCTAGAGCAAACAGTTGCCGCAACAATCGCAACTGAATGAATTGTGGAGGTTTTCGTTGTTGCTTTTCATTCGCCATTTTAATGAAATGCTAAATTATGCCCATAATAAAAGAAACGTGCTGTATTTAATAAAACACACGGCGGGCACAAAAAAATATCGAATAAATAAAAAATCGACCCCACTGAACGGAATGTATAAAATCGAAATGAATACGATAAAGTGCAATATGAGTAAATAAAGGCCTAAACCAGTTTAACGGCAGCATTAAAAAAAAAAAAAAAAACGGAGCTTAAAGGGGAGAAAAACGAAATACATTCTGTGCCAGGCTCAAAGAAGGCGTCTATAGCAGTTAACACGGCAATAACTTAATTAATTTCCCTTATTGTTGGGACACGGCAAAGGCTCGTGGTTTGGTTTAAATCAGATCGATTCACACCAACAGGGCACCACCCCCAAAGCCGCCCACTTATGTGCTGTATATATATCCTATTAAATGGAATGCCAATTAATACCCATTGGCGAATCCATCCCCCAAATAACGCCAGGCGAGATATGGGGATAGCAAAGGTCGCCCGTCATGTGGCTCGTCCCTCGAAAATTCTGAAATATATGACTGGTGCTAATTGACAAATAGCTAGCTCACGACCGATCGATCGGTCGATCGTTCCGATCCAAGATATTTATAGCGCGTGCTAAACAATCTGAACAATCTGGCAGAGGCAGTGCAGGCTCGTTGACTTTGCTCTCTCTGAAGCCCGAATCCGAAACCGTAACCGAACCCGATCTCGATCCCGAACCCTTTATTTAATTATTCTCAAAAATGCGCTGAGGGGAAGGCATATAATTTGGACAGATGTGATATAGTTGAAGATATATTTGCCGATTTGATTTGGTTGAGGTTTATAATAATTTAAATAAATCAATTCGAGGAAATAAATAAATTTGTTTTAAGTATTATCAAGCGGTTTACCGCAATTTACAAGTTGTCAAAAATTTTGTATTTTTATTTCCAAGAATAAATAATTATTACCAATTTCTGTTTATGGTTATAAGGTTATATATTTGTTCTTAATTTTTGCTACCTTTATGACTCATTAGGTTAAAATTTGCAAAATAAAAATTGTTTATTAAATAGTAAGTAGTATTATGATTATTAGTCACTTCTATTAGAAGTGTAATGACTTACCTTCATATGCAAATATGACACAATTTCCTATAAAATCTTTCTGGCAATGTTAAGATCAAATTAAAGCGACACTTTTCCGCCAGATCCGAAGGTTTTTCCTCAGGTGGATTCCCAAACTCTTGTCATTTATGTTTTTGGGCTTGCCGTCTGTTTTGGCCCACAATGACGCCGCCTTGTTGGGCGATGCAATTAAGCCGAAAAAACGCTGACAATTTGGAAGGGTAAAAAGCGACATAGGGGAGAGGGCCACTACTGGTTGACAACAATAACAACATTAATCTGCAGTTTGCCAAAATGAAAAGCGTTGTCAAATTAAATTTAGCTGCAGCCGGCAATTGTTTTTGCCATCGACCGTTGGGGTTGGCAAGCGAAGCAGCAGCAGAGCAGCAGCAGCAATGCCGTCAGAGGGGAAAATGTAATAAATTGCACTTGCAATTGCAATTGCAATTGCAATTTGCAATTTGCATGACCAGAATGTGTTTTTGTTGCCGCTAACCTTTCGCTGTGGCCCCTTCAACACGGTTTTCCTTCCTTCAATTCGATTCTGCTTAATTCTATTGTTGGTTTCCTATTGCTAAAAATTCTAGATTAGATCATGTCACAATTATTTCTGGTCCTTCTGTTTTGTTTGTTGATTTCGAGTTAAAGATAGCGCAGAGGATTAAAAGATTCACTCTTAGCTCTTTGGCCCAGTGATACAATTATTAACTCTTAATAATTTATGAGAATTAAATATTGGTTTCGGCAAGTCACGTTAATCTAAGATAAGTGGAAGCTCACGATGTTCTTAATAAACTACGTCAATTACTTTTGAATTTAATCAAATAGTTAATTGATTATTGCACCCTCTGTGTTTTCATTTTCTACAAAGTTATAATCTCTGATCGCACTGATCCATAAAGATTGCGATGCAAACGTTATCTGTAAACGTAATTTCTTTATGGCCACTTCAGGTAATACCAATTACCAGCCATTTAGGCTCTGATAGCGTATTTTGGTAGACTTTTTATGGGCACCTTGACTGATTTGGAAAGACTTTTACCTTACCCCACCACGAAACCTATAACTAGAGATGAAGAATTGCGCAAATTGTTTGCGTTATATATATATAGGAGGTGTGGTTCCCACCAACGCAGATCTATATCTTTATATCTGTTCTCAAAGGTGTTTTGGGGCAGCACTTAAGTGTCGCCAGAATTCTTGGCAATCCCTCGCTCATAAATATATATAAAATATCCTATAAAATCTGATACAGCCAAGTCAAAGATAATTGCCATCACCCTATATACGTTTTTGTTGGGGTTTTTCTTTCATTTTTCTTGTATATTTATTTTTTGAACAATTTTGGTTAATTAATCATTGGCTCGGTGGCATCTGTGAGTGTCGTGAAAAGCGTTTTTCCCAATGGCCAATGGCCACGCGTTGTTTGTTTTTCCCCTTTTGTATTTATACTTTTCTGGTATAAACAAATGGCTGACTTGGCTTAAGTTTTATTTTATTTTATTTTATTTCGCCTGACGAAACATGTGAAAATTCAATTTGTGAAGAGGCTAAAAAAAGATGGGCGGATGAGGTGGAAAAGTAAAAACAACATCAACCCACGGAAAGTGTGTTGAAATGCGTTGAAGAAAAGGCATCACGTGAGGTGTTTGAGAAATGTAGATTCAGTTTTGTACTTTGTATTAGTATATATAGTATCTCGATCTGTTAGAAATGGGGTCTATGGGTCGTATGATTAATGTAAATGATCGTAACTGAAAAGATGAACTTGAAAGAGGCATCAAAATTAGCAGCTTCTTGTTAGTTAGTTCTCTGAAAATATCTTTGTGTGACTCATTAGCGTTTGCCTCTTGCGAAGAGTCGTTTTTTGTTTCTGATAGATTGACCGATATTATCTATTAGCTTTCCTGTTCAAATCTAAGAAGCTCTTCCTTACCCCTTGCACTTTTACGCAGAATTTCTCCAAAAATATTCTCCCATAAATATTTGTAGTTTAGATTTATTTCTCTTTCCCTTTCCTTTTCCTTTGTTAAAGCAAATTCTTTCCTCAAAACTAATTTCCCAATCCGTTCCGAAAAATAGAAAAATTCCACTTACTCTGAGGTTACGCCATAAATTTGATTTTGTGTTATAAAAATTTTCCGCGCCATCTTGCCAAGCGTGTATAGGTAGCTGGAAAAATGGTCATAAATTAATGTTACGTATACGCAGCGAATGCCAGAGAATTCTTTTCTTTTCTTGCCTGGGATTTTCCAAGCTCTGCAACCGCCATCCGCTTACGAAATTTCCCACAAAGGCTATTTATAAAAGGTATTTACACTAGATTTGGATGTTTTCCTTGCCGCTATTCTCCTCTTTTTGCTTTGAGAGCGAGGAAGAACAACAGAAAACAGCTGTTTGCTCAATGGCGCCCGATAGTAAAATGCACAAACAAACAAACAAACAACGGAGAATAGGAGAGAAAAAAGAAAGCAAAAATAAATCAGAAAATAGAATAGAGAAGAGCAGAGCAAAAACCCCATGAAAAAGCTTCATTGCAAAGCTTGCACGCGCCAGGTTTTTCGATCGCTCTTTGGTTTTATTTTTGTTTTTTTTTTTGTGTATTTCGCGGGAGCTTTCATTGAGAAAGAGGGGGCCTACGGAATGAAACCGGCCTGTACGCCGGAAAATATCTGAGAACCCCGAACGCATCCGAACGCTCCGCACGTCAAAAATCCGTTCGAGAAATCTGACTCCCGGCGAATACTTCAATTTTCTTCGCTTCGAAAATGATCGAGAATATCGCGCGGGATGCTTAATGATTTTGTTCAACCCTCGTAAAGAAAAAAAAAAAAAATTATTAAAATTAATTTGTCGATTTTATACAAAAAACACAGAGAGCCAGCGAAAGATGTGAACTGAAAATTTAAATGTTAAATGTGCTGCAAATTAAATTCAAGTGCTGCCGGCGTCGCTGCTCGGGCGACAGCAAATTGCAGATCGCAATAAATTAAAACAATAAAAGGCAGCACGTCAGGGCACAGAGGAGAGTGTATAAAAAAATACAAAAATTAAGCAAGACAAAAGCAAAAAACGAGAGAGACTGAAATCTACATAAATGATGTCGTTCTCGGTGCCAAAAAAGCGAGTGAACAAACAAAAATTCAAATAAAAAACATCAACAAAATAGTAATAAAATTAAGGCCTTATAACGATCAGCCTGTGTAAATCGAACAAAATAAAAATAATAAAAACCAAAAACATAAACTGAACGAAGGGAGAGAGTCGCGAAAATATAGTGTGAAAAATGGTTGGCAAAGTCTTGGGCATCAAAGACTTGGAGCAGTTCAGTAGCCGGCGCAGCAGTGTCTACGTCGATCCCGAGTGCGACAAGTTCTTCGAGCTGCCGCTCTTCATTGCGGCCAGCTCGAACGACATCACCACCAAATGCCAGTGCTTCCAGTTCAGTCCAGGTAATAAAAAACAGAGTTCAAAGCACAAGGCCAAAACGGGAGAGTAATAAAAATGATTATAGTTTAATCCCAACTTAGTTTGTGTTAGAACTTTGTTTAAGGGAGAGTGAAATATGTGACTAAAAAGTTGATTTAAACTCTAAGAATTTCCATGTTCTATAAAACCCAAATTATAAATATCAAAACATCTTCACAGCTCTTAAAAATCCCATTAAATTATTTCGAAATTTCTTGAAAAACAGTTCTTAAAAACTAAAAATTTCCTTTCCGTTCTTTCAACACTTCCACCATTAACCTTGCTTAGATAATTTCCCAAAAAATTATGAATAAAATATCAGAAAATCTCAAACTTGACCTAATTTTGTATTTATAAAATTTCATAAAATTTCGAATTTATTTCAAATTGTTTTCTTGTATTTCTCCAGTTACAACCTCGAATTATCATCATTTGCCTTGAACAGATTTTCTTGTTTACCAAACATTCACGAAATAATATGTAAATTTAGCTCCAAAATAAAACTTAATTCGGTAATAAAAAATGTATGAAAAAATAACAACAAAAAACAAAACAGAAAATCGATCATCTGCGGAAATAAAAGTGTTTTATTTTCCCGAAAATTCCCAGGTGAAGTGGAAAACAATGAATGATATTTTCGTGTGTGATATGATAATGAATAATATTAAAGGCGATAAAAGCTTCAAATGCCAAAAGGAAATGATATCCGCTATGTGGTCTCTCTCTGCCTCTCGTTATAATTGCAGTTTTAATTGCAATACGTTTTGCGCTCTTAATCAGATTGCTTAAGCGTACTTAATCGTATTTAAAATATGTGAATAAATTGCTAGTGATAGCTGATAGTGTTCGTAAACTGACATAATATCCAATTATGATGTAGTTTTTCTGTTTTTTGTTTTCGTTTTTGCCCACAAATGCAATTGATTGCGTTGATAGGAAAATTACTGCTGCATCTGTTGAGTGGAAATGTGGAAATGGAATGTTGAGAGCAGTCTCCATGGTGACGATATACATCGCAGTATTTCCATATTGGTTGTTCGAACAAAAAAATGCAAATGGATCCGCTAGAGAGATGCTGTAGATGGGGATTAATTACCCCCACAAGCAAAGCCTCACTCAATTATACCAGTTTTTATGGTTATTATACCCGTTACTCGTAGAGTAAAAGGGTATACTAGATTCGTTGAAAAGTATGTAACAGATAGAAGGAAGCGTTTGCGACCCTATAAAGTATATATATTCTTGATCAGGATCAATAGCGAAGTCGATTGAGCCATGTCCGTCTGTCCGTCCGTCCGTCCGTCCGTCCGTCCGTCCGTCCGTCCGTCCGTCCGTCCGTCCGTCCGTCCGTCCGTCCGTCCGTCCGTCCGTATGAACGCTGAGATCTCAGGAACTACAACAGTTACAAAGTTGAGATTAACCATGAAGATTCTTGAGGTCCCGGGACAGCGCAAGTTTATTACAACATCCTGCCACGCCCACTCTAACGCCCACAAATCGCAAAAAACTAAAATTGCTGAAATCTCAGGAACTATTGCAGTTAGAAAGTTGAAATTCAGAAAGTATAATCTTTAGATGCCAGCGCATCTTAACGTGGTACAACTATCCGGCCACACCCACCCATACGCCCACACGGCTCAAAAGACGGTTTTCGGATTTTCTAGAAAAGCTGATATCTCGGTAACTATAAAACATAAAAATTTCGCATTAAGCATGTAGGTTTCTTTAATGCTCCCAATGCGAATTGTTTTTTTCCGATCAAGCCACGCCCACTATAACGCCCACAAAACCCGAAAAACCAAAAATGCAAAAATCTCGAAAACTATAAAATCTACACAATTTAGCTTAGCAACACGTATTAAGGAGATGCCTCTGCAACTTGCCACGAAATTGCATCCAGCCACGCCCAGTCTAACGCCCACAAACCGCGGAAAACTGTGGCGTCTATAATATTATTATGAATGCCTTCGTTTGACCTCGTGTAACTTATTTCTGTTAATATCTATCGATTTACCAAAGATTTTTCAAATCGGAACATTATTTCGCTGTTTATAAAGAAATTAAGTTATAAGGCCTTACATGGGGAGTGACGTCACTATAACCATACTCAACATACTTCCTCTGACAATAGGTGGCGCATTATGAATTTCCACTAGCAAAATAATATTTTAAAATTTTGTAAAACAGTAACGGGTATCTTATAGTCGCGGCACTCGACTATAGCGTTTCCTCTTGTTGTTATTGCATTTGTTGCAATCACTATATATACCCTATATATATACCCCATATCTTATCGCTTCTGAGCAATTTGATAGTGCTAGTTGCAGTTTTATTGGCCTAATGGTGAGAGATTTTCATTTTTTAGCTACATTCTAAGCACTTTTTAAATTGCTATTAATGGCGAGTGAGCAAATAAATCAGTGGGGTGTTAGTGTATATATATCTGATTTATAGAGCGATATTGATATGACGCTGACTGGCGCTATATTCCTGGATTTCTAGCTTATCAGCAGCTATCGCCGATAAGAGCGGGGCATGCAAAAATCGATCAGCTGTCGCTGCCTGTAATGAGACATGTCCACAGTGCAATCAATTACCCCCACGCCGATAGCTAATCAATATGGCAGCCACGATGAGGTTCAGTGTAGCATTGAGGTGGCCATGGAGGGTGGAGTGTGCTGGCTCTGGGGATGTCCTACATACGCAGTTGACCAGCTGACCGGGCTGATAGTCGATCTACGGCTGTCGCCTAATTGACACATCTGCTTGAAAACCTGAGGGGGGTATATAGAATGTAGCGTCTATATTCGTTAGAGTCAACAATTTTATTAGGGTTCTGGATAATTTGTGTTAATTTTGTTAATTTCACCTCAAAAATAAGTATTTTCGGTTTTAAAAATAAATCCATTTCGAAAAACGTAACTCGTTTAATTAGCAACAAAATTAAGTTATTAACTGAAAACGTAATCAGTTAATTTATTAATTGCAAAAACGTAATATCAGCACTTAAGTAGCAGACAGATAGTTGCACTTCTAATGCCCTTGCTTACTGAATGAGTAATTTCTGAGAGTTTTATTTCAAATCAGCAAAAATAATGATAGATAATGCAAGTTTGTGGAGAGATCTATTGATTTTTCTACTAGTTTACCAAGATATTAACAGATAGAAGCTCTTAATGTGGCTAATTCCTAACTAGAAAGTTTCCCAAAAACAAAAACTCCCCTCAAGAGTTCATAAATTCCAGCCACTTGATAGTTTTAATTTGTGGGAAATTTTAGGCTTCGGCGAAACATTATGAAAACTAGTCCAGAAACCAAAAATGTGAGCAAAGGCCAATAAAATTATGGCCAGGCATGTTCATCATAAGTAAATATAATACTTTTTATCAATGCTCCACTTATCAGATGCACTTTCTCAAGTATTTTATTTTGACCACTCGAGGCGTGAGTAATGTCGCTGCCTAACACACAAAATTTAACTACTTATCGATCGCTTTTCACAAGTATTTTTATATCTTGAGCTGTTGTGTTGGTCTAAAGCGCCTCGCGACTTTGATGATAGTGGAGAAGGTTCCTTTGGCACTGCCATTTGAATGGTTTTTGTTCCATGGAGCGGTGATAACCTCAAGAACCTCGATTCTTGGCCACAACGAATAACAATCGTGTCATATGATTGGCCGTGTGAAGTGCCAGAAATACCGAAAACGGCAGCCTCGACCACTTGAGGTCTCTAAATGTGTTTTTAGATCTACAATCTGCATGACCAGGGGATAAGTTTGAGTTAATGACCTAACCTAAGTGGGATTAGCTTGAATACTAATCGATTTTAAACTATATTTTTAGACCTGTACTTTAAGTCGCTTTATCAACTGTAAAGTGCAAACATTTTGGGGATTAAATGATAGCTCGTAGTTTGAGATTGTTGACGGCTTTACATGAGGAAGTCAGTTAATAGTTCATATCACTTTTTTTAGACTAAGTATTTCTATTAGTGCCCTATTTATGTTTAATCTCCTCCCACGGAGGACCTCTAATCTAACCCCATGTCTAATCGGTGCTTCCCTATCTTTGTGTTTACAGGCAAAGAGCCGGCACTGCGCTCCTACACCGAGATCCAACAGCTGTTGCAACAGGGCAAGAAACGTGACGTGAAGAACATACTCAGGGAGAACTCGTGGCCCATCAACTCCCCGATCCGATCCCAGCTATGGCCGATGCTGTGTGCCCAGCACCAGACCAAACAGCAAATGCTGGATGGCTTCTACTGGGAGATGGTACATCAGGTTAGTGTCCAATACCATTCATTAACTGGTTTCTATGATGTTTAATATATATTTTCTTGATATTTTAGGTCTTTGGCACCACGGAGCTGTCGGAGAAGCCCATCATGCTGCCCGCCTTTGTGGATGCCACACACTGTTTGCCGTATCACTTGACCAGCACGGGAAGGGCCGTGGCTGATCGGATCGTGAATGTCTTGGGCTACGACTGCCCCGATATTACCTACAGTCCAGTATTGTATCCAATTACATCGATACTTTTGCATTTCATGTCGGGTAAGTTATCGAAATGCCGCGTTTACACTACACTACACACAATCTGTACACTCCAGTCCACTCCACTCCATCGGGCACACGTGAATGTCAATATTTGATCGAGTCATTTTTATCGCCTCTACAAAGCACACAAAAATAAGTGGCACAATTGTAAGGCTCAACGCTTCAGAGACCCCTTGATATATCTGTATAGTCCTATATACTATATATATATGTGATATATATACTATATATAGAGGGGAATCTCGGCTCGTATCGCAGCTGGTTGCAAATTGATGTATCGTGATTTTCTGGCTAATTGATTTGGCCAACATGCAATGAGCCACCAAATAATTTCTAATGTAAATCTTGTTACTCCTTTGTAGGGTCGATACAGTGCAGGACAGTGTTATAAGTCTATCTAGCATTGGCAATTTTAGTTCAATTTTTTGAGCATTAAACTAGTTAGTAGTTCTTATAGATATGGTACTACAGGTTCTTTCCTTTAACTGAATTGATAGTTTTGTAACATTTTCCTTACCCTTCACCCTTACTTCATATATACTTATAGCTCGCACTGTACACCCTCTGTACTTGACCATAGTCAAATGATCAACGTCTAACTGTCTGCTTTAGTTCCGCATTTGTTGTTGCTTTCTGAACACTTTTTTCGTACTACTTTATTATCAGCTAATCACCAGCTCATTGTTGCTGTTGGCGACCCAATAAAAAACTAGAATATTTAACTTACAGTACAGATTGTTTACCCGGAATTTGGTTTCATCCAGTCAGGTGTAGATTTCGGAATGAGTAAAAATTCCGTTGAACTTCTGGTCCATCAATTAATATGGGGAAATTTTGAGTTTAAACGAGATTTTTGCAACCTTCAGAGATCAATTTCGGAAGCTCATCATGGGAAAACGCAAATCACTGAGTTGGAGGCCTATCCTTAGATTAAACTGACAGCTGGTCATGTGCCTGACCCAGTGATAACCTTTCCCTAATTGCGATAATTATTATCAGTTGTAATCTAATCATTGGCAGATGTGTTGAGCCCCCCAAACTGGAATCCAATTTTAGAAATTACGAGACAATCTATCGAAATTTTGTATCTATCAAAGGTTTTAGTCTGGGAATATGCTCTCTCTATAGAAATTATCTCGATTTGGCTTGGAATTTGAAAATATATAGGTAGGCGCCTTATTGTGGGAGCTGCTGATAAGATGATTTTGATGAGGCGGAGGTCAGACGGCTTGTCATTCTGAAGGTTTGTTTACACTGTGCGAAATACTTTTGCCCTCCTTTGTGTCTGTCTGGCAGTCATGAAAATATTCGATTCCGGTCAAGATTTCAAGGCAACTTCTCTACCCCAATGTAATCCGATTTTGTTTAGGTTTTTGGGTGGAAATAAAGTTTGTTTACTTAAAATGTTAGTAATATTTTGAGGAACTGCTTTTTCATTGTTATATTTCTGAAAAACAAATTTCCTTGCCTGACTTTGTAAACCACATTCCCTGCTGTCGTAAACATTGCAAGAAAAGTGCCAGACGGGAGTTGCAATGAAAAGGCTAAATAATGGCCAAAAAGTGTCAAAGCGAAGGGCATTCGAAATGAAATAAAAATGAAAACGAGAGCTGTGTGTTCAATCAACGCATTTCAATATGGAATATATTTTATTGGATTTTTTTCATTTGTGCATTTTCAAGTTCAAGAGTCGCACATAAACAAATGTTTAAAGTGATATGGATAGCCCGTATGCATATGTCGGCCTGTTTGCATTTCGTCGTCGTTGACGTCATTGCAATTCGATTCGGTTTGATTCGTCTTCTTTTGCAATTTGCAAATTTCGCCTTTAGCCACTTAAAGTAAACAGAGCAAAAGCCAGCGAAGAACGCAAATAAACGGAGGGACTTCAAGGCCACATTGGGTTGCTTAGTTTACTGACATACTTTTAAGGTAGTCTGAGGAATATATATATCTTAATCAGATTAGTCATCAAACTGTAATATATTCTTCCTCTCTTTGTTCTAGAACCAACCATATTTCTTAGATTTCGCTTTCTGCTCGGCTAATTATTCCAACACGTGAGCATAAAATTCGAATAAAACTCAGACGGAACATGGAAATGCGCACATCTGTGTACTCTTTCGTTTATGGTTTTGTTTGCCAATTCTATTCTCCTAGTCTTCTCCATTCTCCACTCTTTATCAGTTATTTCGTTTACCCATTGTTTGTGTTTTGCGCCCTGCCCAAACATTGTCGCCTGGCCTGGTGTGTGCCTACTCGTATATTTGTTTTTGCCGATTTCTATATGGAGTGGCTCATCATCACATCAAATAAGTTAGTTGGCCATGCCGGGCACGCACAATTCAGATTAAAATATATGGAATATTCTTCATAGTACTTGGCTTTAATGGCCTCCCCACCCCATTCTGACGTCAGTCTTGGAGATACAGGTAGAGAGTGAACCGCTGCTTCAATTTGCATTCCTCTGGCCTTTTTCATTCATATATTCATAAGCCAAAGTAAACAAAAGAAATGGCGAAGGGTTTTCAAGGCTGCTTCTAGATGTAACTAGGGGCTATGACTTATATCTCGTGTTATTTCTGTAACCTCGGAGAGGGGAAATATTGTATATCTTATCATTCTTACTCCTTTTTTACCTTTAAGGGTATTCCGAACTTCTTCATGGCTGGTAAATTTAGCTTCTAGCTGACATCCGATTAGCAATTCAAAGATGTTATTTTCGCTTTTATTTAAATTTATTAAGTGCGCGCTCGGCGTCCACTTTCCGCTTTTGTTTTTGTCTTAAAATATTTGCATTGTTTATGTTTTGAGTTTGTTGAGCTAATTAAAGTGGAAAAGCAGATGGATTCCTGTTTTCTATCTGGGCGGTGGGTGTTTAGACTATCTTAGAGTTATTTTTAGATTTGGCTTATGTCTCATAAATAACTCGGCACGTGCTCTCTGACGTCCGACTGACTTATAATTCCTTCTCATTAGCAAATCAACCTTTGTCGTTTATTTAAATGAAACTGAAACATCTTAGTAAGAGAGATATCAGAGATACCAGTTTCATAGAGCTTTAAAACGGCGCATCATCAGTTCTTTGATTAATATCAATTGGAAATTGTTTACTTCTGCCGCCTTCGCTGCTCACAGACTGATAATGATGATGATGGGTCATTAAAATTTGAGCTGAATTGTGCCGAGCTGAATGCAAATGTTGGCTGGCAGATTGATTCAAGTGCAATTTTTGCGTACGTCATGCTCTATAAATGGCAAAAAGGGCTCTTAAATATCGAATAAACTTGGCGCCTGTTTTCGCACTTCCTGGGCCGTCTTTCTCCAAAAGATAAAGTTCAGCGAAGTCTATATAGACTCCGCTCTGGTCTGGTGCGGATTGAGAGCAATGTGGGGGGAACTAAGTCGAACCGCTTGGGGCCAGTATAATCCACTGATAAGACGGAAATCCGCTGATAAGGCCTTTGTTTACTCCGCGAGGCATTTGAAACTAATTAAACTTTGTAATGCGGCAAATCAATCCGATGACTCCTTATCACAGAAGTTCAAGTCGGTTCAGTATCTAAATTGAATTTTAAGTCCACCCTCAATCCTAAAATTGTAATTGCTAATTGATTGGCCGCTGGTGTTTGCACAATTACATTTTAAATGCCTGACAAATATATTTTGAGGTGCGCTAATGACTCGCTCACGACTGTCTGAAAAACAACTCGAGCAAAACTCCGAGAGGGTATTTATAGCCAGCCATTCGACATTGCATAATTTGATCTAATTTCGAAATCAAATAATCAGAACATACACACACATACGAGTATATATACAACAGGGTTGTTGGAAAAATTGTGCCAGCTAATTATGGAAAATTGTGGTAAAGGAGGAGGAGGAGTAGGTAGAGCTTGGGTAAATGGCTATGATGATGGTCAAAGTGCACTCCTCTGACGGATGTTCAACGCATTCTCAATTTAATTTGCGCTGCGTCATTGCGGTAATTCAGTGTTCTCGATATGTACTATATATATATACTACATATGGCCATACCCCTCCCCTGTCATCACCTTGCAAGTACGCTTTCGTCCACCACAAATGCCATAAGTCGAGCTGCTGCAGTTCCACAATTAAATTAGAAGCGGATCTGGCAGAAGGGTGATGCGGTGTGGGAGTGGTGGCTGCATAAATTGCGGCTAAGGTTAGGCCTGTTATTAAAAAGATAATTGTTAGAGAAGCTGCCACTGGGATCTCACTTACAAGTGCCAACGGGGCGTATTGAATATCGAATATTACGTATACGACACATTGGTTTTGTAATTTGTTGATAACTATTAAGGTTTATATATTAAATATATTTTAATATCTGGCAACAAAAATGAATATTGTTTAATGGCAATAAAAATATAAACTTAATGTATAAAAATTCGATTTTATCTTACAGAGGAGGAGGCGTACATATGTTTGGCTGGTCTGGTGGGCAGCAAGGAGAAGGTATTCATCAATCAAACCAAACTACAGCACGAGGTCACCTGGAAGACGGTGATGCAGATAGCCAAAAAGCACACGGTAAGCGATAGAGACCCCCTTTACCTAGCACACCCATCGATCAAATGCTAATCAATAGTTATGGTATTTTATTCCTACAGAAAAGTGCAACTTCGTATTTCCAACGTATTTGCCCGGGCCTGAAGCTAGAGCGCATCTTCATGGACTGGTGCTGGTGGATTCTAGCGGGTCTACCCTTCCAGCATCTGGTGCGGATCATGGACTGCTACTTCCACGAGGGCATCAAGGTTCTGTACCGCGTCGCCCTCGTCATACTCAACCTGTTTCACAAGGAGTGCCAGTCGAACAACGAATGGAGTCCGGATAATATTAAAAATGACATTGGCAATGCGCTGATCAAGTTCTGCAAGAAGATACCAGTGTCACCGGCGAAGCTGCTCCATGCCGCGTTTAGTATTAGGGGACTGAGGTTAGTTATACAGCTATATTATCTTTAAGTTGATATACTAACAGCAATTTCTCTTACCAATTCCAGTACCCAGTATATTTCTAGAATATTTATCAAGACTGAAATGCTGCTAAAAAGCCGTTCCGTGCTCACCAGCGGTTCGAAGCAATTAATCAAATCGCGTTCAAGTGATAATCTGCCCACTAGTCAGTCGCAGGTCAACATCCAAATGATGTCGCACACCTTGACCATCCGAGAGGTATGTAGATATACAATCCCTAATAAATCCAATCGACATGCCCCTCCTAACCCCCCACCATTACACAGTATACAAGAATACAAGAATACCAAGTACAGTATACAGAATGCAAACAGAAACCGAGTTAGGCATTCCCCTTGAGTTAGTAATGACCCAAATTTAAGACTATCTAAACACAGCACAGCACCACAAGCCAACACCTTTTGTCTAATGGTAAAACTCTGATTTATTTTTATTCGTTTTCTGTTTATGTTCCTCTCACAACTTCTTCTTCAACTCTGAAACTGAAACTGAAACTGATACTGAAACAACGCACCCAAAAAAATAAACAAAAACCAGAAGCTGCACTCCGAGAGCTGTCGCAATTTGGTATGAGGCTGGAAAAAGCTATACAAAATTATTATTATAAAGACAATACTGATAATGCCGATGTTCGATTGATTCTGCTTGTTTTGTTGGTTTTCTTTCCACAAACACACACGCACATACACTATCTTTGAATGAGTTTGAATCTGCTCTTCAGTTTACTTAAGTTTCCCGAGTCGAGTTTTCAAAGCATGAAATTAGGAAGTTTTTACTCTTCTGTGTATATACGAAATGTACATTATTTTCGGAATTAACTGGCTTAAAATTTGATTTGGTTTTAGTCCAGTTAACTCCCCAAACATCTCTTGCCAAAACCAAAACCAATTCGACTCGATTTTTTTGTTCGTTTTGCTTCCACTTGACTTTTGTGTTGTCTTTGACCTGCGTCACATTATTATTTTGCCGAATGAACTAACTTCCTGCCACTTTCGTTACGTTTCATTACGTTACGTTACGTTACTTAACAATCAAAGCCAAAGCACAGCCTCAACAATAACCACATATCTATAATAACCACACCCACACTACACCAGTACAGCTTTTTATTCGTTTTTGTTGCTTTTTGTTGTAATAAAAAAAAAAAAACAAAGAAATTATATATTGCAAAGCCAAAACTCACATACAAAAATACAAAAGATACATAAACAAACAAAAATCCTCAAGTGAAATTGCTCCTTATATTGAAATCTATATATAAAAACGTTATTTCTATTTTTCTTGTACCTTTTTTTGCTGCCTTGGCAACGAATGAATGAAAATTAACGATACAACCAAAAAAAATATAATAATAATAATTGCAAAATATGAATATAAATTTGCGTACGCTTGATCAATGTATACATATTTTTGATAACGATGAAATACATTTCCACGGGTTCATTTGCCGCATTTGGGTGCATATTGTTAAATATTTTCATCCATCATGATTATGTATTAAAAAATAAATGAAAACCATAGGGCGAAAAGTCGCCCGGTCATAGAGCCATCGCGATGGGCGTTTATCCCATACACAATCTGAAAAGTCAAGCTTGTAAGAACGAAGATGTAAGTGAAAGTCAAAGTCCACTCCACTGAGATACCCACACAAAACACTCTTAATCGTACAATAACTATATATATACCTCCATTATCTATAGAAGCTTTTGGCTCACGTTTTGATTCCATATACCGTTCAAGTCACAAAAACTGCATGAAGTGCCAGAGTTTTTGATTTTTTCTATGGTTTGCTAGTTTTTATACAGAATATTATTATTTCTTTTAATTTAATGCAGAATTGGCAAGTCTTCGTTTGTAAATCAATTCCTTTGAGTTTTAGTTATGTTAACCAATAATCCCAACCCCAATCTACATCATGGTTGGCCAGATTATTTTAGGATACAGAGTTTACGAGGGCCAGGTAGCACAACTGTCTAGAACGGTCTAGCCATAAGTCGTTTTCATGTGTCCCCCAAGACCTCATCCGCCATATTTGCATATAATTTTTTGCTATATATCCATCTATATCTTTTTCATAGCATTTTGGTTTGCCGGGCACAAAGAATTTCATAAAAACCTGGACGGATAGACAATTTGTAAGCATTGCATTGCATATTGAAAACCCTCCAACCTGTTTTCCCCATTTCCATTGCCATTTTCCATCCATTCCGTAATTTAAAATCCATTCCATTAAAAGTGAATGCAATTCCTCCAAAAATCCTATCCAAAATTCAAGATAGAAAAACGTGCCGTCTTAGAAATATTTTTGGACAAATCTCTTTGTCTATGTAAAAGTGTCATTGTCCTTGCAGTCATTAAATGTTAGTAGTTCTGCAGTTCATATGAGAATTGGAAGAGTCGTGAAAATCTAAAAATCCGAAAAAATAAAAACCATAAATCAGCTTACAGTTTGAGAGCCGCCGAGCCATAGTTTGAGATTCGCTACCTGCTGCGCTGCCGCCGCCGTCGCTGCTGCTGCTTACAGTTTGAAATTAACTGCGCCGTAGATTATTTTTGTAGTTTTTAGACCCAATCGAGAGTTGTTGCCTCGTATATGTTACATAACCACCTGGCTTTTAGTTGTTATTCGTTGATTTTTTGACCTTTTAGTTCATGTTTCTTTCACTCTACTTTACCCACGCCAACGTATTTTGTTCTGTCATTGGCTAATTGCTACCCCTTTTTCAATACGTTACTCGTAGTCGTAGTCGAGTTTAAATAAAGCCTCCAATTGATTAAGACAAGTTGCTAATAAATATGTCATTCGTCTTCCCATAGCTGTTCACGCTGTGGTCCTGGCTACCCGTGCGGATAACAATGTACCAACCGGTGCTGCTCTACACCACGGAGGAGCACGGCTGCTCGTTGACCACGTTCTACGTCCGGGTGGAGCAGCACGAACCGACGCTGCTCATGATCAAGACGTGCAATAATGAGGTGAGTAATGAATTCAGTGGCATTTCAAGGTCAATCGGGTTAGGGTAACTGAATCTGAACTTTACTCACATAATCATGATCCTTGGTTCTAGGTATTTGGTGCCTACTGCTCCTCCCGCTGGTTTGAAAGAAATGTAAAGGATGACAAGGGCCAGCGACAGGCCTACTTTGGCACCGGCGAAACCTTTTTGTTCTCCCTATATCCAGAGCGAGCCAAGTACCCATGGGTGGGCATTGAGGGCGACAAGGATCTGGGACACAGTTCCGAGCTGTTTATGGCGGCCGACTCCAAAATGATAACCATTGGTGGCGGGTAAGTTTTGCTATTTCGATTACCAAATAATGTATTGATTAAATGTTTACTCCTTTTTATAGTGAGGGTCAGGCCATCTGGATGGATGAGAACATACGTTTTGGCAAGACGGATAGCTGCAAGACCTTTAACAATCCCCCGCTGTGTCCGTCGGGCGACTTCGAGATCCGGGTGCTGGAGGTCTACGGCTTCGTGGGCATCTAAAAAGCAAAAGGAAAAAAGAAACTCCTCCCCAGTCTGACCGATATTGCCCGCCGATGATCAAGTGCTCAGCAAACCTGCTCGACCTTCCCCCCGCGTTTCCTACACCCACTCAAAAAACACCTACAGATTGCTTTCGTTTCCGCCCATTATTGGCGGACGCTGATGATGATACCAAGATGAGAAAATGTGTAAACATTTATAAAAACTTATTTATAAATATGTATCGAAAGTGGCCAAGCAGCAGCCAATGCCGCCGTCGTCGTGTTAATGTTAAATGTTAATGAAAAAAATGCTAAGATGCAAGAAACTAAAACAAATTATATATTATATAATGGAAATACTCTGTGAGTTAATGTTTCAAAACGCAAAGCTTTGAAATTACAATACCCTAGTTGTTATAACCCCTTTACATATATATATATATACATGATATCTATACAAGCATATATACATAATGAACTATTATAAAGTGTATATCTAACTGTACAACGTATTTCTATAGCCATGTACCGCAGCAAAGAAAAAATATTCCTTAAAAAATTGAAAGAAGAAAGCAGAAAACAGAAAACAACACCAGAAAACATGGGCTGCAACACACTTCATTATTGTTTATTAGCGTTATTATTATTTCATTTAGTTTATAAATATTGTATTTTTTTCTTTCTGTAAACCAAATTTACTGACTTGACTGAATTCGTTATTAATGTTATTAATATTATTATTGCTACGTGTATAGAAAGTGTAACTTGTAAATTTGAAGAAGAAAACAACCGAATGTTTCTGAAAGTTGTTTCCCATTTGGTCGCAAAATATATAGTTAAAGCAAAACCAAACCTCTTTCGATTAGTACAGCTGCTGCTGCTGCTGCTGCTGCCGCGAATTATATGCTCAGATACTACAGATATATACAATATTAGTTATATAGCTTCCAAATGATAAATATAATTATCTATATAAATATATATATATAAAAGCTAATGCCCCAAAAGCAGCGGAATTTGTAATTAGAACAAAGTGCAAAATGAGGAAAGGGCTAAAGAGCTAAAGTGTAGAGAAAGCTCTCACCCATGTGCAATTGATCTCAAAACGAAAAACGAAAACGGAAAACAAAGAAATGTATTACAAGTTGAAGGCTACATAAGTAGGCATAAACAAAAACGGAGAACAATCAATAATTATTTTAAGATTCCATTCCATTTTCAATACCAACGAAATTCTTTGCTCACCTTACCTCTTTCTCCTCACTCAAAAACTGCACGTACACAAAATTTTTGCACATTTTTCTAGTCAATTTTTATGTTTAACAAAAAGAACATGGTGTGCTTCCTCCCATTTTGCTCTAACCCAATACTCACCTGCCTTTGATCGACTGCAGATTCCGTTGGTTTATTGATCGTTGCACTACTCAAGCGAATTGTTAAAATTTAATGGAAGAACCACAACGAAAATTATGTAGTAGGGATCACAGATTGCAGAGTTATGACAGGCAAAACACTCCACAGCCATTGCATTGAGGAGCTGGTACTCCACAAATCCCTAATCCCACATCCAAGAACAATGGATAACCCAAGTCCCTGAACCAAGTCACCTGCAATCTGTGGTCTGGAAAAGAGCAGCAGTGGAAAAAGCAAACTAAATATGAATAGTTTTTAGGTTTTAAACAAACTCTCTGTGTTGTTGTTACTATGATTCAATGTATATGTGTATACGCAGCATTAAATAACCGAACTCTACATTAAATACCCAACTACAAATAGTTGAACAAGTTGATCCATAGAAAAGCTAAAAATATGAGAAAAGCAAATCAGTTTGTTATTTGTTTCTGAGTGTGAATCGTATTGAAAACAATAGGTTTAACTATATTTGGTTGACTAATTCTTACACACTGATGATATGAATTGTTGATAGTGCTTAAGTCGGGGGAGTGCTTGGGCGAGGATTGTTTGTGGCATTGACGAGGCAGCTGTCCTTATAGACGAGGCACTCTCAGAGAGTCCTCGGGGGGGGGCAGCTGCCGATCATGGACAGTATTTGGTAAAGCAAAATAAAACAAACGAAATCTTTTGTACATAAATTGTTTTCTATCTGAATTGTTCTCAATGTGTAGTTATATACGAAATATCTTGATAAATATCCATGTATTTATATTTGAATGTTATTTATGTGTAGCCCAGAAAGTGACATGAATATATAATCCGCAGCTTCAGACCCATAGAGATGATAAACCAAGGTGTTATCTATATACCCAGATACAATAATTTATACAAGAAACTGGAAATATATATATACTATATATAGATGTGTTTGACGATCAGCAAATGTATTGATTAAAAATTGAAATAGCGATTGTGTGTATCGATTTTGAAATGTTATTTTTATTTATTTTATGCATATTTTGTAATTTATAAATCCTAATTCAAATACAAACAAACACACACACACACATACATAACACACACGCAGATAAAGTAGGAGACAAGTAAATTTTATTCAATAAATTATATTAAATCAAACAAGAATAATTATATTATATAAAGATATATGTATGTTAAATCATTTTAGTGGATGTATAAAAACAACGGAAACAAAATTAAATAAAATGAAAATTAAACAAAAATCAACTTTGAGTTTCTTCTCTTCTTAAAACATCGTAAAAAATAATTTGAATTAGAAAAACTTTAAAAAATAATACCAGCTAGGGTCTCCTGTTGGTTAATTTGCCATATGGATACATCGATCTCTTATACAATACTGGAGTACATATTGGGTAATAGGATACATTGAAATTCATCGCCTTTCTAAGCTCGTCGCATTTCCCTTAGTTGGTAAGTAGAAAAAGTAGACCAAATACCGTAAAAGTGGTGGCCAAAGATAGTCCAACTCTTCCTGATGCCGCATTGCACAGATCCGTGTTGCAGAGTGTGCATCCTAGGAAACTCATATATGGCACCACAGGATCCGGACCATCATCGCAAGTAAAGCCTATTTGCGATGAATCACCGAAGTAACAGGATCGCCTTACAAAACGCGTGTCTCCAGGCGCTGTCAAAAAATCAGGGTATATTATGGGGTGTGTCTTGACCTTCTTTCTTTTCCTTCTTTTCATACTTACATCCATCGAGGAACTTGGTGATGCACGTTGCCTCCTGGCCTAGAGCACGCATATTTGCCACCACATCGCAATCCGTCGTGGATATGTCATCGCCGGAAAATTGCTCCCCACACCCTGGATTATTGACGGAATCACATTCGTAGCAGGTAATGGGCCAAGCTGATGACGACATGCGTGAATATGTGTGTCAACGTGAGCACGCATTAAAGAAAACAATGGGTCGAAATTGTATTCAAAAGTTGTATAAAATATACAAAGCTGTTGCTGTTTTGTATACAAATATTAACGTGTGTTTTTTGTTACATAGAAAAAACTTCATTTCTGACCTTAAGGAAGGTGAATATTTTACTTTTTTTTGTTAAATTTTATTAAGTTAGTTAAGTATCACGTATTTATGTTGATATTTAAGTTTTTAAAGGCAAATATCTCTCACGGGTATAGCTCTCTTTAAGTATATTTTTTACTACTGCTTTGAAATAAGATTTATATTTAAGAAAAGGATTAGAATTTATTGTTCTCACTTCTTTGAAAAACATTTTTTTATAGCAATATTAAATATGAAAATAATTTTCTGTACAGAAAGAGGTTCAGTTGCTGTCGGTAAGCTCACCTGGGCTGGCCAGCGTGACGAGGAGAACGAGCGCGGCAAGCGCACGCAGTGCCATCATCGCCATCGTACCGCCCGCGAAAACAGTTGATGCCACTGTCCGGCGGTCGCGGTGAGTCAATAGCTATAGCTATAGCGATGCCGATACGTGCGCGAATACAGATGTTGTCTTCTTAGCTGCCGGACCGATTTTAATCACATGATAGACCAGCTATATAGCCACGAACTGCCGACCACCGACCAACGACCACCACCGATTACCGACTCGAAGCGTTGCACACACGCGACTGAACTAAACTGAAACTGAACTGAATGAGCGAACAATCGCATTCAGAATGTGAATTTGATTTTCATAACAGATTTTCACTTCTCCTTCGTTGGCATTTTCCTGGCCAAACGCGCCTGTTGACATTGTGCCCTGCCCCTGCCCCCTGCCCCTGCTCATCACCCGCGGCTATCCATTTATTTCAGGCAAAAGTTCATTAGTGGCATTTGAACAAATAAACAATTTGGCATTCTGTGTAAAATTAGTTTTTATTAGTTTGTATTTAGATCGTTCGAAATATGTTTGCCAGCTTTTCGGCTCATATCTGTTGATGTTACTCATACGCCCTGTTTACCGTTGATTGATCATTATTACTGTGGGGTAGTTTTGACTAGATTGTGTGTGCTTTATGGGCTTTGGTAAATAGTAGTTCTGGGCCTTTGGGAATACATCTTAATTGAACTAGATTTACTTAAGTTATTTTGCCTTTTATTGTGCATTTCTTGGCCCACATTTCCACTGCCTCGTCTTCCTGTCATTTCATAGTAGCTGAGATGCCAAGAGAAACATTAGCAGGCTGCCGAAGATTTTCCATTTATCCACTGGACTTTCCGCTCCATTGCAGTAATTCTCGTTGTCGCAGACATAACAACTGGCATTCTGCACTGCCGTCAGTGTGGGATCCATTTTGCACCACGTATCGGTGGCATTCACCTCGCCAAAGTAGCAGCCCCTGACGATCTTACGCACGCCGTTTTCTGAGGAAACGAAACATTTCTTTAGTCTACTTTCAGGCTGATTTTCAAGAAAACAAAGAATATATTCGAGTTTTAATGGGCTTATACGTATTGTCTTGGAGACCAAGATATCTATATGTCTGAAATAAGATCTCAGATAATTAATAATTGTATTTTTCTGATTTGCGTCATAAATAATTCGGTAAAGTATTTCTCGAAAAATGAATAACAACTTGAGACTGCAACGACTTGGATTTTTTTGTTAATTTTTTGCTTGCTGTTTATTGAACCCAAACTGCTTTGATATCTGATGATATATGATGTGTCAGCGAAATGTGAATCAAAAATCTTGACAAACGTCTTTACATGCCTTAAAGCACACTGAAATACTTGTTTTTAAATTAAATAAATCTTTTAAGTGTTTGCTTTAAAACTGCTCATTACTTGATGAGCAATGGAAATGCCATAAATCACTTTAAAAATGCCACTAAACATACACATTTTTGCCAACAACTATCGAAAGTGTTTTTCTTTTATTTATCTTAGAAATTCTCAGGCCTGCAAATATCAGACAAATGTATAAAGGCCTTAGAATATTATTGGTTTAGTACTAACTCTCAAGTGTTTCGTTTTCTAGGAATATTGATAAGTGTTTCATTTTAGTCCTTCTTTATGGTTACTGATCAGACTAATCTTTAACTATTTCTTTGAGAATGTCTAGCACTATACCTTACCTTTGAATACCCTTTTCAAGCAGGCCGTGGCATTCGGGCTGAGCAGGTCATTCTCCAAAAACCGCGGCGGGGCAATGAAGGCGCAGTCGTATTTGAAATGGTTCTCGACTTCGAAGTCCTCGCCACAACTTGCCTCGTAGACAGATTCGCAGGCATAGCACTTGATGGCGTAAGCTAATGGCATTGTGGAGATGAAAGAGACCAAAAATTCGTTTTATTTATGTCAGAACAGAGATCAGATGGGGGACAGCCGATTGGCAAACACAAAACTTAAAACACAAAAGAACGAAAACGAAAAGCAAATCCAAATTCAAAACCAAATCCAAACAGAACAATAACAAACCTGAGGCCAGCAGCGAGATGAGCGCGCCAAACAAAAGTAAATATTGCCGCATTGTTGATTTGAAGAAAATCGTTTCTTTTCCTCGTTTACGATTATGTTTGGATTTTTGTTTTATTTGATGTTTTTATGGAAAATAATTCAAGTAGCTGGCTTATTTTTAACTCTTCTAAACGTTATTGGAACAATCCGCACGAGATTTAAATATAAATCATATATCCGTTGGCTATAGTATATACTTTCAATAGCAAGATATGTGTTTTTGCTTTTCCTATAAATGACTTTTACATATTTATTTGGGTCTTAGCACGTAAGGAAATTAAAATGTAAACACGCGTTGCCAATTTTCCCGTGATTCTTGTTTTTTTTTTGTTGTTGTTGGTGATTTTCCCCGATTTCCCGGCTAAATTCTTGGAGCCGTCTGACAGTCGACGTCCGCACACGAAATCGAACTAAAAGAATGCCAAAAGCATTTTCCAAATTCAACTCCTTGCCGTATTTCTCTTTTTTCTTTTAGGTTTACGCTCTCTTCTTTTTTTGCTGCGAGGAAAACACTTTATGGCCTTTCGCCTGGCGTCATCGCTCGGCGTTTTTAATTTGTCTAATTTTAATGAACATTTTGTGTTTGTGAGTAACATCAACTGAGTGGAGATTTGGCGCTGAATTTATGGCTGGCATGTTGGAGGTGGCTGGGGCAAGGAAAACTGGGAGTGTGATGGTCAAGACACGAGCAAAATCACACAGAGAGAACTTTTCAGCTTTTCCGGCTGTTCTATAATCGTCAGCCAAGAGAGTTCCAGAAGGTAACTGAAAAGAGAGCACCAGAAGAGACGTATTGTGGGTGGGGAAAATTCTTTAAGTGTGCCCAGGCACGCATGTGTTCTTCCCCTTTCCAACTCCCCCCTTTTTTATCAATAAAAACTGACAATTAATTAAATCAATAACAATCAAATTCCTTTTAAATGAAAAAGGTCAATTTAAAATAAATAAAGTGATTTTTATTGTGGACAAAAAATGCTTAAAAGGTGCTTAACAATGAAAGGCGGTTTAAGAGTGACTGAAGCCTTATTAAAAGCATGCTCGATATGGCTGGGTTGGAACAGCAGTACAACAACAACAAAAACAACTACTAGCTTAGGCCAACAGACGAGCCACTCCGAAGAACAGAAGGATAACTCCGGCGATGGGGGCCAGGGAGGAGGATCCATTGCACTCGTCCTTGGTGCAGACCTCGCAGCCCAGCAGCTTGCTGGTCGTCAGGTTAGGATCGGTCTGACATCCGACCTTCGTGTTGCCAATGTCGCCGAAGTAGCACGACCTTACGATCTGGGGGTTGCCGGGAACTGCAAATAGAAGGTTTAACATTAAATTAATATTTCTTGAAAAACAAAACCCACTCAAAAATATTTTTAACAATTAACATTAGAAATTACGACATTAAATTGCGCTTTGCATACCGATGAGTACGGAAATAAATTTAGTGGTGACCATTCCAAAATTCTCATTTTCAGCTTCTCTCATGCTCTGACTTTTGTACGTGCTGAGACTTTTGATTCTATTTGTGTGTGGATTTTCAAAATTATTTTGAATTTTGACTTCCACAAGTGTTTTTTCATAAAACAATCATCTTTCTTTGATTTTTTGCTGATCAGTAAAATGGAAATCTTTATATGTAGAAAAACAGAGCGATTTCTATTATGTTTTTTTGGTTGCTTTATAAGATTAAGGGGAGCTTTATTTAATACATGGGTAATTAATATTTTTAGGGAAAATTTGTGTAACTTATGAATGGAAATTACAAGTTTTTAGATTAATCTATGTGTTTGTTTTGAGAAAATAAAAAATTAGAAATCGAAATAACACAAAATAATGCAAGGAAATTTTTTTTCTTCTCAATAAAGCAATAAATATCACTTGCATTTAGCTTCTTCTCTCAATATATATTCTTCAATTACTCTTTATTAATTAATTAATTATCTTTAGTATCTTGAAAGTGTCAGGCGACTCAACAACCCACAATTAATTTGCCATTACGTATATAAGGCTTTATAAAAAATTTTTCACTCCTGTTAGCTGCAATTTAGAATACTAGTGACTAGCTGTGGGCTGACTATTATGCCAATTGCCAGGCAGTTAATTACAGAGCCACACCCTTCACATTGAGAACGAATAAAAAACAATTGCCTGAGACGATGTTGCGGTCACCGAGCATAAATACTCCTCACGGGAAACCTCTCAATGTAATCATTCGAAAAACCATTTAGACCCCAGAGAATATTTACGGCTGGCCATAGCTGAGCAATCAAGTAAGTAAATTGTCTAAAAAAACGCTGAGCAAATAACTCAAATATGTACTTCTGTATAAACTGCACTTGATGAATTTTTAATGAGTGGAAAATATTGCTGAGGGACGTGGATTAATCTCTGTTGGGTTGCCTGTAAACACATTCACTTAATCATCAGTGTAAGCAGAGTAAGAAAGTATCATGAAAATACAGATTGTTGAAAAACAATTTCACTGATAGTTTCAAAATGAAAAAAATACGAAAAGATTTCCCTTATCGGTGCCCTCTTCAGACTGCTTTCGTTGTCGAAATGCAATACATATCAAACTGGAAGGCATCCAATAAAGTAATATACATCTTGAAAAATATTTCTAAAAATATTTCACTGTTAAGTCTTCTGATTTGCGCTTTCACTATGGCCTTTACTTTGATTAATAAAGTGTCCAATATTTATAGTAGAAATAATAATGTTTTAGTACCCAAATAGATCCATAAATTATCTGTAAATATCTCTCAAAAAGTTATGAAAATTGTTGCCATCATGAGATTTCTTCCCAAACTAACTCAATTTAAAAACTAAAAGTGAAATCTCTGTTATCGCCGCTCCGAAAAAAACCCGTAACCCCAGTTAATTGATCAACTTTGCTTTTGTGTGTGCGTGGGCATTCGATATGGTAAGATCATGGTTGTTAAAAGAGATTCCCATCACAATACTTACTATCGATGGTCTGCTTCATGCAGCCGGTGGCATTGCGAACTGGGAAGAAGTTCTGGAGGAATCGAGGAGGAGCTATCCTGGTGCAATCCAAAATCAGATTGTCATCGGACTTTATATCCTTGCCGCACTTGGGAGTGGTTAAAGAATCGCACTGAAAGCACTTGATGGCATACCCTGTGAATTAACAAATTGAAGATCAAATTTGCAGAGTTATTCCTGGGGATTTCATACCCGTGCTGGCCAAAGTGGCCAAAATGCCAAGGGTCAAGATCAGTTTTACACTCGGCACCATATTCGCGTTTTCCACACTAGTTCTTGGAATTATTTTTAAAGCAAACCTTGACGGCACGGCGGTTGGTGAACGTTTGTGGGATATATCTTAGCGTCCGAAGCGTTCGCTCTATTGTCCATTATTCCACTCAGTATTTCCACTCAGCATTCCTTTTCACTCACTCAAAATCAAGCTTCCACTCGGGGTGACCGTGAGTGAGTTGGTTTTTGTGCGCGTTGCGTGTTTGCATTTTGTGTTTTATTTGAATTTGTGCTGAAGCTGCCGCAACATTTGACACACAAACGAGGCGCATATATATATATACATAAATATCAAGAATTTTTGCCGACTTGTTTGGGGTGATGTCAGCCGTTTTTGGTTTGTTATTTATTTTTGTTTTCTGGCTTGGCACGCTGTTGAAGACAATTCCGACGCTCCCACAAATATTGCCGAAAATGAGTTTTTTTTCTCTTTTATTATTATTTTAGGGGTATTATGTAAGCAGTTTATATCTATGTCAAGCCTATTTTTAATGAAGAGTTCGTCTTAAGAGCCTGCTATCGTCATCGTTTTCAAGCCAGTTACCTGTTTGATTCTAATGCGCAGTTTGAAATACATTCGAATATTTCACTCATTCTCATTGTTTCGCAAATTTCAGCAATTAACAACGTTCTGAGCTGTCACCCCCCGACATTTGTTAACTTTCTTGTAACTTGGGCCCCATTGATTTAGCTGCTTTTAAGTGATGAAACGCATATCTGCAAAAGCTGCATCTTAGTCACTGTTCACTGACCAATTTACCGCGTTCAACTTTATTTTATAAACTTTGTGAGAAAAAAAGTTCTTAAATAGTTTAGTCATTGATCGAACATTGAAAGTTTGTTCGAATTACTAGAGTGTTAGCGAAAAATTTATAGTCATTGATCGATCATTGAATGCTTTGCCTTTTATTTGAAATATTTTTTTAATTTTTTAGAAATGCTGATTATTTTGCACAATTTGTGATAAGGATAACTCTTTATGAGTGACGCATATCCGTTTCTGCCGTTTGCCTGGGTTGTATTAAAGCCAAAAATAATCTTATTGAATTTTGTACGCTTTCCTTAAGTTAAAATAAGAAAGGAAAGTTTTCACAAAAGGAGATTTATGAATACCACCAATTTTCCAGCTAGTGAAGTTCTAGGCCAGCAGACGAGCCACACCGAAAAAGAACAGGATAGTTCCGGCGATGGGGACCGTAGTGAAGGATTCGTTGCACTCGTTCTCGTTACAGTAGGCGCAGTTTACTGGGATCGGGTAGACTTTTTTAGTTACTATAGCGCACGCATCAATTGCCGTTTTGCAGCCCCTCGCGTTTACCGTTTTCCCATTTTCTAAAATGGAAGCAAAGTGCTTGGATTAGAAAGAGCGAGTTGAGCGAGAGTAACAGGGATTACTTAACCAGTTAGTAAATCGAATATTTACCTAACTAGATTAACTTAGATATATAGATAAAAAAGTTCCATCAATAGTCAATAATATAAATTGTTTCTGGGTGAGAATTGTCTTACTTACTAGTGTAGGAAATCTTCTGGCAACTGGTTGGAGTTTCTGTGACAGCTAAGAATATCGAGCCAAGCAAACTGGATTTGTAACCTTCGGTGCAATCCACAATGAAGCTTTTATTCCTTCCACAATCGGAATCTACAGAGGTGCAATAATGACATCTAATCGCATACCCTGCAGGAATAATAATACACATTGTAGTATAACTATTAATTAATAGTCCTTGAGTGCAGAAAGTGCCGAACGAGCTATCGTTTACGCTGGACCATTTGTCAATATTTTTTGGAATATTTTTAAAGTAGAACTTTAGGCTACGACGCCTAGAGACCTTCTGTGAGCTGATGCTCAGCGTTATTGAGCTCAGCTCATATCAATGGACTCATTATTATGTGGAATATCAAAAATGTTTTATTCCCGAAAAGAGCTTTTAAAAATATAAAATTAAAGATCGTCATGACTTATCAACACATGAATGCCTTCTGTAGATTAATTTTGTAATTATTTAAGGGCATTTAGTATACGACTAGTAAATATATAGCCTTGTCTCTAGGTCTATTTTTAAAATTTAATCTTTGCCACTATTTCTGTGATTAAGAATACGAAACAAGAGGAAACGATATAGTCGAGTGCCGCGACTATAAGATACCCGTTACTGTTTTACACAATTTTAAAATATTAATTTTGCTATTGGAAATTCACAAGGCGCCACCTATTGTCAGAGGAATGTGAGGCCTTATAACCTTAATTTCTTTATAAATAGCGAAATAATGTTCCGATTTAAAAACTTTTTGGTAAATCGATAGATATTAACCGAAATAAGTTATACAAGGTCAAACGAAGGTATTCATAATATTATTATAGACGCCACAGTTTTTCGCGGTTTGCGGGCGTTAGAGTGGGCGTGGCCGGATGCAACTTCGTGGCAAGTTGCAGAGGCATCTTTTAAATACGTGTTCCTAAGCAAAATTGTGTAGCTCTTATAGTTTTTAAGATTTTTGCATTTTTGGTTTTTCGGGTTTTGTGGGCGTTAGAGTGGGCGTGGCTTGATCCGAGTTACCGAGATATTAGCTTGTCTAGAAAATCCGATGGGTGGGTGTGGCCGGATAGTAGTACCACTATAAGATGCGCTTGCATCTAAAGATTATACTTTCTGAATTTCAACTTTCTAGCTCCAACAGTTCCTGAGATTTTAGCAATTTTAGTTTTTTGCGATTTGTGGGCATTCGAGTGGGCGTGGCAGGATGCTGTAATAAACTTGCGCTGCATAGGGACCTCAAGAATCTTCATGGTTAATCTCAATTTTGTATCTTTTATAGTTCCTGAGATCTCAGCGTTCATACGGACAGACGGACAGACAGACGGACATGGCTCATTCGTCTTCGCTATTCATCCTGATCAAGAATATATATACTTTATAGGGTCGGAAACGCTTCCTTCTACCTGTTACATACTTTTCAACAAATCTAGTATACCATCTTACTCTACGAGTAACGGGTATAAATACCAAGAATTTTTGCCGAATTTTTCGAATCTCTGACAAAACCAAGAAACTAGAAGTACCAACTATAAAAAGACATAGTCGTTACTTAATACAGGAAATGATTAGGTACTTTATTTACAGATTTTCTTATTTTTTACAAATGCTGATTATTTATTTGGGTAACTCTTTGCGTTTCAGTTTCTGAAAATACCATTTGTGATAAGAATACCTATGTACATTTTTCAACATTCTATTAAACTTAAAAAGAATCTTCTTGAATTGAATTGAAAGTGAAGTTCTACGCCAGCAGACGAGCCACACCGAAGAAGAGCAAGATAGTGCCGCCGATGGGGACCATAGAGGAGGATCCGTTGCACTCGTCCTCGTTGCAGTAGGCGCAGTTTAATGGGATCGGGTAGACTGCTTTAGTTACCATACTGCACGGCCAAATTGTCGAATTGCAGCTCCTCATGGTCCATGTTATTCCATTTTCTAAAATGGAAGCAAAGAGCTTAGAAAGAGCGAGTTGAGCGAGAGTAACAGGGATTATTTAACCAGTTAGTAAATCGAATATTTAGCTAACTAGATTAACTTTGATATACAGATAAAAGAGTTCTATTAAGTTATATTATTCAAAAAGGCAACAAAGGCACTTAACAATTGACTCTTAATAAATATAATGATAAATTACACTAACATTTTACAGAAGCAACTCCCAAAAGCGGGGGAGATTTGTCTTACTTACCAATGTAGGATATCTTAATGCAACTGGTTGGAGGTTCGGTGTAATATAGAGCACTGGATTGAAAATTTTTGATGCAATCCACAACGAATCTTTTATCCTGTCCACAACCGTTCTCACTGGTACAACTATGACATTTAATCGCATACCCTGCATGAAAAATAATACACATTTGTAGATTAACTCGGTTAGTTAACAACCTTTGATTTTTTACCAGTGCAAGCAAAAAGAGCGAGTACGCTAAGAGCTAAGATCAGTTTTACACTGGACACCATTATCGCGTTGGAATATTATTTTTGGAATATTTTTAAAGTAGAACTTTAGGCTACGACGCCTAGAGACCTTCTGTGAGCTGATGCTCAGCGTTATAGAGCTCAGCTCATATCAATGGACTCATTATTATGTGGAATTTCAAAAATGTTTTATTCCCGAAAAGAGCTTTTAAAAATATAAAATTAAAGATCATCATACTTATCAACACATGAATGTCTTCTGCAGATTAATTTTGTAATTATTTAAGGGCATTTAGTATACGACTAGTAAATATATAGCCTTGTTTCTAGGTCTATTTTTAAAATTTAACATTTGTCACTATTTCTGTGATTAAGAATACAAAAATATCAAGAACTTTTGCCGAATTTTTCGAATCTCTGACAAAACCAAGAAACTAGAAGTACCAACTATAAAAAGACATAGTCGTTACTTAATACAGGAAATGATTAGGTACTTTATTTACAGATTTTCTTATTTTTTACAAATGCTGATTATTTATTTGTGATAAGAATACCTATGTACATTTTTCAACATTCTATTAAACTTAAAAAGAATCTTCTTGAATTGAATTGAAAGTGAAGTTCTACGCCAGCAGACGAGCCACACCGAAGAAGAGCAAGATAGTGCCGGCGATGGGGACCATAGAGGAGGATCCGTTGCACTCGTCCTCGTTGCAATAGGCGCAGTTTACTGGGATCGGCCAAACTTTTTTAGTTATAATACCGCACGCATCAATTACCGATTTGCAGCCCGCCTCGAGTATCATAGTTTTTCCACTTTCTGAAAAGAATTAGAAAGACCGAGTAGAGCGAGAGACAAGGATTACTTAACTAGTTAATAAATAGAATATTGACTTAACTAGATTAACATAATCTTACTCATATAATCATATAATTAACATATCTAACATACATATGTTGAGGAAACGGATCAATCGATCTTTTTAAAACCAACTGCTAATGAGTGATAAAAGTCAACTTACTACACTAGCATTTTCCAAAGGATGTACTTGGCTGACAATTGTCTTACTTACCACCAGTGAAGGATATCTTGTAGCAACTAGTTGTAGGATCGCTAGTGGGTGAATATTCGTTGCAATCCACAACGAATCTTTTATCCTGTCCACAACCGTTCTCACGGGTACAACTATGACATTTAATCGCATACCCTGCAGGAAAAATAATACACATTTGTTGATTAACTCGGTTAGTTAACAACCTTTGATTTTTTACCAGTGCAAGCAAAAGTAGCCAGAACGCTAAGAGCTAAGATCAGTTTTACGCTGGACACCATTATCGCGTTTGAATATTATTTTTGGAATATATTTTAAGTAGAACTTTAGGGTACGACGGCCTGAAGACCTTCTGTCAGCTGATGCTCAGCGTTATAGAGCTTTCTTCACTTCAATAGACTCATTGAAATGTGGATTATCAAAAACGATTTATTCCGGAAAAGAGCTTTAAAAATATATAAATAAAATGTGAATGAAATTCCATAAGTTAATGTTTTTTGTTTTATATTTAAGATCTTCATGGATTATCAACACATGAATGCTCTCTGTAGATTCATTTTGTAATTTTTAAGCGCCTTTAATGTATGACTAGAAAATCTATAGCCCTGTCTCTGCTCTAATGTTAGAATGTATTATTTGTAACTAATTCTGTGATCAAGAATACAGAAATATAAAGAATTCTCGCCGAAATTTTCGAGTCTCCGACTAAGCCAAGAAACTTGAAGTATCCACAATAAAAATATGTTTGATTAAGTACTTTATTTAAAGATTTTATAATTGCTGATTATTCATTTGGGTTATTCTATGTGTTTCAGATTCTGCAAATACAATTTGTGATAAGGAAAACTCCTAATGAGTGACGCATATCCGTTTCTGCCGTTTGCCTGGGTTGTAGTGAAGCTAAAAAGAAGTTTCTTGAATTTTTACGCTTTCCTTAAGTTAAAATAAAAAAGGAAAGTTTTTACAAAAGGAGATTTATGAAAACCACCAATTTTCCAGGTAGTGAAGTTCTAGGCCAGCAGACGAGCCACACCGAAGAAGAACAGGATAGTTCCTGCGATGGGGACCATAGAGGAGGATCCGTTGCACTCGTCTTCTTTGCAGTAGTCGCAGTTCACTGGGACCGGGTAGACTGTTTTAGTTATTATAGCGCACGCATCAATTGCCGTTTTGCAGCCCCTTGTGGTTAACGTTTTTCCATTTTCTAGAATGGAAGCAAAGTGCTTGGATTAGAAAGAGCGAGTTGAGCGAGAGTAACAGGGATTACTTAACCAGTTAGTAAATCGAATATTTACCTAACTAGATTAACTTTGATATATAGATAAAAGAGTTTTATTAATAGCCGATAAGGCATCAAAGGCAATTTACAATTGACTTTTAATAAGTTAAGTAAGTAACTACCAAAAGGGGGAGAGATTTGTCTTACTTACCAATGTAGGATATCTTAAGGCAACTGGTTGGAGGTTCGGTAAAAAATAGTAAAGCTGAACCAAGAATATTGGATTTTAAATGTTCGGTGCAATCCACAATGAAACTTTTATTCTGTCCACAATTGGGATCCTCGTCGGGGGTGCACCTATGACATCTAATCGCATACCCTGCAGGAAAAATAATACACATTGTAGGTTAACTATTAGTTAATAGTCCTTGATTTAATACCAGTGCAAGCAAAAGTAGCCAGAACGCTAAGAGCTAAGATCAGTTTTACGCTGGACACCATTATCGCGTTGGAATATTATTTTTGGAATATATTTTAAGTAGAACTTTAGGGTACGACGGCCTGAGACCTTCTGTGAGCTGATGCCCAGCGTTATAGAGCTCAGCTCATATCAATGGATTATAAATTTAAAATATATAATAAAAAAAAAAAAATATAATAAAAAAAATATATAAAAAAAATTTAAAAAAATATATAATAAAAATGTGAATAAAAAAAAATATATAATAAAAATGTGAATAAAATTCCAAAAGTTATTATTTTTGTTTTAAGCTTAAAACTCATCATGAATCATCAGCACATGAACGCTCTCTGCAGTTGTCACATTTCTTTTGGTATTTTTATAGGTCATATAGTAATCGACTAGTAGTAGTAGTACTTTCCTCTAGGTCTAATCTTAAAATTATATTAATTATCACTATTTCTGTGGTTAAGTTAACTATTTTCATTTCTTTTTCCATGAACTTTCAATTATCGCTTTTTGTTTTTCCCCCTCTAGACACTCGGTTATACGAGTTTCCCACAAATTTCTATTTTCTTCAATTGGTTAATTTCCTTAATTATGCTAAATGAGTTTGGGTTAATTGGGCAAGCGGGGGTGGAGTGTCTTGAGATCTCTCAGCTTGCACAGTTTCCGATTATTCCGATCTCTCGTCTGGAGTTTCTTGAACTTTGCTGAACTGCATTTAACACTTTAAAAACTCGATTTCGAAGGGTAGACGGATGAATGTAACTTGACTTGCAAATGAAATTGAACCCAATTATGTGTAATTAAGTAGGCAGACATACATAAATCCCGCTTTCCGCTTTTGAAGAAAAGAGGGGGAATTTTTGTCATGGACATACAAATTTCGGCTCATCGTGTGGGTGCACATACTAATTAGATCCCAGGTGTTTCAGACTCCCAGGCGAGATTCAGACTCTGACTCTGAGTCATTGAACTGCATTTCGAATTTTGTTATTATTATTTGATGACTGTACTTAAAACGAGGCGTCCGTACAAATCGCGATTACTAAAGGTCTACTGATTCTCCTAAACGTATTACACTTTTTCAGCGGTACTACTCATATCGGCACATGTGTGTGATGATGTACATGGGTTGGGCTGAGGTTACAAAGTAAACAATTAACTAGTAATATTTTTTTCCAATACCCGGTCTGATTCGTCATTGTAGACATAAACATAAAATAAATACAGACTTGGGAGATGAGAATGGGAAACCTTAATTATGTTATCATGAAATGTAAACGTGATGGTTTGTTAATCTTTTCATCATTAAAATACCATATTTAAAGTTTAATTTTAAAAGCTTTTACACTGCCCGAAATGCTTTTAAAACTGTGAGGTTTTCCCAGACAATCATTGATATTTTTTTCTAATCTTTTTAATATCTTTTCCTTCTCTCAAAGCTATGGTGTTGCTTTAGTGTTAAAATCCATTTTTGGATGAAAGTCATATTCCCTTCAAGGAAGGCTACTAGTTATGCAGAATGCATCCACAAGGTTAGAAACCACCACAAGCCGTACTTAAATGATGTAATAATATATTTTGGTATATTGCCAGGACAACCTCCTGTCCTTCATTTATTATGAAATACAATTTAGAAGAAATTTACACAAAACAAAACCACGAAATACTACAAAGAGAGTCAGTTACTAGCTAGTTAAGATCTAGGCCAGCAGGCGAGCCACGCCAAAGAAGAGGACGATGGCACCGGCAATGGGGGCAAGGGAAGAGGATCCGTTGCACTCGTCCTTGGTGCAGACATCACAGCCCAGCTGCTTGACGAAGGGCAATGAGGGATCCGACTGGCAGCCACCCTGGATGTTGTTGATGTCACCGAAGTAGCAGCTCCTCACGATCTGGGGATGTCCGGCCACTGGGATGGAAGAAAATTGTTTGGTTTGGGATGAGCAATCGGGTTGACGACTTTCTCTTATGGGGGTTAATAAATGAACCAATTGTTCCGACCAACAACTGGAACTTGTTAATTGTTTATTTGACTTGCATTCCACAGGTACTTTATTGTACTTTTTGTGTTGTCAAACAACAGAACAACCATTCCATTCACACCGCCTTGAAATATTTCAGGGGGTTTCTGTTATTTTTCATCTCTGATCTCATCATTGTATATTTCTCTATCCATTTTATAATTGATACGGCTTTGTAAGTTAACCAGGCTCCAAGTAGCTTAACAAGCTTGAAAAACGATCATAAGATTTATGAGGGAATAATCTATTGGCTGATTTGCCTTGCAAATAAGTCCATAAAATAAAATTGTGAGACAGCGAAAAGCTTGCGGCATTCAACCGCTAACTCGTCACTGCTATTATTATTTTGTATGCGAAAACAAATTAAGCTCTCGGGTTGATGTAATTACAAGAAAATGAGTCGCACAAAAACGTGATTAGGGAGCACGTCTGAAGGGAAAAAAAATAACATTTGAAAAGCAGGTAGTGGAATATTTACGCATGACATCAGAGACGAAATACAAAAACACATTTTCTGCGATGATCTCAGAAGTTTTAAGATAAAAGAATTTGTTGTTTTTCGTTGGCAGAACGGAACATGAGAGTATCAGTGTCATTTTGATATGATATAAGCATATTTTATGTATTTTTATTTAGTAAAGTTTTCCCACTAAACTCACCGCTCTCAAGGGTCTTCTTCATGCAGCCAGTGGCGTTGCGCAGGGGGAAGAAGTTCTGCAGATAGCGTGGGGGTCCAATGCGGGCGCAATCCAACAGCAGGGTCTCATCAGCCTCAAACTTCAGGCCGCACTTGGGCATTGTCAGGGACTCGCACTGATAACACTTAATGGCATAGGCTGAAGGAGATATAGTTGTTGATTAGAAAAGCTTTAAGATTTTTTATTTTAAATTATTAAAATGAGTACGAAATCGGTTTTTTGTAATCATTGAACGAGAGCGAGAGAATTTACACTGTACAAAATCAAGTCAAAAGGTGTAGTAAAGAAGACATTTTCTTCCAACTAAAACCAGCATTTTGGAAAATCAAAAAATCTGGTTATTTTTCGCCAAACAGGCTCTCCTTGAATTCCTTCAAATACACCGTTTCCACTGGCCACACTTTCAAACGCAACGCACCCGAACAGGCCAGACTGATCATAACGGCCACGGCCAAACTGCATTTCAGAGCGGACACCATTTTCACCAGCACTTTTTATGTTGCAACAGCGTTATCGAAAATTAAACTTTCGTTTTTGAACTCAGGCACGATTATCAACCGTTGTCTTCGGTGTCTGCTGCACGTCTGAAACTGTAGCAACAGCAATATCGCAGTTCCAGCAGCAACATCGCCGACTCAAAGCAACCGCCCCAGCAAAAGTTGCTCAATTTTACGTTCCCAAACTGCGTTCTCTGGTTCTCTGTTTTGAGTGGAAATTTCGGTTCAATATGGCTTATATCTAACATTTTAGGCTTTAAAAACCGGTTCTAGTAATTTGTTTTGTTGTTTGGATTGTGACTAAGTTGATTGTTGTATGGCTTGCATTGGAGTGCATTCAGTTTGTTAGGTAAACAATGGGCTTGAAAGAAATTTTCTTTTTTCGTTTTGAATTTTTAAGAAATAGAGATGCATCTCATCTTTCAATGAGATGTTATTTTGTAAGACTCAGGAACATATTCATTAACATTCCCTCTCTAAAGCATTATTTTCACTGTGCTAATATTCTAAGTGACAATATATATATATGCTAATTTGTCAATGCTGTATTCTCGTTTAGTAAAAGATGATTTTCTCTGGGCATCTTGAGTGATTTCTTAAAGATTACTTACCTCATGCAGGCAAATTTTAACAGAGCCTGAAAGTATGCCACAAAATTTACAACGATTCAACGCAGGCATGATGGACATACAGACGGACAAGCTCATCTCATTGAGCACGATCGAAACTTAATGAGGCTGAGAATAGTTGGAGGGGTAGGGTGTATGTCACTAATCAACAAGGATGGCAAATAATTTGCATAAATTTAATTAGAAGCGGCCAGCTGGGCAGAGGCATGGGGGCTTAAAATGGAAGAACGCAGGGCTATGTTGGGGCCAGTGGAACAAGGACAATGACAGGATATCAGCGAGGGCTGCATTGTCTCGTATGTAGGTCGTCTAATTGGATATCCGAGAGTATTTTCGGATTAGTATGACAGTGACAAGAAGGAAAACAATATCTAAGGGATCGATATCTCATTTGTTTGTATTGGATTAAGAGCTGGAGGTTGAAATGGTATTATTGGTTTATTCACTACCAAAAAGTGGAAGAAAAACCAACGTTTGAGTTAAATCCAAGTACCCCATGTAGGGAAGGTAATCTTTTGAGAGACAAGTTCATTTTCCCAGAGAGTAATTTGAGGTAAAGCCAAGCTGATAAGCTCAGTTTAAAGATAGCCCAGCCGCTGTTATTTCAGTTGCATTTCAAGTCTCGAGATGATTACTAAGTTGTTTCTACTATTCCCCCTGCTAATTGCACCAGCAACGTGCACTTTGGGAACGCAGGTGATCAGCTATGACAACAAGCGAATGCTGCAGCTTATCGTGGACTCCAATGGCACCGTTTCCGAGCAACTTTTCCTGGTGGCAGCCACTTGGGGCAAGCTGAAAGCCGACTATCCCAAAGACATAGCCAAAATCGAGGACTTGGAGGAGACCCTGCAGCTTGTGGTGTGTCGGAAGAAGGGTAACGCCACAATTCGACATCATCTAGAGGGTTATCTCATTCGCGAGCAGATCCGGGAACATCTGGAAATCCTAAACATGACTGATCTGTTTAAGGAGGCCCTGGAATCCGAGGAGCATCAGCTGGGAAAGTGGCAGTTTTCTATTGGCCAGCATTCCCGGAAGCTCCATTGCCTTTTTAAGCCAAATCAACTGAACAGGATTCTGGATAAGGTGATTCGTCGAGTTTACACTTTGAAGAACTCCAGCAAATTGGCTGCTTTTCTATACCAACTTTACGTATCCGGAAACCGGGAGTCATATGTTTCAATGGTTCAAGCAGAGTTGATACTCTATGAACGCTATAAAAGTGGCGAACAAAATAGCCAGGAGTTCTCGGCGTACATGGCTAAGCTCTGGCAGAGCCTCCAACTGGAGGACTTCTATCCGGGTCTAGATCAAAACACCAAACAGCGACTCGTGGACGCTATTATTGACCTCCTGAAATTCCTCTGAATTTTCCAATCTCTTCAAGACTTTTTGTGAACTTTATTTTGTGTGCTTTGAGTGTTGTAATACCTTGATTTGAATAATGTTTTTGCTTGTCTAACATCTGAGATAATTACATAGGTGAAGGCTTGTGTTCTTTACATTAAAATATCATGTTGTACATAGACTATTTAGTGAGTATTTACTGTGCTTTGGGGCTTTAAACTCTATTGAGTATTGTTTCATTTGTTTTTACTTTTAATTCGATTTGTTTTGTTATTTGTTTATTGATATTAATTATTAATAAATTGATTTGAATCTCTTTTGGAATTTATGGGCTTTGAGCTTGGCAAACATGGGCACTCGGCCAGGCGAAATCATAAACTTATAAACGAACCCTAAACTTCAATCTGAATGTAAGCTAATGAGTGTGGGGGAGAGAGTCTTCCCCAAGAAACTAAACTAAATCGAGCTAAACGTAAACGTTAATCAGCAACAGCTCGACCCTTGAGGCCAGGCAAAATATCACGTTCCAACTAAAATTTAATACGAAGAGTTTTTGCTTAGATGGCCAACTGTTGGATTAGGGCCACGATGGGCAGGAGCAGCATGATCTCTTGTAAGGAGGCTCCTGTAAAGGCTCCGTTGCACTGATCGGTGAGGCAGTCCTGGCAGAATATCCGCCGCACATTCTTCTCCGGACTGGTGACATTGCACAGCTCCACGGGATCCGATTTGTTGGTGTAGTAGCAGAATCGCTTGGTGATCACCTTTCCATTATCTGCATTTTTTTTAATAATATTTAAAATATTTTTAAAATATTTTTCCTTTAATCTTATTACTCACTCTCCTCCACAGTCTTGCGGCAAACTGCTCGCTCATGCTCGGAATTGATGGTGCTGTTGCAGCTTCTCAGCAGATTGATGTTCCGCTCCTTGATAAGGTCAGTGGGTATGTTGTCCTCCTGGAAGGTCACATCGCAGAAGTCCTCCGCTCCAATGGTGTCCGAGCTGCAGTGCCAGCACTTCAAGTGTTGCTTCTCATCGTGATGCTCATTTACAGCTGCAAGGAAGAGGAAATCATTTCATTAGTTAAATCAACTTTGCAGTGACCTTTCATGGGGTCACTGGGTGGAAAATATTTTGACTGGCAAAAGAAACTTTGTTTGCGGACTAAAAATAAACGAGGGTGACACAGTTTTGTGTAAGCAGCCAAATGTGACATCATCTGCTTCGTGTACCGCCCATTTTTGGGGTTGAGCCACCCACTGAGAAAATGGAGAGAACGTGGCCAGTCGATGTGGCGCCTTACTTGAATTTTATTACGTATACGTAACTCAGTTCTAGCTGTTAAAGTGCTGGACAAATTGTTTAATGATTTATGCAGAAAAGGAAGAGGAATAAGATTGGATATTAAAATCACATCATCCGTACTTAATGGGTAGTTAAAAAGAGGTCATTATATAGAAAATTATATTCGTTTAATTCGGCTTATTTTTTTTAGATATTTTATCAATTTTATAAATAAAAAGTTGAGGGAAGAAACCATTTCTTGACCAGAATTTTTATTATTTCTTTCCTGAGCTTTTTACGGATTGATAAACCAAATGTTTTCCTGGGAAAAAAAACATATATATAAACCATCATCATATCATTTATTTGCTTCACCCATTTGCTACCTGAGTAAACAATAAAGAAACGAGCTCCATTAAGTAACTTACATGATGGATTCTCTCCCAACAATACTCCTTCTCAATCCTCACTCTAGTTCGGGAATAATGTTTACTTTTCCAATTATTTATTTAAATAAAATTAAGTAATTAATGTAAGCCAGTTGAATCATAAGTTCACCCATCACTGCCTGGAAAACTAATTGATATTTTTCCCTTTCCATGAACATATTTATATTTCGGCTCGTTGTTTATTTTCCTTTTCATAATAATTTGTTATTCTTCCGTTCACCGCGTTCATTTCACACATCTGATTTAATTTTCCCACCCAAAACATAAGAATTCGCATAACAAACTGTTTGGATGAGTCTCAGCTAATAATAGAAACTCGCAAATGATTTAATTAGTCCAAGAGCTTAGATGTGGTGAGTAATGTGTTTTGCCATAGAAGGGGAAACTCCTCTTTGGGTGTTGATAAGGTTGCGTGATTTGGCATGACAGTAAATCAAGATCGCCGGCTGTGTCCTTGAAAGAGTTTTGCATGTCCTGGCATGTGAAAGTGCTGGGACTTGCCTTGCCAAACATGCCACAAGTCCAGCAGAGCACTAGAGCACCTTGAGGGTAAACATGCTTGGAAAGGGTTTACAACGAGGAGTGGTGGCTGTCAAATATTGACTAGGAAATATTTATATTTCACTTTTCCATACTTATAATGCCATTCCTTACAACACCTTAAGATCCTATATTACGTATACACTGTAAAGCCTCAAATTGTCGTGTCCTTGAAATGCCAGTTGGCTGATATTGACTGGACATATGCAAAAGTCAGCTCCACACCGTTTGTATCCCCAGTTTGTATTTCCCCAGCTTTGTTGGCACTTTTGTCGGGGTTTTCCAAAACAATTTCAGGTAATTGGCCCAGTCCTGAACTTCATAGTGTGAGTAATAGATTGTTTTTCACTGCTGCACTCAGAGAAAAGTTGTTTAAGCTTCACATTTTAAAGAATTGAATTAGAAAAGTTTCAAAAACCTTCATTTTTACCATCCATTTTTGTTACACTTTTCTCAGTGCATTCTGTGGGCACATCAAGGTCGCTGCCTAAGGGTTTTATATCGTTCTGGCTTAACATTCTGAAAGTATTCGCTTAGGTCACGCATATGGCCCGACTTCGTGTGGCTTCTTTTAAAGCATTTCTCGGCTCTCGGGTAATTGAAAGCTGAGACTTGTTTTGAAGGAAGTTGTACTTTACGCCCCCATGGGAACCTTTTTTTTTGTATTTTTCACCCCGAAAACCAAGAACTTTAAATAAACAAAGCACCACCATATGCAGGCCAGGAATAACCAATATAATTTGATACGGATCGGATGTGTGTCAGGGCACAATCTCCGCTTCCTGAAAGAAGGTACTCCCCCATATACTCTCTCTATCTGCATTCATTATCAGTCTTTGAAAATTACGCAATTCATGTTGGGAAAGGGAGAACTAACCCCCAAAGAAGACCGCCAGAATCTGACATAGTTTCTGAGCAGAAAAAGGAAGGACGGGATTTTTGCAAAGGGGATGTCAGATGCCGAAGACAGCGGGAAACTGGAGCAGACGACATCCTGGCGCCACTCTGACATGCGCACTACCCGCATATCGTAAATCCAGATTGAAGCCAGGGCGGATAAAAAATAGAGCAATTAGATAATTGCAGGACACTGCGAAAGGCTAATTGAGAGCAACAGGAGGGAGAAGCTTCTGCTTCGATTCGCCATCTAATGGCCCAATCAAAATCCCCAACTACTCTCATTACCCATCGAAGTGATTCAAAATATATATTCTACAAATGGAAATGTGGAAAATGCATTTACATTCTGTTTGGCAAATCAAGTGAACCATGCCCCTGCTAAGGCTGTGGAAATAAATATCGAAATGTCTGCCAGTCGGCCGAATATTTGTATTTATATGGCGTGCAGGTTGCCAATCAACCAAAAGCGTGAAAATCGCTGAAATCCCAAAATGCACGTGTATATATTTAGCGATGTTCATCAAGAAAGCAATGACCCAGGAATTTTCCTTATGCAGTATAAGATGAGGAAATATGTGTTATTAATCATTTAAAACGATTTCCCATTATATTCTGTTTGTTTAAATAAAAAAAAGACGATAAATATCTCCTCAACTTTGCCATTTTTAGCCCTGACAATAAATCAATTTTCTTCATAATTTTCAAATGTCTTTCCTCTTCTGCTACACGTGTTCCTAAACTCAAAATAAACAAATGAGCACTTTCTATAACTAAGCCCACATCCACGCCTATTAATATTTCATTATATCCGCGCCATTCGATATTAATTTGTTTACGACAGAAAAAAACAGCAAGAACCTCCATCACTTTGAGTGTCGTCCATAAATCCTCTTTCGTATAGCGAGTAACATAAAAGTGCTAAGTATATTTAATGGCCATACACCTGAAACTGCTCTCCTTTTTTTTTAGTTGTAAGCTGAAAATTTTGTGGAGAATTTTCATAAACAGCGCAAGGGAAAAGCGTTAAATAGCTAGCGGAAAAACTACATAAACAAAATGCGGGGAAAATTGGAAACAAATTTCATTCATGGGCTCTCCGAATAAAAACCATCACACCTCAAACTTTATGCGGATCGGTGACCTTGTGGGCCAGATGGAATTACAGGTGCACAGAGGGAAAATCTAGTAAAACTTTTGAGAGATTTTCACTAATGAAACATATGTTTATTTAGTTTTACAGTTATATATTTTGTATATATTTTATATACAATTTTAAAATGTTTTTAAAGTTCTTTTTTAAGTGCAGAAATGAGGCTTTCAAAATGTTTATTTATAATAAATTTGTCTTAATTTAAACACTGATTTAAGTACTTGATAATTATTCGTAAATATTTACAAGTTTTTATTGGTTAATAATGATAACACCTAACCATTTATTAACTTAACAAACACTAAGATTTATTTAAACTAAAGTTTATTTATTACAAAACTCTAAGGTGAGGGGCTAAAACTTTTCTCTCTGCATCTACCAAAATGTATGAAAAATTTAACCATTTCTTCTTAGTTTTGTGTTTACAAGAAGATTAAAGAGTGCTGTCATTAACTGATCGACACTACATATGCTGGAACATAGCTCACCTGTGATGTGCCAGGCATTGGCCAGCAGAAAGACACCGGCCAGGAGGGCTTTCATGGACATCGCTGACATTGCTTCCTTGGAATGTTTGTGGAAATCCTTTTGGGATGCGGAAAGCGACTTGCTGGCGCCTGAAGATTATGGTATACTATATCCTTTGAGGGGGGATTGAGGGGAGCTTAATGCGAAATCTCTTCGAGAGCTGCGCGCGATGCAGACGGTTGCTCGGCCGAGGAACGACTGTGGATGTGGCCGAGTCTTCTTCGCCAGAGTGCCAACGTTTTGGTACTGAAAGTATTGGCAGCGCAGCCACGTCGCAGCTGGCGCATAGCTGTTCTTACCCCGACTCCTGGGGAAACCCCTACTTGCCACCAGACAGCCAGCCAGACTCACGCATTCGGTGGCATTGTTTTTGCTCGTCGCTTACCCTTTTTTTCGGATTTCTTTGAGGACGCAGCACACAATGCAGTTTAATTGATGACGTTTCATATGGCAGCGAATGGGCGGTCATAGTTTGGTAGAAAAACAAACAAACTATAGGAGTAAGTGGGTGTGTGGTGTCTTAATGCTTGTCAGTTTGTAATTAAGTCAAATTTTAAATTTATCTATAAACTAATTTTATAAATATCTTTCCCCTATCTAATAATGTGGATAGTGGACATTTAACTTTAAGTTTGGTTTTCAGTGTAAATATGTGTCAAATTTCAAAAACCCTTTAAAGTGAACAGGAAACCGGTTTTGATAAGCAACTTAACAAGCCTGAGAAATGTTACCAGCTTTTTAAACAGATAAAATTTCAAGTTCTTTATTTTTCGAATGCAAAAAAAACTTAACAAAAAATCTGTATTTTTTTTATATAAAGTTTCGTTTTCAAAAATTCAACGGAAAAAATTCAACCAAATGCAAACAAATAAAATACGGTCACCCCAAAATAACATGGTTAGGGTCTCGGCTAAGCAGAGACTCTAGACTTAGGTACAAAAAGCTTACTTTATAAGTTTCCAAATAGCGCATCTGTTAAGCAATCTGGTAAGATGCAGATACAAATTAAAAACAAGATTTGAAAGACATTTAATGAACTTGCATGTAACCAATAAGCATCATACCTCAATAGATATTTATTAGCTAATACCTTTAACCACTTCCCCATCATTAAGCACATGACATATCTAGATCTGAATGAGCCTTGCCATTATAAATGATTCACATCAGCAAGCAAAAATGATTCATGAGTGCAGGATCCAGTGGCACAACATTTGGCAACTGCAACTCAACGGAATTAGCCAAATTTGGCAACACTCTTACCAAATTGGCGACACACGCACCTGGCAGATATACGATTTCGTATGCAAATCTTGACACTAATCTGCAACATTAGTTGCTCCTCCTCCCAGTAGTTCGTAGCCAAAAATTGACAAAGCGTGAAAAATGAGCACGCACCCCGCCAATCGAAACGAATCTGTTCGGTTTGGGCCCAAGAATAGCTGGGGTTAAGGCCTGATCGTTGGAAAATCGCATTCGAATTTGCTGACTGAGCATGCGCAGCGACCAACAGCCAACAGCTGCCCTCCGGGGCGTATGCGTAACATTCGATTGTCGATTCTCAATATTTTTTCCACAGCGGCTGCCCCATGATAAATGGCCAGTTTTATTGGAAACTCTGTACGACATTTTCGCCAGCCAACAACAACAGCAAAAGCAAAAAAACTAAAATCCAAAAAACAAATAAAAGCCGTGCGACAAGTTTAAATGGCCAAAACGCTTTATTCGCGGCTTAGTCGCCACCCATTTTATATACTCATAGATATATATATTTATTTTGCGTTATTTCACTCGATGTTGTAAGTGTTTTTCTTTTTTATGACAGCCTTCGCTTTTCGTGCCATGTGACAAATTTTATTTATATTCACCGCTGGTTTTATGCGATTTTAATTAAAGCATAATGGAATTATCACGCTACTAGGCGGCACCCGAAACATAGTATCAATTTGTCTTTGCATTCAATCTGTGAACCCTGCAAAGCCTACGCTCAATTTACGAGGGTCAAAAGTCAGAAAGAGTTGCTCAAAAAGGAAAAGAGAGTTCGCGGGGATTTTTAATAACGAATTTTGCCAATTGAACGACAGACTGAACTCATTTCCGCTTGGAGACTTTAAATATATATATATACTACACCATATATATCTTATATATACCACACCATATATATCTTATATACACCACATATTATGATGAACTGCCGTCAAGAAGGCAAACGTTCGTTCCTCAAAGCAAATGCAATGTCAAGTGCAGTGAAGCGAGACAATTACTTTTGATTTGCCTGGCAAAGTGTTTTTAATGTGGGTTACGACAGACTAAGTCGGTGACTATATACCATATAGAAGGGGCTGTAATCGGGCTGATGTCATAGCCCTGCTTTAAGTATAGTTTTCTAGAATTTAACTGCATTTAAACTAAATATTAACACAAATTAGATCATCATTAGACAATGCATATAAACATCAGTCGCTGAAAATGTTTAGCAAATTAACAGCCCAAAAGTTAAAGACTGAACTATTTGGCTTGGCTTGTTCTATATTTTGGGATAGGAGTTAAGCAGGTTAAAGTTTACAGAGAAGTCTTTGGAATTCTAAAACTGATAATTTTCTAAGAGATCAATCTCTGATCTGCAGAAGGAACACATCCCACCTTGTAGAGCCTGAAGGGCACATTGCGGCGATGTTCATCCAATGTGATGAGCATGCAGTAGAGCAACTGTTGCAGTTTGCGCATCCGGAGGACATAGGGGGCACTCTCGTAGTCCTTAAACAAGGGCTTTCCCCTCGCCTGACAGTGGAACAGGAAGAAGGCGCCTCCGCTGGCATATTCCGGGCATAAAGCCAAAGGCCAAAGCCTGATCCCTCAGCTGAAGAATGCCCGTTTGCTGGTGATGGGCAAAGAACCCTCTCAAAGCGGAACCCAAACTCTTGGTTGTGTTGTACAACTTGCCGGAGGAGAACCTCTCAATGTCCACCCAAAAGTGATGTCCATCTAGGTAGCAGGAGGGGTTCAGGGTCTCCAGAGAGAGCTCTCCCAACGAATTCCTTCGCTGACGGGCTACTAAACTTTCATAATAGTAATCCTCCCCTTGAAGCAGGATTGCGTCCAAGAAACTTGAATTCCAGGAATCCAGGGAATGGAAATTGCCAGCACAACAGGCCATCACACAGCAGGCTAACGACTTGCCGGGAGCTGAGATCGTATCCGATTTGGAGTCCACGGAAGTGGGTTTCTCATCTGTTTCTACTTGATGGGCTGTCCCCCACAAAGACCACAATCGGTTAGCGACTTCTACCTCGTAGGTCTCCACCTTGTCATCACTTTTCTTCTTACGCAAACAACCATCAGCATTGTGATCAAGAAGGCGACTCCATAGAGGCAAAGGACTTTCTAGCTGGGGTACGTCCTTGCCCACTTCTTTGACCGCATCTTTGACCGCATCTTTTACCGCATCTTTGGCCGCATCTTTGGCCGCATCTTTGGCCGCATCTTTGGCCGCATCTTTGGCCGCATCTTTGACCGCATCTTTGACCGCATCTTTGGCTGTATTGTTGGTCAGTTCCTTGGTCCCATCAGTATCTACATCTTTGATAACGTCTTTGGCCACGTCGTTTGTCCCTGCATGGGTGGAAATGGTACTTTTTTTTGAGCCCTTGTCTCATTTTTTTTCAAATTTTGGGATAGTGCTAAGTGTCTCGAGGCCAAGTGTGATTTGATTGAAAACCCCTTAGAAAATCCACCTTTCGCATATCATCTAATTACGATTTATTTATTTACTCAAAGACTGAACCGCAATAGGCTCCGCCCTCTCAATTACAAGTACAATAATAAAGATATTACAAAGATGTACAAATTACAACAAAGTTAAGTGTGATTGGGTGTTTAATGATGGGTGTAGAGTTGTGACTACGAGTAACTGCTTTTGATTTTCGTTTGGTGAGGTGACCAAGTAACATTTACATGGATGATGACGATATTGAGATGACATCCGTTGGCCAGGAGGGAGAACTCCTTCAGCCAGCTCTGACAGCTCCTGTTCTCCTGGTGATTTGTGCATTTTCGTGAGGGCAAAAAGTGACTAAAAACTCGTTGAAGAAATTCAGTTAAGTCCGGGCTAAGCACCGAAATTCCCGGCCAGCTTTAACTTCAGCTCGGAGTCCCGTTAATTAAGTCCGGGCCGGATTCATTTCTTCATTTGCATAGCGGCAAGTGGCGGAACGAGGCCAACAGAAGTGGCAGCATCAGCAGGAAGGATGAGTGGAGTAGATGCACTCCCTCCGTTGCAGCCATCTGTTGTGCAGGTGCGACAGTAGACGGTCTTTATGTAGGACGAGGTCTGGTCATTGGCGCACTTATTCGGCGAATCGTCCATGTCCTCGTAAAAGCAGGAACGCGAAATCACCCGCTTGCCGTAAACTGAAAATGGAGAGCAGCGTTTAAAACTATTTCTCATTTAACCATTTTAATTAATGTCTGCTCTGTGTGTGCGCATTAAATTTAATTTATGTCTGCCTATGTGTGTGTGTGTGTGTGTCTGTACGTGCCGGCGTGGGCTGCATTTCGGAGCCATGGAAAAAATCTCAGAAATGACATTTGAAATAGCCGCAGTGGGGGAAAAAACAGTGATGTGGTTATGGGTTTTGAGGCAGTTTCTGAGCCACAGCTGTCAGTAGAAAATTTTAAAGGAATAAACTAAAAAAATAAAGGGGAAATAAGGAATAAATCATAAATATAAAGCGATAGAAAAAAAAGAAAAAATTACTTGTTGGTAATCATTTTCCGATATTTTTTCCCCCTGTTATTAACCATTAGTTTCCAAAGCAAAGAAAGTAATTTGATCTGCTATTTACTGACCCCTTTTGACCTACAACGGGTTCAAGGCTCCTTAATGCTAGAGTCCGGCAAAAAACAAAAAAACGCGGTAAAATGAGGCTGAGCGGCCTGTGAAACGCACACGATTTGCCAAATCGTACCTGAAACTCGTCGAAACTAGAGACAATTTGCAATCAGACGGCAAATGAAAACCAGAAAAAATCCACAACAAATTGCGTGTTGGATGCATGTGTGTGTGTGTGTGTTTGTTCAGCAAATAGAACAAAACGACAAACTAGTAAAAACATTTCCAATGGAATACGGCAAAAGCGAACTTTAAAAGCCGCTCGAAATGGTCAAAGCTGGCCATTTTTGTGATTGGCTCAGACGTTGGACAGTGGGGCCCACAGTCGGGCTAATAAAATTGTTGACAATTGTCGCCTTATCACGGCCGTCGCATCAAACAAGGCTCAGAACCACCATCAGAATGCAGCGGCCGCCGTGTGTGCCACATTGCGCATACGCCGCGTGCTCCGCTCGCTAGAGCAGCGAAACCAAAAATGCCGCTTGGACATTGTCTACCGCACACACACACACACACAGCGTAATAAATTTAAATTTTAATTAATTTAATTATTTATGGCTTGTTATGTGTGTTTAATCAAAAAATGTGGTTAAAGCTAAAATGGTAAATCAAATTGGAAAAGAAAATGCAACTCTTTTGGTTCACCGAAGATAGTTTACTCTTGGGAAAGTCTTTGTTTGATGATAATAATATAACAATATGTTCTTTTATCTAACAATATTTCTAAATCAATATAGCAATAGCTTTAAATGGCAACATAAAACCATTAATTTCGTTTTGAAAGCTGTTAAAGTGGACTTTGCCAAAAGTTGGAGGCTTAAAGTAGTTAACTTGTAAGTCAAAACATATATATCAAAAATTGACTTTATATAGGCCTCCCTTTTGGTACGTCTGTTCCCCGGAGAAAAGAGCCAGAAATAAGCTGTTAGACACCAAAAATGGTCCTAGGCCGACTGGCAGGTTTGGTGGCAAGGCAACCAGGCAACAGGTTGCAAAATATTTGCAGTCAACAATCTGCGGCTAATTGCTTGGCTTCATATTTTGGCATTATAGAATACATTTTTAATTTGACATTTGCCAAAATCTCAGCCACTCGTCTAAGCTAAACATCATAAGCAATTAATTTAATGCCAACAACAACAACAACAACAAGTTGCATCGCCTAGTTGCATTTTTCTCAGACACATTCTACCGCCATTCAGCCGGCCCCGATAGTGCCCCTCATCTTGGAATCGTAATTGAGCGCTTCACGCTGTGCAACAACTTAATTAATTTCTATGGATTTTGTGTTTGTTTTTCCTTAGCCCGCTCGGCCCGTATATTATGTATTTTGCGCATTACAAGCGCTGCTCATGTAGCTCGGGGACCAAAACTCACTCAGAGATATAGAGATACAGCGGGGCTTGAGAGTCTGCAATTGCAATTTTAATTGCCAACTGCCAAGCTCAAATCTTGCAAATATTCGTCGGACCAATTTGTAGACGCTTGATTGAAAAAATTTAATGGTGTTCATTAATTGGCCATCAGAAATTGCTTAAATGCGGCTCAAGAAACCCCCAGTTGTTGCCTCTGATGGATCTTAAACTCCATTGAGTTAATTTATAGTTTCTTTTTAATTAATTTGTGACTATTTTGAACTCACAACTGACCATAAATTCCAAGTTAATTTACAATCTTTACACCTCTTTGACTTTTTGACCTTTTCTAAATGATTTGTTAAGCAAAAGCTGAATTTCTGTCTGACTTTTGTCAGTACAGATTTTTATAGAGCGTGCAGTAAAGTTTTCCTCTCTGCAATTACACCCTGTAAAGTTACTATATACCCACCATATATACTTTGCCATGCCATTGTCTGGCCGACCTACATTAACAATCTGAACCTGAATCGTCTGCCGGTGGGTAAATTTATGCCCTCGCCAACAATGCAAAGTGAATTTAGATCAAAATGTAACGACACGGATCGCTTGGCCAATTGAATTTTTAGTTTTTGTTTTGGTTTTTGTTTTGGTTTTCGGCTTTGCCTTGCTTGTCATATGCAAATGTACAAATTGCTCTGGTCACAGACAACAATAAAAACCAGCAATAAAAAAAAACAGGCGGACAAGCGAGTAGTAAAATCGGATTTAAGATCGCCGAAACCCACCACGAGAAATATCACTCATACGACCCGTTCGCCTGGCTCTTTCTTCACATAAATTTGCCGTAAATTAGCGGCACATGCAACAGCAACTGCGGGCCAAAATGTCGCCACTTGTTGTTGGCCCGCCCTGACACCTGCCACGCCCCCGTTCCAAACGCCCAGCAACAGAGGCAGCTGCAAGTTGCAGTTGCCGATATCCAAGCCCCTCCATTGGCAATTGTCCGCTGGCCGTGTTGCTGTGTCGCCTGCACTTGTTTGGACTTTGTCAGGGCAATAAATTTCAATCTTGTTTGACTCTCGGCCACAGCCGGGTGTGAGTTGCGTCGATCTAGCTAACCCCCCGCACCGCACTTCCTTAGTCTTTATAGAAATCTACAGTCTGAGAAAATTATAATTGATGTCTTAATGCATGTCTATGTGCTCTTGAAAAACCCATAAGGACTTTTTAAGTAGTTAGATTATCTTTTTAGTAACTAGATGAGATCACTTTTTGTTTTCCGTCTTCTTATATGAAGATAACGAAGGAAAATAGACACATCTTAATAATAGTTAGGAAGTGTGATAAAAACTCCCCTTAAAAGATTTATTTATCTTTAATCTTATTTTCCTTTTTCATTTACATTTTTAAGCCCCATTTCCTAATTGTGTTTTTCATTTTTTAGGCTTAAAATTTCATTTAAAGTAAAAATATTTTTCAACATACTTTTTCTCTAAGTGCAGCCTGTCCAAAGACCGCACACGCGGTCACAACAATGCAAATGCAACGGGTGCACAATTATTCATGCCTCTAGTTTTTGCTTCTTTTGACGTGGCACACTGAGTGGTATATATTGACCATATAGGGGCTTGGAGGGATTTTGATCTCACCTTCCTGTACCAGCTTTTTGCAGACAGGTCGGGCATTCACCGACTTGGCACCCACCGAATAGGTGCAGTTCACATAGCTCCAGTAACGCTGCTGCTCCGAGATGGTCTCCGGCATGAAGGGATCATTGCAGAACTCGCCATTGGAGACATCCGTTGAACAGCGCCAGCATCGCAGCACAGCGGAGGCTGAAATGGGTAATTAATATCAATTTATTTGGGAATTTTACAGTTCAGATAATCTTAAGTGTATAAAGGCTTAGAAGGAATTTTGTATTGCATTATTCAAAACGTGACTTTTGGGGTAATAAATTGGCTTTCCTAAATGGAAAATGTAGACATGGAAAGTTTTTGAATTTGTGAATATTACAATTATGACTTATTTCATCTTACATCTTTCAATAACAATAACATAGTAATAACATATTACATCATACCTTTCCTTTCCTAATATTGTTTAATGACATTTTCCCAGCTCCAGCAACTTCAATCCTCAGCCTTAACTGATTTCCCATGTTACCACAACCACAAACTCTTCAAATCTTCAAATCATAATAAAGTAACTAACTAATTCCTGGTCTTCGAAGCCATAACCGTTCCACTAATGAATCGCATCCCATCAAAATCAACTGAAATTGCCGCTAGGCCATAATTTCCTGCTGCGTTTAATGCCGTTGGCGGTGATCTTTGAAATATTGCCGAACCGCCACTAATTCCAGTCGGGAGCCTTTTGGCCCGAGTTATTTATGCGACAGGCTATGGGGCAACTGCCTTATAAAAGTGTCAAAAAGTTCGACTCCGCCTGGTTTATGCGTGCGATTAGCCGCTCCAACTAGTGAGTAAATAATTATTTGATTAAACTGAGCCAGCGATTGTTGGCTCTACACAGAGAAAATCAATCAGTTAGTTAACATGTTAAGTCATATATTGTATTACTTTTTGTTTATTACATAAAATTTAAAAGAGCTTCTAGAGTTGGGAAAGGAAAGTTTAAAATTTGTCATCCTAAAAAGCTGAAATTTGGAAGCCTTTGACTATTTTTTTTTGCTTTTCTTGAATGAAAAATCAGGAAAATCTTTATGTTTTGTTTTAAAAACCTTTTAAATTTTGAATTGATATTCTTTCTTAGTGTGTTTTTTTAGAGAATTTTTGAGTGATGATGATGACTGCGGCTATGATGGCGGCCATAAAACTCGTTTCTCTGACCAATTTAAACGTCAAACGTTAACGTTCGGGTTAAATGCACTTAGCCAACACTTTGAGGTGCGTTTAAACGAAACGAAAGCCTAGATAAGTCGAAAGGCTGGAGAGAGGGGTAATGGGGATAGGCCGGTGAAGTGTGCCAACGCATTGGCCGAAAAACGTGTTTGTTTCGGCCAACCGACCAACCGACCGACCGATCGACCGATCGACCGCATTTGGCCATAAACAACCAGCATAAACATTGCAATTTGCGTTCGATTCGCATTCGCATTGGCAATTGGCAGCAATTGCCAATTCAATGCAATTGAGAGCCGAAAAAAGTGCGGCGAAAAACGGCGTAACCGAGATGGAAATTATAATCATTTACAATATATTGAAATTAATTGACAGTTGAATTGTCAGATCGTTTGCAGAATTGTTTATTTGCGCGTCCGTTCCAAGTCGGTGGCAGTTTACTAATGGTAATGACTGTAATTCCATGGAAAAACTGAAAATTGATATTGTGCCTGTCAGTTGGCTGCATTATGCCAACCGTTGTGGCAGCCACAAACTGCCCCCTCCAAACATGGTCAGAAACATACGAGTCCGAATCCGAAACTGTATCCAAAAAACCGAATCCCATTCCGAATCGAAGTGGTGGCCACTAAGTGCGTAAGTATTTGTTGGACGAGATGTTTTCGCCGATACTTTTGGCCATTGGAATTTGGCTTTAATCATCGCTGTTAAAGTCTCAGATCTCAAACAGATCTATCCACTAGCTTAACTTATTTAATATCTGTGAATTATATTAAAGAGTCTAAGAATTGTTGTTGTTCCTTCAAAAGGTTTCCTTCTCAACAGTTTCTAGCTTTCAGGTTTACTAGTCCTTCTTGTCTATAGTCTCATTTTAAAAACCCATCCAATTACTAATTCTCTCAACATTTCAATTATTTATAGCAGAAAACTCGAAGCAACCAACTGCACCCTTAAAAGGAACCACACTAATTGCAGCCTAATAGTATAGTATTCCTACCCCTTGTAATCCACTTTCAGCTCTATCAAGCCTGTAAAATAACCAAAGTTTATTGCCCTTAACGACTAGCATATAGGCTTATGGCATATGGCATATGGACTTGTAGTATTTACCCAGCCAAAAGTACGAGTCTCCAACAATGGGGCACAAAGTTTCCCACACACCGACTTTGGGGTTCACATGCAATTTTTCCATTAAGCTGCTCAACTTGAGGCGAACTGCAAGTTGGACTTGCAACATTTGGGATCTGCCCCCGAATATCCATAATACATAAGTCCGCAAACCCAACGACTTTGCCACCAAAAGAAACGTGTTGATTACCAGCCCCACGATGCCACCCCATTTTCCCCTCCCTGACAAACCCATGCCACAAAGTGTCACCCATATCGCAACGCATTAAACTTTGCAACTTACGAGTGTGTGTGTGTGTGTGGAACTTCAATTGTAGTAGGGTGGCCCACAAGCTAGTGACCCTAAAAAGTAATAGAGGTTCGGTCGGGAGCTTCGATAGAAAGTTTCGCTTCGCCTTTGACTGACATGCAAACGGGGTTCGTTCAACTGTGAAAATGCCAAATGCAAAATGCAAAACTCCGTCGAACGTTTATCAAAATTGCAGCATTTTTATGCGGAATGCCTAAATAATTAGTTGGAAAGGAATTTAAGCTATGTGAGGGGAATGGGCTAAGGGAGTGCTAGGGTATATAGGAATCAAAAGTTATTCAAAGCTTATGAACACTGTCTTTTTTAGTCACTGAAACATTTTGTGGGTACTACACATTGTGGCTACTTTTCAGTGATCATGAAATGTTTATATTTGGATGACTTAAATATGTTAGAAGCGAACTATACAAAGTGGATTGTATGGCTAAGAAAATGTACACAAAAATCTGCACATTAAAAGACATTTAATGACATTTTTGCGCTGCCTTTCTAGTAATTTTCCTTTTTTGCATTTTTGATCTTTAAAGTTGAGTTCGTTTAGCTACGTAAATCATATAAATATTTGTTTTTCCCCTTTTCTTCTTTAAATTTAAATTTTTATTAAAAATAAAAAAAAAAAAAAAAAAAAAATAAAACATTAAAAAAAAAAAAAACCCTAGTTTAATTTTTTAAATAAAACTTTTTTTTTTTTTTCTATTGTCTTTTATAGGGTCTTTAGCTTTCATATTCGCTTTAACTGCGTTTTCCTTCCCAGTAAATTGCTGTGAATAAGTAAGTAAGTAAGCAACTGAATGGATTTAATTAGGCCTGGCCCAGGCAGCGACAACAACAGCGGACTATTAATTAAGACGATCTGCCGACTGAAATGGGGAACTGACATTTAAGATTATTCGAAGGTTAAGGCTGGATATGCCTCATCGAGTACCTGACAAGGAGATGAGCTGTTCATAATAGCTGCTGCAATAATGACATGCACTCACTAATGTGTTGATTCGAGCCATACCCTTTAATTTTGCCTTATTTCCATATCGTTCTAGTTGATCTTAGATTAGTCATTTTATATAGAGGTGGGTCTGAGTGGCCAGTTTGGTTTATGCCACTCAAAGTTGTCATTGTCATGCCACGCCCACGCAACATAAACACAAATAAACTTTTAGTTGATGACATGACCAGATATGTGGCACGCTTTTTCATTACAATTTTTGAGTAATTGTGGTGTCTGAGAAAATGTATACTTTTTATACCCCTTTTTGCTTAATGAAGACATTTCCATAAATAAGGAGGAGCATTTCTTTCATTTCTCCACATTTTTCTCTGACATTCTTGGCTATTTATAATATTTATTTTCTCTGCATTTTTAAGGTTGTGAAAATATGTTTTGTTCTCATTAAGCTCGAACGTGGTGCTTTTGAAGTAAAAATAAACACAAATGAGCTGAGGAAAAATATTGAACAAGTGCATAAATAATTATAAATCATGGAGAATACAGCTGTTAATGTATTTTCTCTTCAATCTCTCTTAAATTTCAGGTATTGCAAGGGGATTAAATCTGTCTGGAGAATTGCTCTGATAATACCAAAAAATATTTACGGTTAGCAGGGACAGATGGTCATTCATTTTAAGGGGATTTGTAACACGAAAATTCTTATTTTTATCAAAACATTTCCACATTAGCTTTAACATTTCTTCACCTTCAAATATTCACAATTTCTTTAATACAACTTTCCCAAGCTTTCAGCATCTGTCAAATACTTTAATCTGACTGACTTTTTCCCCCTATTTTCCGCATAAACCCTTTTGATTTGGTTCAGTGAACTCAAGCTCGCCGTTTTGTTGCACATTTAAATGGGGAATCACGCCCACGCACTTAAGTAACTCTCCCTGCCACCATCCGAAGTTCCAACTTTACTTAATTAGCTGCCATTTGATGCAGAGTCAGTGGTCCTCGGAACCCACCTGGATTGAAAAACATCAGCAGGGATAAAAGGCCCAGCAAGAGGCAGCCTGTTGAACCGAAGGTTGTCATGTTTTCTCCTTTATTTATAATCCTTCGGGGGAAATGTTAAATATCTCACTGCACAATCACTCCACTTTAAGAGGGCTTTAAATATTTCACTTGGCTTGTACAAGTAATATTCCAAAATAATATTCGCCTTCCGCGATATTCCGAATACGCATGCGACCCGTTGACAAACTGACTGCGAACTGAAACTGAAACGAACTGAAGCTGAGAACTGAACACTGACTACTGAACACTGAACACTGAATGTTGAATACAACGCGACAGTTGAACCAATAACAAAACGAACCCAACCCCAAACGCACACGAATCGCCCGGAGAGAGATCGTTGAAGGCGGTCGATTGAAAGATTGAAAGCCAGCGATTGAAAGAGTACCGTGTCGCATTCAATGAGAAGAATAATATTCGGGGGTCCAAGGGAGCTTACTTCTGCTATTTCATTTCGGATTGGGTTGAGTGGATTCGTGGAGTGGAGCAGCGTTGGGGTCGGGTTTACGAGTTTTCTGCTCCGCGATATGGCTGCACTTTTTTAATGGTGCCCGCAAACACTTGCAGTTTCGGCGGCAGCACAGTGGGAAAAATGATATAAATATATTACAAAATTATGATATTTATAAAGATTTCAATATTGCATATAATAATTAAAATATATGTATAATATATGCATCATTTTTCCTAGGTAGTCATAGTAACACTAACCAACACCTCTCGTCCCACTGTTCGCTGCTGTCGATGCGTTTTGCCGGACCATTTGACGCCTAATGGCAGCCACCGTCGCCGTTTCAATCGTCATCGTCACTCTGGTTTCCCTCCGACTTTTTGAATGCAATATTCACTTCGATTTAATGCCATCAGTATCCCGCCCGTCGCCCGTCTAATCAAGTGCAACTCTCTGATAAGGAAATGCATTCAGCTGTGGAGGGGTGAATTTTTGGCAGGGGAAGAATTGGCTTTGCCACCAAAAAGAAAAAATGTTGCACTTACTTTATGGTTTTTCTATTGCAGTCAGAAAGTGTGGGTATTTTGTGGTTTGTGTCTTTTATTGGTTTTGCAGTTGAGTGAGTGCATTCGAAATCGATAATGTTTGTTTTGCTGGCGGATTAGTCGTCAACAAACTGGATTTTTTACGACTTTTTTGTGCGAATCAAACTTATTGGAGTTAGTTATGAAAACGTTTTACTACATGCACTTTATTAGCGAAGAAGAATGGAGCCACTCGTAAGACATTTGATTTTATGTTTCTTTTTAATTTTCGTAGATTTACGAAAAATATTTAAAAGTTGCAGAAAACTTTCAGTTTTTTAAGATTGTTTAGAGGTATTTTATTTAAGAATTAACACAACTTTTATAGATGCTTTTCTTTTTATAAACAAACCAAATAAATGCCAAAAATAAATGCGGTGTCTGGCGAAAATTCTATACAATTATAGAACCAATTTCTAAGGCCAATTGTTGTCCAAAACCAAGACAAGTTCAATGGCCAGACAAATAATCGGCTAATCACTAGTACCTCAAACCAAGAAAGCCTTTTAAGAAGCTATGTACTTTACCAGTTACTCCTAAGCCCAAAAATTTTCCTTCCAACATAAATAAAGCCACAAACCTAATCGGAAATATAGTAGTGGGACATAAAAAATGAGTTGAGAAAGTTCATTGTACATGAAATGTGTCACTTCAATAAACTACGCCTCCTACGATGTATTAGGGGAATGACAAGCCCAAACCATATATAGAGGAAGCCGAAGACAACCCTCCAATAGATTGATTGTTCTAGGTTAGTAGATATGCAGGTCCAAGAAAATTGGACAATGACGTGTGAGTTCCCTCTGGAGTGCGTACTTTCAATGATTAATCAGATTTCTAGCAGTTTATTGATGATATTCGTTTGTTTCGTTTGTTGACTGCAAACAAATTAGAAAATAATTGAAGTCCAGCTCCAGGAAATCGATTAAAGGTAGTTCAGTTTGCTAAGAACTTATGCTGGTAATTATGCTGAAAGCGTTTTTAGAGAAGGCAATTAAATAGTAAGAGTAGTAATTAATATAGGAGAAATTCAATAATTAGGCTGAAGAATTGACGGAAAGTTTCTCTATTTATCAAAATTATATTTAATCCGATCTTGTCACGTTTTAGCATTTCCGTCAGCCAAATCTTGTTTGCTCTAACAATTCTCATCTGCGTCTCAGTCAGCGACAATGATTAGGGCAAATTGCGGGTGAAAACAGTTTCGCTTGCTTGACTAAATAATAAACCTTAATTATAGGTGGGTTGCCTTAGCAACTCCAAAAAAATGGCAGCTCCGGGTTCTCTTTATCTGAGATGATTTGCTTACAACGTTGATTACAAAAGCGGAAATTGGCAATTGTGTGGCTTTTAATTTCTGGCAATTAAGATGTTTAAAATGTTGAATTTTCCCTCAAAGAAAATAAAGTTATTAAGTAAGTGAAACCATGTAAACTTAATTGTCCAAGAAATCATTTGATTTCGATTGTGTAAAATTTGAAAAAGATATGTAAGTTTATTTTTATTGTTCAGGTTTTTAGTCCATAAAAAGACTATAAAAAGATGTCCAATTTTCATGTATTTTAATGTATTCATGTATTTTAAGCTTTTAGCAAACTTAAAAATATTTAAAAATTTAAAATTAATTAATTAATCCAAGCTGTAATCACTAAATATATTTAAAAAACTTGATATTTCTTCAAAATCCCCAGTCGTTTGGAATTTTTAGTCTATCCATAAACCATACGATCAAAATATCGTAAAATTATTGAATTTGTAAGCAAATGAATCACGTACGTGAGTTACTCCACCCTATACTACTACCACTTACTCAATACATAAACCTGATCTCCATGGAAACCAAAATGTATGATTGAAATGTAATACACATGACAACCAACTACTATAGCCAAAACAAAGAAAATATTTTGGTTTTAGTTATTAAAAAATATTGCCGGAATGAAGTTGCGAACACGAATTTGCAAGAAAAACTCAAATGCTTCTGAGAAAAACAGCACAGAAAATACAACTTATCCACTGAGCTGCGTGGATTGGAGCAGCAATGAGGAGGTATATTATGTGAGGTAAATGGTTGACTCCAAAAGTTTTGAAATATTTAAAAATATTAAATAATATATCAATCCCTCCTAGTGATGACCATCAAATTTTTAAATGGAGCGAGGTGAACCGCGATTCGGTTGAGGTGGCCAAACTGCCCGATGACTTTGTGCCCACGGACCTGCACTGGCTTTTGTTGGGCGGCAGAAGCAGTGGCGGTGGCAAGGGTAGCGACTCCCTGCTAATCTGCAGTAATGATGGCCGTTTCGTGATCCTAAACAAAAGTGCTCGAGTGGAGAGAAGCATTTCCGCCCATACAGCAGCCATTTCCTCTGGACGCTGGAGTCCCGATGCTGCGGGACTTCTGACTGCCGGAGAGGATGGTGTGATTAAGATCTGGTCAAGATCGGGAATGTTGCGATCTACGATAGTGCAGAATGAGGAGGCCATTCGCTGCGCTCGCTGGGCACCCAATTCCACCTCCATTGTATTTTGCCAGGGTGGACACATCTCCATCAAGCCACTGGCGGCCAATAGTAAACTCATAAGGGTAAAATTAATACTACGATTTGTTTTTACTAACCAAATTAATATTGAATTTCCCTATTCTAGTGGCGCGCCCATGATGGCCTGGTGCTTTCGCTCAGCTGGTCATCTCAATCCAATATCATAGCCTCTGGAGGCGAGGATTTTCGGTATAAGATTTGGGATGCCCAGGGAGCTAATCTGTTCACCAGTGCCGCAGAATATTATGCCATCACGAGTGTGGCCTTTAATCCCGAGAAGGATTACCTGCTAGTGGGCACTTTTAATATGCTCAGATTGTGCCACAGCAATGGGGTGAGTGCCCTTATAAGATTTACTACCTTAAAAATAACATTTATTTTCATTTTAGTGGTCCTATAGCAGCGCACGCTTCTCCGAACCAAGAGTAGGATCCTTCTTTAACCTATCCTGGTCAGCTGATGGTACTCAAGTGGCATGTGGCTCGTCCATGGGTGAACTGGTTCTAGCCTATGTCATAGAACAGAAGCTAATATCTAAGAACCTCAAGGCTATCAGCAAAACTCGGAAATCGATTGTCTTGAAGGATATTGCCACAGGCACTCAAGATATCTTGGACTTTCCGCAGAGAGTGGTTAATTTTGCTCTAGGATACGGACATCTGGTGGTGGCCACCACCCATCAAGTTCATATTTATAATGAGAAGTATATAAACACGCCGATCATTATTGATGGGAGGAATGATACTAGAGTTATTGAAGTGGGCAAAAAGTTAGTATCTTAATCTAAATTTAACATTTATTCGGAAATAAATTAGATTAATCCTTATATTTCAGGTACTTTATGATCTTGGATGCCTCCTCGATATGGGTATACACTTTCACTGGGCGATTGCACCTGAATCCGCGTTATCCTGGCTCCCAGGCGCAGATTCCCTTGCTCACCTGGCGTTCTATGTCTTTGGGCCTCGATGTTCTTGCCATAAGGGATAACTCCGATCCTACTTCACTTCACTTATTCGATCTGATCCCTGGTGCCTCCAGGCAATACGATCCTCATTTGGTAAAAGCCAAACAGGCAATAACGGAAATTGCAGCCTGTCGAGCTGGAACTCCAGAAGATCAGTTTGTGGCCTTTATAGATTCCAATCGGGAGCTGTTTGTTAGTGGAAGCCGAAATCTGAATGGTGAACGTACGGATGAGGTATACAAGATTGGCACCCAACTCACTTCGATTATGTGGGCCAGCGAGACGAACATCCTTGTAGGAGTTCACGACTCCTGCTACAGTATCTGGTATTGTCCTGGTGAGGGAGCAGCCGATCCTACGATTATTGCCCTGACTACTATTACATTGGATACGGCGTAAGTAACGTAAATTATAGGAATTTTAATAGTTTATTTATAGTTAACCCTCTTTTCTCAGGGAATTTGGGAAGCACATTTCCATCGACAGTTTTGAGGATGCAGTGGTAACATTCCGCAGCGCCGGCGCCCTGCTCCCTGTCAATGTCAACATGTACTGCGAGATCCTGCATCGCGCTCTTCTTGAGGGTCAGTGGCAGCAGGCTCTGAAGATATGCCGAGTGGGCCAACATGCAAGTTTATGGGCCACTTTGGCAGCGGTGGCCACCAGGAAGCATCAGTTACAAATTAGCGAGGAAGCCTACTCAGCAGCCCTGCAAATCGACAAGGTGAGCTACCTGCAACACCTGAAGACCCTGACGCCCTCAAGTGCCGAGCAAATGGCCGAGAATTCCCTGATGCTGGGCAGGATGCTGGAGGCGGAGACTATCTTACTACATGGTAAGAAAATAGAGCAAGCTGTGGGTCTATCCCTGCGTATGCACAACTGGCGGAGAGCCCTGGAAATCTCCCAGAAATACAAGGCGGAAGAACCGAACTTGATGCCGCGTGTTCTCGAAGAGAGGAGCAAGTATCTGAAGGCCCTGCAGAGGGAAGAGTGGGATCCACTGTACCTTCCTTTTGTTATCAAGGAAGAGGCTGATAATATAAGTGAATAATGATAACTCTTTATCTTATGTCTTTATAAAATAAGTTTTGAACATTTATTTGATTGTTTTTAATGTTTTTTAAGAAACCTTTAAGAGAGAGTTTATTCTCTTTCCTTTTTAGTAAGCAGGTGACAGCATGGGCTCACCAGCTAATCCTCGAAGCACATTGTGGGAAGCCAAAGTGGCAGCATCGATGCGCGTTCTCTTGGTGGCATAGCCCACATGGGGAGTTACCACTATTGGAAAAAAATAAATTTAATGGGTTAAGTACTTCATCATAATGAAACTTATAAGATAAGAACGTAAAGTGTCAGGGGTTGTCAAAAAAATTAATGGGATAGATAGGTACGGTTGTTATTATGACTCCGTAACTCCCTACAGATGGGCTTAACACCTTAAAAATAGATCTAAGAATACTCACCAACATTGTCTAGAGCCAGTAACTTATCACTGGAACGAAGCGGCTCGGGATCCATAACATCTAAGCCAGCCGCAAAGATTCTATTTGATTTCAAAGCATCATAAAGATCGTCCTGATTGACAATTTCTGGAAAAATAAATACAGTTTAATATATATAAATAAATCTTTATATCTATATACTTACTGCCCCTGCCAACGTTGACCAATACTGCGGATTTCTTCATTTTATTAAACGCTTCCGCGTTAAACAAACCTTGCGTTTCCTTGGTCAATGGAGCTACAATGACCAGGAAGTCACTTTCAGCAAGGAGTGTATCGAAATCCACCTTCTTGGCATTGTACTGCTCTTCGATCTCTAAACTTACACGGTTCCGAGTGGTATAGAGCACACGATCGATATCAAAACCGGCCAAACGCTTGGCCACTGCCTGACCAATGCCCCCAAAACCGTAAAAACCTACTGTGGTGTCACGGATGTCCTGACCCAGCATCCAGTTTAGATGGTCTTTGTCCCAATTGTTACTGAGAATATGTCAATTTTTGATTAAAATATGATAATAATTACATTTTTAACTATATTACCTCTCGATCTTCCTGCGGCCTTCTTGAAATCTCCGAGCGGCGCCGATCAGCAAACCCACCGTTAGATCAGCCACTGCCACCGTAAGCATCCCAGGAGTACTTCCCAGGGGAATGCCTCGTTTCTTCAGCTCCGGTACATCAACATTGTTGATACCCAAGGACATTGTAGATACTGCCTTAAATTGCGGACCAGCAGCATCCAGAATCTCAGCATTAAGGATATCCCGACCGCTCCAAATGGCAGCATGTACGCCCTTGATCTTCTCCAGAATCTCGATCCGATTAAGCGGGGTTCGTTTGTTATTCGAATAACTTCGCATTTCTCCTTCAGAATTTCAATGCCCTCTGGGGGGACATCGGTATGCGCAATCAGCACTTTATACGGCTTATTGGTTGACATTTTTGGCTGTTATAATAACAAAAGAAGATATTATTTGATAGTTGAAGCAATTACTAGTGTCACGGGAAGCACTTGATAGATAATCTCTGTGCTGAGATTTCTCTTCTCTTTTTATTTATTTAAGAGATGTTTGCCATAGCTTTTGCTTACACTTAAACTCTTCGCTCTCTTCAAAACTTTTAAGTTGCTAAAATTATGTGTTAACGTCAGAGTTGTTCTGCTCCACATTTTTTTGACGAGTGACAAACTATTGGCTATGGTAGCAGGTTTTATAGGGAATCAGATATGGCGAACACTTATCACTTGCAAAGCTGGCTACAAAATGCATGGAGAGCTTTCATGTCTTTCTATGAGATAATATTATTATATGTTTTGGTTTAAAAACAAATAATATAAATAACAAGAGGAAACGCTATAGTCGAGTGCCGCGACTATATGATACCCGTTACCGTTTTACAAAATTTTATAATATTATTTTGCTAGTGGAAATTCACAAGGCGCCACCTATTGTCAGAGGGAGTATGTTGAGTATCCTTATTGTGACGTCACTGCCCATGTGGGGCCTTATAACCTTAATTTCGTTATAAATAGCGAAATAATGTTCCGATTTGAAAACTCTTTGGTAAACCGGTAGATATTAACAGAAATAGGTTATACAAGGTCAAACGAACGCATTCATAATATTATCATAGACGCCACAGTTTTCCGCGGTTTGTGGGCGTTAGAGTGGGCGTGGCCGGATACGACTTCGTGGCAAGTTGCAGAGGCATCTTTTAAATACGTGTAAAGCAAAATTTTGTAGCTCTTATACTTTTCGATTTTTGCATTTTTGGTTTTTCGAGTTTTGTGTGCGTTAGAGTGGGCGTGGCTTGATCGGAAAAAAGAATTCGCATTGGGAGCATCATAAAAACCTACATGCTTAATCCGAATTTTCTATCTCTTATAGTTACCGAGATATCAGCTTTTCTAGAAAATCCGAAAACCGTCTTTTGAGCCTTATGGGCGTATGGGTGAGCGTGGCCGGATAGTCGAGCCACTTTAAGATGCGATGGCATCTAAAGATTATACTTTCTGAATTTCAATTTTCTAGCTCTAATAGCTTGTGAGATTTCTGCAATTTTAATTTTTTGCGCTTTGTGGGCGTTAGAGTGGGCGTGGCAGGATGCTGTAATAAACTTGCGCTGTCCCGGGACCTCAAGAATCTTCATGGTTAATCTTTGTATCTGTTATAGTTCCTGAGATCTCGGCGTTCATAGGGACGGACAGACGGACGGACGGACGGATGGACGGACGGACGGACGGACGGACAGTCGGACATGGCTCAATCGACTTCGCTATTGATCCTGATCAAGAATATATATACTTTATAGGGTCGCAAACGCTTCCTTCTATCTGTTACATACTTTTCAACGAATCTAGTATACCCTTTTACTCTACGAGTAACGGGTATAAATATACGGATTAGCATCCAAGTATGCTATTATCGATAGGTAGCTTATATAGAACAATTCGACGCTGGCAAATCGCCACGGACGGTGGCTTAGTGGATTAAGCGAATCCCCAAGAATCCAGCGGCATAGGATCGAGTTCCCCCAGAAAGATCAAACACACACATAAAAATATATCGTAAGAATCCAAGTAGGCTGTTATCGATAGGTAGCCTAGGGGGTTAAGGTGAATCCCCCCAAGTATCCGACGACGTGGGATCGAGTCCCCCAGAGAGATCAAACACACACACATAAAAATATATCGAAAGAATCCAAGTAGGCTGTTATCGATAGATAGCCTAGGGGGTTAAGGTGAATCCCCAAATATCCGACGACATGGGTTCGAGTCCCCCCAGAAAGATCAAACACACACACATAAAAATATATCGAAAGAATCCAAGTAGGCTGTTATCGATAGATAGCCTAGGGGGTTAAGGTGAATCCCCAAGTATCCGACGACATGGGATCGAGTCCCCCAGAAAGATCAAACACACACACATAAAAATATAACGAAAGAATCCAAGTAGGCTGTTATCGATAGATAGCTTAGGGGGTTAAGGTGAATCCCCAAATATCCGACGACATGGGTTCGAGTCCCCCAGAAAGATCAAACACACACACATAAAAATATATCGAAAGAATCCAAGTAGGCTGTTATCGATAGATAGCCTAGGGGGTTAAGGTGAATCCCCAAATATCCGACGACATGGGTTCGAGTCCCCCAGAAAGATCAAACACACACACATAAAAATATATCGAAAGAATCCAAGTAGGCTGTTATCGATAGATAGCCTAGGGGGTTAAGGTGAATCCCCAAATATCCGACGACATGGGTTCGAGTCCCCCAGAAAGATCAAACACACACACATAAAAATATATCGAAGGAATCCAAGTAGGCTGTTATCGATAGATAGCCTAGGGGGTTAAGGTGAATCCCCAAATATCCGACGACATGGGCTCGAGTCCCCCAGAAAGATCAAACACACACACATAAAAAAAAATATAACGAAAGAATCCAAGTAGGCTGTTATCGATAGATAGCCTAGGGGGTTAAGGTGAATCCCCAAATATCTGACGACATGGGTTCGAGTCCCCCCAGAAAGATCAAACACACACACATAAAAATATATTGAAAGAATCCAAGTAGGCTGTTATCGATAGATAGCCTAGGGGTTAAGATGAATCCCAAATATCCGACGACATGGGTTCGAGTCCCCCAGAAAGATCAAAACACATAAAAATATATCGAAAGAATCAAGTAGGCTGTTATCGATAGATAGCCTAGGGGGTTAAGGTGAATCCCCAAATATCCGACGACATGGGTTCGAGTCCCCCAGAAAGATCACAGATAAAAAAATATACGGATTATCATCCAAGTAGGCTGTTATCGATAGGTAGCTTATATAGATCAATTCGACGCTGACAAATCGCCACGGACGGTGGCCCAGGGGGTTAAGGTGAACCCGAAGTATTCCGGCGGCATGGGTTCGAGTCCCCCAGAAAGATCAAACACACACACATAAAAATATATCGTATGAATCAAAGTAGGCTTTTATCGATAGGTAGCTTATATAGAACAATTCGACGCTGGCAAATCGCCACGGATGGTGGCTCAGGGGGTTAAGGTGAAACCGAAGTATTCCGGCGGAATGGGTTCGAGTCCCCCAAAAAGATCAAGCACACATAAAAAAAATATACGGATTATCATCCAAGTAGGCTGTTATCGATAGGTAGCTTATATAGATCAATTCGACGCTGACAAATCGCCACGGACGGTGGCCCAGGGGGTTAAGGTGAACCCGAAGTATTCCGGCGGCATGGGTTCGAGTCCCCCAGAAAGATCAAACACACACACATAAAAATATATCGTATGAATCAAAGTAGGCTTTTATCGATAGGTAGCCTAGGGGGTTAAGGTGAATCCCCAAATATCCGACGACATGGGCTCGAGTCCCCCAGAAAGATCAAACACACACACATAAAAAAAAATATAACGAAAGAATCCAAGTAGGCCGTTATCGATAGAATGATTCAACAGTGGCAAATCGCCACGGAAGCGGGTGCAAGCTTAAGCTGCATACACACACATAAAAATATACGGATAAAGCATCCAAGTAGGCCGTTATCGATAGAATGATTCAACAGTGGCAAATCGCCACGGAAGCGGGTGCAAGCTTAAGCTGCATACAAAAAAATAAAACTATTTTTTTTCCAAACTTTCAGTTGACCTTGACTGAGCTAGTAGTTGCCCATCCTGTTCCACATTGCAAGTCAATTTAATTGGAAGCGGTCGCAAACAGTTTGCTGGCGGATTAGCATCCAAGTAGGCTGTTAACGATAGCTTTTATAGAACAATTCGACGCTGGCAAATCGCCGCTTAGGGGGTTAAAGCGAATCCCCAAGAATCCAGCGGTATGGGATCGAGTCCCCCAGAAAGATCCAAAGATTCAACACACACACATAAAAAACAAGAGGAAACGCTATAGTCGAGTGCCGCGACTTTAAGATACCCGTTACCGTTTTACAAAATTTTAAAATATTATTTTGCTAGTGCAAATTCACGAGGCGCCACCTATTGTCAGAGGAAGTATGTTGAGTATCCTTATTGTGACGTCACTGCCCACTGAGGCCTTATAACCTTAATTTCTTTATAAATAGCGAAATAATGTTCCGATTTGAAAAATCTTTGGCAAATCGATAGATATTAACAGAAATAAGTTATACAAAGTCAATCGAAGTTATTCATAATAATAGTATAGACGCCACAGTTTTCCGCGGTTTGTGGGCGTTAGAGTGGGCGTGGCCAGATGCAACTTCGTGGAAAGTTTCAGAAGCATCTCTTAAATACGTGTTCCTAATCAAAGTTTTGTAGGTTTTATAGTTTTTGAGGTTTTTGCATTTTTGGTTTTTCGGGTTTTGTGGGCGTTAGAGTGGGCCTTGCTTGATCGGAAAAAAACAATTCGCATTGGGAGCATCATAGAAACCTACATGCTTAATCCGAACTTTTTATCTCTTATAGTTACCGAGATATCAGCTTTTCTAGAAAATCCGAAAACCGTCTTTTGAGCCTTGTGGGCGGATACGTGGGTGTGGCCGGATAGTAGTACCACTATAAGATGCGCTGCCATCTAAAGATTATACTTTTTGAATTTCAACTTTCTAACTGCAATAGTTCCTGAGATTTCAGCAATTTTAGCTTATAGCGATTTGTGGGCGTTAGAGTGGGCGTGGCAGGATGCTGTAATAAACTTGCGCTGTCCCGGGACCTCAAGAATCTTCATGCTTAATCTCAACTTTGTATCTGCTATAGTTCCTGAGATCTCAGCGTTCATACGGACGGACGGACGGACGGACGGACGGACGGACAGACGGACATGGCTCAATCGACTTCGCTATTGATCCTGATCAAGAATATATATACTTTATAGGGTCGCAAACGCTTCCTTCTATCTGTTACATACTTTTTAACGAATCTAGTATACCCTTTTACTCTACGAGTAACGGGTATAATTACTCTACGAGTAACGGGTATAAAAACTTGATATTTCTTAAAAATCCCCAGTCGTTTGAAATTTTTAGTCTATCCATAAACCATACGATAAAAATATCGTAAAATTATTGACTTTGGCAATTTGTAAGCAAATGAATAACGTAAGTGAGTTGATCCACCTTATACTACTACCACTTACTCAATACATAAACCTGATCTCCATGGAAACCAAAATGTATGATTGAAATGTAATACCCATGACAACCAACGTCAAAAGCCAAAACAAAGAAAATATTTTGGTTTTAGTTGTTAAAAAATATTGCCGGAATGAAGTTGCGAACACGAATTTGCAAGAAAAACTCAAATGCTTCTGAGAAAAACAGCACAGAAAATACAACTTATCCACTGAGCTGCGTGGATTGGAGCAGCAATGAGGAGGTATATTATGTGAGGTAAGTGGTTGACTCCAAAAGTTTTGAAATATTTAAAAATATTAAATAATATATCAATCCCTCATAGTGATGACCATCAAATTTTTAAATGGAGCGAGGTGAACCGCGATTCGGTTGAGGTAGCCAAACTGCCCGATGACTTTGTGCCCACGGACCTGCACTGGCTTTTGTTGGGCGGCAGAAGCAGTGGCGGTGGCAAAGGTAGCGACTCCCTACTAATCTGCAGTAATGATGGCCGTTTCGTGATCCTAAACAAAAGTGCTCGAGTGGAGAGAAGCATTTCCGCCCATACAGCAGCCATTTCCTCTGGCCGCTGGAGTCCCGATGCTGCAGGACTTCTGACTGCCGGAGAGGATGGTGTGATTAAGATCTGGTCAAGATCAGGAATGTTGCGATCTACGATAGTGCAGAATGAGGAGGCCATTCGCTGCGCTCGCTGGGCACCCAATTCCACCTCCATTTTATTTTGTCAGGGTGGACACATCTCCATCAAGCCACTGGCGGCCAATAGTAAACTCATAAGGGTAAAATTAAATACTAAAATTTGTTCTTAGTAACCAAACAAATACAGAATTTCCCCATTCTAGTGGCGTGCCCATGATGGCCTGGTGCTTTCGCTCAGCTGGTCATCTCAATCCAATATAATAGCCTCTGGAGGCGAGGATTTTCGGTATAAGATTTGGGATGCCCAGGGAGCTAATCTGTTCACCAGTGCCGCAGAATATTATGCCATTACGAGTGTGGCCTTTAATCCCGAGAAGGATTACCTACTTGTGGGCACATTTAATATGCTCAGATTGTGCCACAGCAATGGGGTGAGTGTCCTTATGAGATTTACTACCTTAAAAATAACATTTCTTTTCATTTTAGTGGTCCTATAGCAGCGCACGCTTCTCCGAACCAAGAGTAGGATCCTTCTTTAACCTATCCTGGTCAGCTGATGGTACTCAAGTGGCATGTGGCTCGTCAATGGGTGAACTGGTTCTAGCCTATGTCATAGAACAGAAGCTAATATCTAAGAACCTCAAGGCTATCAGCAAAACTCGGAAATCGATTGTCTTGAAGGATATAGCCACAGGCACTCAAGATATCTTGGACTTTCCGCAGAGAGTGGTTAATTTTGCTCTAGGATACGGACATCTGGTGGTGGCCACGACCCATCAAGTTCATATTTATAATGAAAAGTATATAAACACGCCAATCATTATTGATGGGAGGAATGATACTAGGGTTATTGAAGTGGGCAAAAAGTTAGTATCTTAATCTAAATTTAACATTTATTGGGAAATAAATTAGATCCTTAAATCCTTATATTTCAGGTACTTTATGATCTTGGATGCCTCCTCGATATGGGTATACACTTTCACTGGGCGATTGCACCTGAATCCGCGTTATCCTGGCTCGCAGGCGCAGATTCCCTTGCTCACCTGGCGTTCTATGTCTTTGGGCCTCGATGTTCTTGCCATAAGGGATAACTCCGATCCTACTTCACTTCACTTATTCGATCTGATCCCTGGTGCCTCCAGGCAATACGATCCTCATTTGGTAAAAGCCAAACAGGCAATAACGGAAATTGCTGCCTGTCGAGCTGGAACTCCAGAAGATCAGTTTGTGGCCTTTATAGATTCCAATCGGGAGTTGTTTGTAAGTGGAAGCCGAAATCTGAATGGTGAACGTACGGATGAGGTATACAAGATTGGCACCCAACTCACTTCGATTATGTGGGCCAGCGAGACGAACATCCTTGTAGGAGTTCACGACTCCTGCTACAGTATCTGGTATTGTCCTGGTGAAGGAGCAGCCGATCCTACGATTATTGCCCTGACTACTATTACATTGGATACGGCGTAAGTAACGTAAATTATAGAAATTTTAATAGTTTATTAATAGTTAACCATCTTTTCTCAGGGAATTTGGGAAGCACATTTCCATCGACAGTTTTGAGGATGCGGTGGTAACATTCCGCAGCGCCGGTGCCCTGCTCCCTGTCAATGTCAACATGTACTGTGAGATCCTTCATCGCGCTCTTCTTGAGGGTCAATGGCAGCAGGCTCTGAAGATATGCCGAGTGGGCCAGCATGCAAGTTTGTGGGCCACTTTGGCAGCGGTGGCTACCAGGAAACATCAGTTACAAATTAGCGAGGAAGCCTACTCAGCAGCCCTGCAAATCGACAAGGTGAGCTACCTGCAACACCTGAAGACCTTGACGCCCTCAAGTGCAGAGCAAATGGCTGAGAATTCCCTGATGCTGGGCAGGATGCTGGAGGCGGAAACTATCTTACTACATGGTAAGAAAATCGAACAAGCTGTGGGTCTATCCCTGCGTATGCACAACTGGCGGAGAGCCCTGGAAATCTCCCAGAAATACAAGGCGGAAGAACCGAACTTGATGCCGCGTGTTCTCAAAGAGAGGAGCAAGTATCTCAAGGCCCTGCAGAGGGAAGAGTGGGATCCACTGTACCTTCCTTTTGCTATCAAGGAAGAGGCTGATAATATAAGTGAATAATGACAACTCTTTATCTTATGTCTTTATAAAATAAGTTTTGAACATTTATTTGATTGTTTTTAATGTTTTTTAAGAAACCTTTAAGAGTGAGTTTATTCTCTTACCCTTTTTAGTAAGCAGGTGACAGCATGGGCTCACCAGCTAATCCTCGAAGTACATTGTGGGAAGCCAAAGTGGCAGCATCGATGCGCGTTCTCTTGGTGGCATAGCCCACATGGGGAGTTACCACTATTGGAAAAAAGAAATTTAATGGGTTAAGTACTTCATGATAATGAAACTTATAAGATAAGAACGTAAAGTGTCAGGGGTTGTCAAAAAAATTAATGGGATAGGTAGGTATGCTTGTTATCAAGACTCCTTACCTTCCTATTTTGATTCAGAATGGGCAATGCAGATGGTCTTAACACCTAAAAAATAGATCTAAGAATACTCACCAACATTGTCTAGAGCCAGTAACTTATCGCTGGAACGAAGCGGCTCGGGATCCATAACATCTAAGCCTGCCGCAAAGATTCGATTCGATTTCAAAGCATCATAAAGATCGTCCTGATTGACAATTTCTGAAAAAATAAATAGGGTTTAATATATATAAATAAATCTTTATAATTGTATACTTACTGCCCCTGCCAACGTTGACCAATACTGCGGATTTCTTCATTTTATTAAACGCTTCCGCGTTAAACAAACCCTGCGTTTCCTTGGTCAGAGGGGCTACAATGACCAGGAAGTCACTTTCAGCAAGGAGTGTATCGAAATTCACCTTCTTGGCATTGTACTGCTCTTCGATCTCTAAACTTACACGGTTCCGAGTGGTATAGAGCACACGATCGATATCAAAACCGGCCAAACGCTTGGCCACTGCCTGACCAATGCCTCCAAAACCGTAAAAACCTACTGTGGTGTCACGGATGTCCTGACCCAGCATCCAGTTTAGATGGTCTTTGTCCCAATTGTTACTGAGAATATGGCAATTTTTCATGAAAATATGATATATAAAAATATATTTAACTATATTACCTCTCGATCTTCCTGCGGCCTTCTTGAAATCTCCGAGCGGCGCCGATCAGCAAACCCACCGTTAGATCAGCCACTGCCACCGTAAGCATCGCAGGAGTACTTCCCAGGGGAATGCCTCGTTTCTTCAGCTCCGGTACATCAATATTGTTGATGCCCGAGGACATGGTAGATATTGCTTTAAATTGCGGACCAGCAGCATCCAGAATCTCAGCATTAAGGATATCCCGACCGCCCCAAATGGCAGCATGTACGCCCTTGATCTTCTCCAGAATCTCGATTCGATTAAGCGGGGGTTCGTTTGTTATTCGAATAACTTCGCATTTCTCCTTCAGAATTTCAATGCCCTCTGGGGGGACATCGGTATGCGCAATCAGCACTTTATACGGCTTATTAGTTGACATTTTTGGCTGTTATAATAACAAAAGAAAATATTATTTGATAGTTAAAGCAATTACTAGTGTCACGGGAAGCACTTGATAGATAATCTCTGCGCTGAGATTTCTCTTCTCTTTTTATTTATTTAAGAGATGTTTGCCATAGCTTTTGCTTACACTTAAACTCTTTGCTCTCTTCAAAACTTTTAAGTTGCTAAACTTATGTGTTAACGTCAGAGTTGTTCTGCTCCACATTTGTTTGACGACTGACAAACTATTGGCTAAGGTAGCAGGTTTTTATAGGGAATCAGATATGGCAAACACTTATCACTTGCAAAGCTGACTACAAAATACATGGAGAGCTTTCATGTCTTTCTATGAGATAATATTATTTATATGTTTTGGTTTAAAAACAAATTATATAAATAAAAAGCAATATTAATAAAGCTATATCTCATATGAAAAATAATTCCTTTATACTAAATTCGCATTTTATTAATATAATATAATATTATAATAGACATTTTTAGTCTCCGATTTATAGCAAAATTTCCTCAGTAGGCAGGCCTAATCATGGGCTTTCCCTCAATGGCATTCAAGATATTATTAGCAGCTAGTAAACTCATCTCAATGGTTGTCTTCATCGTCTGAGTGCCCATATGGGGAAGGATAACTGTAGAAAACAAAAATGATATATATTTAAGCCCTTAATTTGCCTTTGATTAAGTTTCAACTTACCACAATTGGGCAGTTTAAGAAGAGGACTATCGGCGGGCAAAGGCTCGGGTGTGGTGACATCCAAGCCAGCGGCAAAAATCTTTCCTGATGTCAAGGCATCATGCAGATCGGGTTGATTTACCAGACCTTTAAATTTAAAATGCATATAAGCATTAAATCTATAACATATACATATATCTAAGAACCTACCCCCTCTGGCCACATTGACAAACACCGCGCTCTTTTTCATCTGCTCAAAAGCCTTGGCATTGAACTTTCTCTCTAGTTTCGTTTGTTAGTGGAGCAGCTACCACAAGGAAATCGCTTTCCTTTAAAAGATTCTCAAAGGAAACATGCTCTGCCTTGAAATCCCCATCATTTTCCTTTCGGGTGCGAGTATGGTAAATGATCTTGGCCACATCCCAGCATTGCAAACGCTTGGCAATGGCCTGACTAATGCCGCCAAAACCAAAGAAGCCAATGACTGAATCGCGAATCTCTTGACCCATCATCCAGTTGATTTGCTCGATTTTCCATTGGGATCTTAAGAGTTTTTATAAAGGCAAGCAGGATTTAAGATTTTATCAGTACTCCCAGAAAGGGTACACAATTCATAATCAGTAGGCAACCCTTATCCAAAAAGCTTTCTAAATAAAAAGCTTTCGCTGCCCCTATCAGCTGTTCTCACCTCTCAATTTCTGTGCGTCCAGCGTGGAAATGACGACCGGCTGCAATCATTAATCCAATTGCGAGATCAGCCACTGAATTTTTCACGACACCTGGAGTATGACCCAATGGAATTTGCCTCTTCTGAAACTCGGGAATATCCACAAAATCGATTCCAGAGGACATGGTGCTCACGCAACGCAGCTGTGATCCGGCAGCATCTAGAATTCCGGCATTCAGGGGCTGATAGTGGGCCCAATAGATGGCATCCACACCGGGCACCTTCTTCAGGATCTCCTCCCTTGAAGGTGGGACACTCTGGCAGATTATGGTTTCAGCTCCACGGGATCGAAGGAGTTCCAAAGCAGGTAATGGGACATTTGGATGCGAAATAAGCACTTTAAAGGCACTGGTAGCACGGGACATATCGGGGAAAATTATAAGATCTATGAACTATCAGCGGTCAAATGCAGCGCTAAACTGTTCGAGCAAAAATTTTTCAATTCAAAACGATTGACAAGCTTTTTGTGTTCTCTTTCTCTTAAGCAACGATTTTGCTCTTAAGCTTAAGCTTATGGATTTCTCTTATTTTGGCATGCAAATTGTAGTTAATATTTTGCATTAATTGTTATACACTTTCTAGAAGTATTGCAGATTTTAAAAACAATATCTCAGTAAAAAATTATCTTGAAACACTAATCCCTATTTTCATATTTTCCTTAAAAGTCTTACTTTTCGCCAATATTTTTTTGGATACGTATCCAAAATGTTATGCAACAATATTTAGCTATTTCCCAGCTTTTCCCAAACAGAAAACTTTAACACAGATTTTTTAAGTGTACTTCAAAAGCAATAAGTAAGATTAAACAGCGATTACCGTCAAAACAGTTTTAAGATAAGAGAATAGTATGGTTTAGCAAACACCATATTCTACCAATAGATAACGTCTATTGCTGTATAGTCCCCTTTAAACATTTATAGTTCCAAAGGGTACTAACCTTTTCCATCCCTGAAATCAATGATTAAGCATAAACTAACCACTTTACTTTAACAAACACTTGTTTTTCCAATCATAATTTGTTTTTATTTTCACATCTAGAAGCAAGCCAAGGCCGTTGCTAACTTTTTACACTTCGCTGGCCTAGCTTCCCACACTGGTTAAAGCTAAAGGCCATTACATTTTCCATTTGAATTTCCTAGTAGGCAGGTGACAGCATGGGCTCACCAGCCAGTCCGCGGAGCACATTGTGGGCAGCAATGGTGGACATATCGGCACGGGTACGCTTCGTGGCGGATCCAATATGGGGCAGGATAACTGAAAGTCAGGGGAAAACATCAAGTGGTTAGTTGGTGGTACGATAATGCAAGTCAAGATAACCAGATTAATAAATCAGCAAACAAAAAAAGGGAACACTAAAGGTCGACGAGGACGCCAAAAATATGATAAACAAAAAGAAATAACTTTAACCTATTATTTTTGGTAACCTTCAAGAAACCTTAATAAAAAATCTCTCCGAAATACTTTTAGACATTGTCAACTACTAAAGAGATAAGACGAAATCTCTAAATTGATAAGACGGCCAGAAATACGAGTGTTTCCTAGGTGGGGGCCTTAAAAGCAAGTCAGTCTAATATCAATAGACCGAAATTATTTTGATTGCCACACTCACCGACATTGTCAAGCGCCAGCAGCCTGTCCGTGTGCAACATGGGTTCCGGATCCGTGACGTCAAGGCCGGCGGCAAAGATTCGGTTCGACTTCAGAGCCAAATAGAGGTCGTGCTGCTTGACAATCTCTGTGGGGTTAAAGGCATTTAATGACTGGTAAAATTTCTAAAAGATATTCTTAACTTACTGCCCCTGGCAATATTGATTAGAACAGCAGTCTCCTTCATCTTGTTGAAGGCAGTGGCATTGAACACGTACTCTGTGTCCTTGGTCAAGGGGGAGGCGATGACAATGAAGTCACTGTCGGCCAAGAGGGTATCGAAGTCGACCTTCTTGGCGTTAAACTCCTCCTCGATCTCCTTGCTCACACGACGGCGGGTGGTGTACAGCACCTTACCAATGTCGAATCCGGACAGACGCTTGGCAATAGCCTGACCAATGCCTCCGAAGCCAAAGAATCCAACGGTGGAGTCACGGATATCCTGACCCAACAGCCAGTTGAGGTGGTAGTTCTCCCACTGGTCACTGTAAAATTTCATAGAAACATTATTAGGAACAAACTTAATAAACAGTTAGTTGAACTTGGCATATGAAGGCATACATCAAGGCATATGAAATATTTGAAAACATACTTTTCAATCTTCTTGCGTCCCTCGTTGAAACGACGGCTGGCGGCGATGATGAGACCTACAGCCAAATCAGCCACAGCATTGTTGAGAACGGTGGGCGTGTGTCCCAGTGGGATCTTGCGCCTCTTGACCTCCGGCACATCCACGTAGTCGATGCCCGCCGACATGGTGGAGATGGATTTCAACTGGGGACCGGCAGCATCGAGAGCCTCAGCATTGAGGGCCTCATGTCCACCCCAGAGAACGCCATCGACTCCACGGATTTTCTCCAGAAGTTCCGCCCTGTTGATGGGAACGCTCTGCACCTGGATAACCTCGCAGTTCTGCTTGAGCAGATCAATGCCCTCCTGTGGAACCTCGGGGTGTGTCACCAGGACCTTGAAAGCCTTGCCAGTGGACATGGTGCGGTTTTGATTCTGATTCCTGCTGCCCCTGCGTGAGAGGGAGGCATTAGTGTTAGTGATCGCCAGGGCCACGATCAGTGGTAACAAGAGCTGAGCTATCGATCTCATCTTAAAGCGTTGCGTTCGAAGCCGAGTTTCGCGAGCAACTGAACTCAAAAGCGAAATACGCACCCAGCTTTAAAGAGCGACGAGGACGTTAAGCCGCTGCTGCGGCTGCTGCGACCCACGATCGCCGCCGATAAACCAATGAACCTGTTTAGCATTATAATCCGTGCTCTATCTCTTTCCCTGTATGAAGGTATTCTCAAGCCTTCGAGCAGCTGTTACCGGTATAAGTTCTCTTCCACAGCGTATAAGACGCACAACTGGTTTGAGAAGTTAATGGAAAGGCGGGCGCCGTATTATACTGGAGTTTATTGGGTAAAGTGGGGATTCCAATAATAGCCAAGTTATTTAAGGAACAAGGTGCGAAGGTGGACTTTTTAATAGGATTAAGATTAATAATAATATTTAAAGACAATTATTTCAGTGGATATTTGATTATAAAATTATGCAATTTTCAAGTAACATTCGCAAAAAGAATAATAATTTAAATGAAAATTATTTAGTAGCTTGAAACGTTACTTAAAAACGCTCAAAGTCATTAGAGTTATTTGGTGGCTATATCAGCACTTGAGACCCCCTAAGATTTATGGCGAAATTGCGAAAACAAAACCTTTCAGATATGTTCACATCTAATCACTTGGGCACGACTCATTCAACATTTTTGACAATTTGATGCTTTTTTCGCATTGTTTATGGGAGGGAATGGAAAAAAACCACACTGAAATTGTGATATTAATTTACAATTCGTGTTCAATGTCACAGAAGAACAAACTATCACTCTTAAAAGCTCTCTTTAATATATGTAAATGTTTACAGCAGCAACGTTCATAAGAGAACAAATATTTTTTTAATTAATATTTTCTTTACGCTATAAAAATTAATCTCTGCCAAACCAAACTCGCACGGCGAGAAAAACAAACTGAAACTTTTTTGCTGGTGGTCAATTAATGAAAGCTCTGTAACAGTACTCGCGATCACTTCTATGCTTTCTCTTATTTATATTCTCTTTTTTTCACACTCTTACCGTGAGATCTATAGAACTAGAATACTTTTCAGCTTTACGTTTGCCGCACGACTGAGTGATCCGAACCCAAAAGTTAAGCCTTATATAGAGGCCACTCGTATGGCCAGTAAATTATCAGTTCTCAAAAAAAAAGAGTTAATAGGAGATAATTTTTGGTAAAAATAAGTTTAGAGGTATTTGATAGGTCGTTAAATGTCAGTAATCTCAGTAGTACAAATTTTGACGGATTGCTTTTTAAAGCCTTGGAGAATGGTTTTTTACTTGGTTACCAATATTTTTTATTGTTAATAACACTTCATTTTAAGAAAGTAATATGATTCAGTTACAGTTTTATTTTTTTAAATTTGAATAAAACATACAGATTAGGTTTTATGAAATGATGAAACTACTTTATAGATTATTCTAGAAAGGCAATGATACGAAATCATATAAACATATTTTATTTATTACAAGTAAACAATAAATATTGTGATAGTTATAATAGTGATAGCATCATAGCACAATCCTTGACCAAGGAATAAGTAATATTGGATGAAAAGAAAGCTCTTTACAGAAGTAAAAACTTTTATTTGCTAATAAATATATTATTATTGGGGTTAAATTAAATGGAATTCCAGTGCTATCAGCCGAACGATCGAAAACTCTCTTTCTCTTCTGATTAGGCCCGTGATTTGCCATCCTTTTCTTTCGTTGCACACTGCGCTCTGCCTCCACCTAACAGTCTGTCTCTTTCCAGCTGCTTATCTCACTGCGTTGTGTCATTGCTTCTTATCGGTGCGAGTGAGACATCAGCGGAACTCTTTAAGGGAGTGAGCAGTTGGGAAAACTGCGCGCCTGCTCGAAATACCAGTTGGGGACTTTTCCCATGTGCTCGCATGCAATTTCCAATTGGAATGGGCACTACCGCAGTTGGAGCCACTGGAGGAGTGGAGCCGTTTGGCCGTTTAGCCATGGAGCCACGGAGCTGGAGCCCTGAAGGCGGTTGGAACTTTGTGGAACCTACATGACCAGCACTATTTCGCAGTTTCATACGTTTTTTTGTGAGCGGATCTGCTCAAATTTTGTCCGCAAAGCAGCAGGCGCTCAGCGATGGACAACCAACACTCACTCACTTCGCCGCCGTTCCCCCTTTTATTTGCTTGGGCTGTTTTTTGTCTGTGTGAAAGTGGCGGCAAGAACCGTTCGCGTTGGCGTTAGCGTCGCCGTCAGTGATGTGCGCCCTAACTAAAAACTAGCTAGAAATTCCAATGAAGTAATTGGTATAAAAATGTCAATATAAGTAGTTTTTATGTAAATGCCATATAGCAACTATTGCCTTATTCTAGTAAGCGTATGCTAATACTTAATTTGTTACCTAAATTTGTTGAAATATATTGCTCTTAATTTTGGTAAGCTATGGTTATTTTTCAAAAACATACAAAAGTGCCAATAGTTTGCATATTAAGCATATCAAAATACATGAAATAAAAATTTACATATCAACATAACCATCTATTATATCTTACTGAACTCTACCAATCCTTCAGGTTTTGTCTGTTTTATAGCTGGTAACTCTTGTATACATGTTGGTGGTTTGTTGTTTACATATGTACATATGTATGTAGGTGGCCTGCACTGAAAGTGTTCGCACTTCCTCTTCCCTTGGAGATTTGGCCCAGACACTGCACTTTGCCTAATTGAAAACGAAACGGAAAACCCGAACCAAGTTTTTAGCGCTTTGTGCGAGGGTGGATTTTTTTGTTGTCGTGACGCTGCGTCGTGTATGCTTGTTTGTGTTTTTTTTTTTTGTCGTCCCCCACTACGCTTTATTTTCTTCATGCTTTGTTCTTTTGTTTCGTGGTGATTTTCTTGTGTGCTCCAGCGCTGGCAGAGCGTCGCATATTGTCTGCTTTTCTCATTTTTATGCTTTCCTGTTACCAAAACACGATGCGTCATTTTGACTGACGTAACCGGGAGACAACATTCCAATTGGAGACAGCTGTCTATCAGACGCGACCGTCGTCGTTGTTATCGTTATCGTTCGCAGTGGTTCATTGTTGTTGTTGTCCCGGACGTCGTCGATGGGGCGTTGTCGTTTACCGTTACGTCTGCTGCCGCCGGCATTGCCAGCGCTAAACTGCGGTTTGGTGAACAAGTAAACAGAAAATGATGACAGCAGACAGCCGCTATATGAGAGTGTATGGGGCAAATAGAGAGGAGTGAAAAAGGAAAGAGATGAAGAAGAGTGAAAGGCGCGGAGTAACAGTGAAAAAGTAGCTACGATGAAAGCTGCGAGAGCTGCCTCAAGCAGCCAACGCTCTTGATCCCGAAGCTGCATTAGTTTAACCCGGGGGTACACATATCAAATAGAAATTTTTAGACTCATACATATCATTTGTTTGTGTCGAGATTCTTGAAAAAGAAAACATTAATCGAAAACCAACAATATGTAAAACACGCTTATAGATAATGTTCTGCTTACTTTTATACACCTTTAGAATTTAATTGAAATCAAAATTAGTTTATGTTGGCTGAGTTCTATAACATCTGATTTTTTAAAAATAGTAGTTTGGTGAAGATATGTAGATAGCAATTATATGGCTTTAAATAATTGATGTTTTAAAAAGACAGTTAACAGTTTATGCTATAGGACTGTCATTATATAATATTGTTCCCCCAAAGCGAGTTTTTCCCCCTAACAACAGCGGGTTAAGTCAAAAGTCAAGGGCAAGTTGCAAACACCTAAGCAGCATCCGAAAACATCTCCATTACTGCTTGCGTCGCATTCTGCTTGCTTCATATTTGGCGACAGAGCAGCGGGAATCGCAAATGGCGGGCCGAGCGACAAAGCTGCAAAGCAAAGCGTCGCGCACTCCGCGCAGGCGCCTTCAGACCGCCCAACTCCACTGCCAACAAAGGAAATATTTAAAGAAAGAAAGACAGAAGGGGGTGGAGAAGGTACAACAAAAAAAGTGGCCGAGCGTCACCGATTTTTATAGTGTAGGCTCCCTAAAATTGACGCGCAACATTGAGGCAGGTCCCTCTACGCGATATACGGAACAGGCGACCAGAGACGCCAAGCAACAAGAGAACCTGTCGAAACAGAGAGAGCTAGCAGCCCCCAAGCAAGCAGTGTCTGTGAGTGTGTAGGTGAGCCCCAAATGTATGTATGATGGTGCCTACATACGCCGTCTCTATGTGTGAAACGTGAGAGAGAGCGGGAGAGGAAGCTTCAGTAAGCTCCACTGCGAAAGAGAGGGTACGAGCTCCACTGCTAATGGGAGAGGGACATAGAGAGTTGGAGAGCGTGGGAATTGATGCATTTGAAGTACCTCACGTATGTACTACACTGCCCTCTCCATAAAAGAACGATAAAAAGCAAATATATTTATATAATTCTTAATCCACCTCTTTTAACATTTCAAATGATTGAATAACAAATTGCAAGGTATTGAGTAAAAATTATTTTTTTAAATCCTTCTACATTATTTAAAGGATTTTTTGTCGTTACCCACTGTAGGCAGTCCCCAGTCTCTTCTTAATTTACAATTGTTCCGATGACGTAGCTCCTGCATCTCTGTTGGCTTTGCAACGATGTTAACATTGACTGACGTCAGGCACGGGTCGTAATTTACATGTCTCTGTTGGTTAGTTTTTGTTGTTGCCATATTCACCGTTGTTTACAGCACATGTTAATTATGGGAATGCAAGTGTTTTGTTTTCGCTGCTTTTGCGGTTGGTGAATTGGGAACATGTCCAGGGTCAATGGAAAAGGGGAGGTGATGGGGAAATGGGTCATACATATATTATAGGCTAAAAAAACGGGGCTTTCTTTTGAGATACAAAATATAAGAATAATGTCACTGCTTTTGACAAGCTTATACTCCCTACAAAAATGTTAAAAGCAAGAAGAAAAGATATATGTATTTACATAAAGTAGAAACCAAAACAATAGTAAAAACATTAAAAATATAATTTTATTTAAGAAAACAATATATTGCATTAGAAAAATATATATTGCCATTAGAATGGGACATATTTCAGATTTTAAAGCTTTAAACTACATTTTGAAGAAACTAACTTTCGTTTCTTCTATCCTTTCTATCTCCGGATTCGGTTGGTCTTCTTCGTTAACATCCCCATAGTCATTTTCCTTCATCGATCCACGATCCGTCACTAATGAAATTACTTCCTTAGTTATTTGCATTAAGAGACCTTCAACTTCCGACAATAGAGCGTTAAGTCGGTTGAATATACGGGTAAAGTCTTCATCGGTTGAAAAGACACAACCAGTTACTGAAGCTAGATATGAAATTCTTTTCTGTACGGCTACCAGAGTATCAACGAAATCATCCATTTCGTCTATTGAATTTGAGACTCTCCAGTTCCTGCGAATCAAAAGGTAGCAAGCTTCCAAAATGGCTAAAAACATGGGGCGTCCTATCGGAGAATCAGTTTGGGAGGTTTCACGCTTAAAGAGTAAAGATGCCAAGGAAGAGCCTTCATAGTGGTAGGCACCCGAGGAGTCAGTTGTCATTGGAAAAGTGATTTTGGGAGTGGCACCAGTTATCGCCAACCATCTGGCAGCTGGGCCCACGGATTGTTTCAATAATCGAGCTTCAGCCTTAGCCATGTTCTTCTGGCTCTCACTCTAAATGGTATTAATATGTACATCAATGAATTTATTCTATTTTATTCTATCAAATCATCTCCGATCTCCATTTTTTTTTAAATTTCTCCTTCCGACATTGACTTGTTTTAATGAACTAACAAATTTGTATACTTTTAATGTTTCGATATATATGATTATAAAACAAAAAAGCGAGCTGCAAAGACTACATGACTTAAATTCTAGTGCCAACTTGATAACATTATTTTATATTTCTGGTATTTTAAAAATGTAATTTGATGTATGACATATCGTTTAGTTTGTCGGTCAAAAGCGTGCAAAGAGTAGATAATGATGAAATCTGGATAACATACAATGTAATGGAATTTTGTAATTAATTCAGTCGATTGGCCTTTAGAAATTTCCTATATATAGATGGTACCAGTGATATTTCAGCTCACAACAATGTTTGCAACTTTGCTGATTCTTATTGTCGGCACGGCCAACGTCTTGGCCACCGACTACATCCTTTTGATTGAGGATCCGGAGATATACACGAAGTGCGAAGATGGACCTCCCGGGTCCGTTGGACTCAACGAAGCCTTCGATACAAGCGATATGTCAGCTGACATGGACGAAGATGGTATTCATGTTAAGGGAAATATTATATCAAAATGGAGTTTGCCGCGAACAGATCGAATTTCCGTAAGTTTATTAAAACTTAAGCATTTTAAGTTCTCAACCGAAATCATAATTAAATTATCGTTTAGGCCAGGATGAGTGTCTTTCACTTTAACCGCGGTAACTGGGAGCCGACTGTATTTAACACCCATACCCCGGACTTTTGCTCCTCCATGTTCGATCCGAATCAATTCTGGTTTAAGTACTGGTTCAAATACTTCGAAAACCGCGATGAGATACAAGAGAAATGCCTTGCCACTAAGGATGTGAGTATAGGGTATTTAGTTTTGATACTTTTATATATTTTATATATTTTTAATATTTTTTCAAGACCGTTCTGGTGTATAGTCCGTTTGTTGTGATTCCCCGTCTAAATAACGTCATGGGCCCTCCTCTCACAGGACGCTACAAGGTGGTATTCTTATTCGAGGCATTTGACGAAAAGGGCGAAAGGCGACCCTCATCCGTGTGCTTTGAGGTTACAGGCGAGGCTGAAAAGATAAGAAAGTAATAGCCTTAAAGGAAAGGACAAGAATTTGAAACAAATTTGCTAGAAATATATAAATTGATTAAAAAAATTATTTTATTAAATTGATATACACAATTCTATTGGTAAATTTAAAAATCTGATATTTAATTTCCTTTTCAAGGATTTTTTAGCTTTCAAAATGATGTTGGCTGCCTTACTTTTAAGTTTTAATTATCGACTTGCACTCTACTAGTTTTACTGTAGATCGACCTGTTAAATAAATATATTTATTCTATATTATTATTAAAAGGTTTTTAAGAATAAATCTCAAAATACTGTTTTATCTTTAAATATGTTTGTGTTTTATCCAAAAATATTATTTGGTGGAGTAGTAAAAGATTAAATTAAAATTTCGAAACGTACAGTAACGCACTAAAAAAATAGATGTATTTTTTTTAGTTAATCAGATATCGCTATCAAAGCCATAAATTCTTATTTACATTGCACGAATGCCCTTATACAAGCTTAAAAATACCGCTTAAACGTTTTTTGATTAAATCTGCAATAATAGACAATGTAATGTTAATCCGTAATTAGGAAAAGTAGTTTCCCCATTTTCATTTGCTATATAAGGTCGAATAGACAACCTTTTGTCAGAAAAAAATGTTTGGAATTCTGCTGTTTCTGGCTGTGGACTTTGGCAGCGTTTGGGCAACGGATTACTATTTACTCATTGAGGATCCGGAAGTCTACATGCCGTGTTCCAATGGCCCTCCCGGCTCGATTTCCATATCCGAAGCCTTCGACATGGATAATATGATTTTCGAAATGGAAGAAGATGGTATTCACATATCGGGAAATGCCACCGTCAATTGGAGTGTTCCGCGGACGGATAGGATTTCAGTAGCTATACTCCATTTGAATGAAGAACTACTTAGCTCCATCTGATACCCATTTTAGGCAAGTTTCAAGATAATGCACTTCAACCGCGGCTCCTGGGAACCAACTATAATTAGCCAACTTACTTGGGACTTTTGTGCCGTCTTCTACGACAAGAATCAGTACTGGTACACATATTGGTATCAACACGTTGAAAACTTAGAGGAGTTTAAACAGAAATGCATAGCTACTAAGGGTGTAAGTGTTCGAGTAAATTATGTAGCAAGTTTTAGTGTTAAAATGGTTTTGTATTTCAGACCGTAATGGTGATGAAGCCCTTCATTATGCAATTGCGTTTGAATAATGTCAATGGCGGCACCTTTCGCGGGCGCTACAAGGCCGTGTTCCTCTTCGAAGTTTTTGACCATATGAACAGAAAACGACCGCAATCCTTGTGTTTCGAGATAAAGGGCGATATTGAAAAGGCAACCTAGGAATATATATATTTAAAAATGATATTTGGCCATTAATAAATCAAACCTGTAATCATAAGTTACCTACCGCTTTTTTATTATTATAAATTTAGCCATCAAACAAAATGTTTCTTTATCCCTTTTTGTGTAAAATAAAACTAATATTTAAGGAATATTTATAAATATATACTTAATTATAATTTTCAAAACTAGTTTTAAATTCCTAACTTAAATCATTTTGGTTACAAATTAAACGTGCGTCAGATAAGCTAGTTGCGTGCTTAAAGAGGATTTGCAACTGCATTTCAGATTACACTCATTGTCATGTAAATCCGTAATTAGTTACTCTAATTATTTTTATTGGCATTCGGTATATAAGGAGGAATCAACGATCTGCTGTCAGTCAAAATGATCCGATTTATATGGATTTTAACATCGCTTATAAATAGCTCTTGGGCTACGGACTATACACTAGTCCTGGAAGACTCGGATTTGTATGCGGAATGCACAGAAGGACCTCCTGGGTCGATTGGTCTACGCGAAGCCTTCGACATGAGCAATATAGTGACCGACCTGGAAGAAGATGGTCTGCATTTGTCGGGGAATTGCACAACAGTCTGGGATATACCTCGCACCGATCGAATTGCTGTAAGTTTAAACTATTTTATAAAAGAGATTTTTTATAATGATATACACTTGCAGGCCAGGATGATGGTGATGCAATTTGAGCGAGGTACCTGGACACCAACAGTATTCAGCCTGTATGCATATGACTTTTGTGCCGTCATGTTCGATCCTAATCAATTATGGTTTAAATATTGGTTCAAATACTTTGCAAATCGAGAGGAGATCAAAGAAAAGTGTGTTGGAACGAAAGATGTGGGTTTCTCTTATACCAAATAAGCTATAGATTTCTGAAACTAAAAGATTCTTTACTTTTCAGACCGTTATGGTATATAATCCATTTATATTGAAACTTTATTTGGAGAACGTCATAGGATCTACTTTCCGTGGCCTTTTCAAAGCGGTGGTTACCTTTGAACCATTCGACGAGAATAACATAAAGCGACCTTTTTCCTTATGTTTCGAGGTCAGGGGCACCGCTGAGAAGGTCGATAAGGCCTTATTCTAAGTCTCTAAACGATGAGATTTCAGTGGATATAATTTTTTTTTATTTTAGTAAATTGTAAATTTATGTTGATATATATAATAAAGAAACAAACTTAAACAAAAACAATATTTAATTTTGCGAATTCTAGAAAGATAAAAAACTATTTTAATTGTAATTTTAAGTAGTTAAAAATGTTGTAAAATATTAGGAAGCACATCAATAATTTGACATCTCTAATAATTACGTATATTTTTTCCTAATCATTTATTAAGTTAAGAATTAGTACGACTTGAAAATACCTCAACATCACATTGAACACAAATGGAAAAATGAACAAAACCTCAATCTCCTGAAAGTATAATGAAATGATGATGACGTTGGTTCTACCTTAAACAGCCATAAAATATAGCTAGGAAATAATTTTTATAGCACCAAGTTTATAGCATAGTTATGTAATATATTATTATTAATCAGGCACAGTTCACTTTTCCGCGTGCAAAGAGAACACGAACCGATGCCATCTGTAATATTAATCTGTATTGTAATGTTAATCCATAATTAGCTCTAATTATCACCACCAATCCAAAGGCACTATATAAGGCTGAATCCACGATCTCTTCGCAAAATCAAAAATGTTTGGCTCATTAATGGTTATTTTTTTGAGTGTAACTCAAATTTTGGCCACAGACTACGATGCGCTAATCGAGGATCCTGATATCTACTCACCGTGCACCAATGGTCAACCTGGTTCGGTTTTCATCAATGACGCCTTCAATATGGACAATATGAAGATAGAACTGGATGCTGATGGTATCCATGTATCAGGGAATGGGACTGTCAAATGGAGTTTTCCGGCTACAGATAGGATGGGCGTAAGTCTAAACTTTTTAAAATAAAGTCTTAAAACTCCAAATGATTGCAATTTCAGTTCAGATTTAGTGTAATGAAGTTAAATCGTGGTTCTTGGGAACCGACAGTGTACAACTGGAACGTTCCAGACTTTTGTTCGGTGATGTTTGATGAACAACAATATTATTACAAGTATTGGTGGAAATATATTCGAAATCGCCAGGAAGTTGAAAAGAATTGCCTTAAAGTTAAAGATGTGAGTATGGAGCTCCGTTTGCCATTTGATATCTATAAATTCCTTCAATTTCAGACCATTCTAGAGTTTGAACCTTTCATTATGAATCTGCGCCTAAGCGATGTCAGTGATCCGAACTTAAAGGGAAGCTATAAAGTTGTGGTTGTCTATGAGGCATTCGATGAAAAGGATGTCAAGCGACCCACATCCTTGTGCTTTGAGATAATGTGCACGCTGGAGAAGGTTCAACCGAAATAATTTTGGACTTGCAAATATTCTTTTTATTATTTTAATCATATCAAATGTATACCCATAAAATAATCCCCCTTTTGCATGAATAATACTAATATGTATTAAATAGCAGTCTATGGGAATTCAAATTATTGAAACTGTCAGAAGAATAGGTAAACACATTCCCATTCAACACAACCAGGCACATAAAACATAGAATCGGAAACCCACAATCAACATGTTTCGTATAAAAGGGCAGGAAACGGCTGCACCAACTCCTAGTAAGGATGAACCAAAGAAGTACACGCCACAGCAGTATAGAGAGAAGATCAGTAGCCTGTTTCCGCTTCCTGAGCGGCCGGCACATATGTGCCATGATGAATTCGTGAAGAAGCTCCTGGAACCATATGTCCTTGACACCAAAAGGGAAGTACGCGCCGTTAAGATGATCCAGGATTCCGATAGATCTAGTGATGATCCGAATGATGCTTTTTGGGCCAAGATGTACAAGACCGATTACTCAGCGAGGGCCAGCACATATTTGGCCAGGGCCAGCATGTTACCGGGCATGATTGCCGTCAAGTCAATCCTTAGTCCCCAACAACGCGACTCTGCTGCTTTGACCACCCAAATGTTCAAAGTGCGCTTTGCCAATTTGATATCCGACTTCCGAAATGTGTGCATCATCTACCAGCTGCTGCAGCTTCAGGATATCCTTAATGTTATGCGAGAATACCCACCGAATGGCACTGATCCCAAAGACACCATCTTCAGCTGGTCTTATAAGCAGAACTTAAAGCGTTTCGAACAGCAAACCAATACCGTCTACGTGGACATTCTGGAAAAGAACAAAACTGATGCCACTCTGGATGATCTCAAGTTCTATGTGGACGTGGGGGAACTGATTGGCCTAGTGCAAGCCCTGCTAGACGATGTTGTCAATGATAGAGATCTCTGCGAGCCACATGGCTTCATGGAGCGTCTCAAGTGAGTTCTAGATCTGTCTAGATCTGGGCTTAAAGAATATCACTAGAAATATATAACCTTTACCTACATATATATAGATTTTTAACCCCTTTTTTCAAAATTCCCTAAACAAACATAGTCTCGTTACCATAAAATATCTCAACTGCCCCATAGTATTGCATACTTTAAGGTCTAACCAAAGATTCTCATCATTGGAATCCAATGATTGGATCGAAGATATAAGTAGTTTTAGTCTATAACTAATAATATATCCCTTAGGGACACCCAAGTGGATATCGAAAAACTTATAGCCGAGCCATATGAAACCATAATGGCCAAACATGACGCTTTAGTTCAGGAGAATGAAAAGAAGAATCGGGTTGGCAAGTTCCACAATCCAATGTTGGTGGCCAAACAGAATGCCCTGAACAAAGAGCGTTTCCATATCGATTGTGAGTTTTAAAATATAATAATATTAATTGCTTTAATCCTTTAATCCTTTAATTTAACTTTGTTAATGCACAGACATAAGTCCAATCGAATCCCGCTATAGAATCAATTGGACCCACGACAATGTGGAGCAGGGGCAATATGCTGATTTCCTTCGATGCCAGGTTTGTGCTCATATTCTTACCTGTAGTTATCACAATGATAAATATATCATATTTTTATAAAGGTTCTTACCGAAGAATTGGATAAAATTGAAGAGCTGACCCGCAAGGACTCGAATGTGTGGAAGAGTTGCCATTTGGAGTACGTCACCCTGATTGAACAGTATAAGAATCGCATTGATAAGATCCAGCAGGCCTTCGATGATGATATGGAAACGGCCGAGAATATGTTACAGGCCACCATAAATAGGGTTAGCAAATGCAAAGAGGATCTGAGGATGCACCAAGAGAAAGTGGAGGAGTTCCACAGGAAAATCCAAGTTGTTCGTGATAAGTTGGCAATCGAAGCAGAGAAGGAACGTGCCCGTTTGTCGGCTGTGAGTTATACCTATAAATAACCATACATTTTCCGGAAAAACCAATTTCCTTTTCTGCCATAGGCACGACCTTCGAAGAGAATGTCCAGGATATTGGCCAGACAGAAGGAAGAGAAAAAGGAGGCAGACAAACAGGCCAAATTGGAAAAGAAACTGGCCAAGCAGCAGAAAAAGGCCGAAGCTCAGCAGCAATAACTGAATTAAACCCCCGTAAACATCGATAAATGGATTATAATAAAATATTGTTTGTACATTGAATTTTAGTTTTTATAACTTTTTGCCTACAATAAAATTTATTAATTCCAGAAACTAAATTTGTATATAGATATATGTTGTATATAGTTCTGTAATCTGTTTAAATTTCTTTGCTTGACATAAAATAGTTGTTCTATATAGATCAAATATCTTTCGCCCAAGTTCGGTCTGTCTCTCTATCTTACTTCCTAACACACACACACATTGCCCTGTTTACAGCATTCTTTTTCTTTCGTTCTCACACTAATTTATAGATATACATATACATAACTCTATATACTAGATACATTATATTCAATTTTGTTTGTTTGTTTTCGATTTTGTTTTTGTTTTTGTTTTTTTTTGGAAGAAAAGGGTCCGTGTTTAGAAACTAAAACTTTATACACACACTCCTGGTTTATACACAACGAAATTGGCTCAAGAAAACTGTAACTTAGTTTAGTTAATTAGGCCTAACAAACTAAACAAGTAAATGGCTTACAGTCTAGGAGTAAACTTTAATTATCATAACCAACTAGTTTTGCATAATATCAAAATGAAAACCGCTCACAAAGTTAACACATAAAAAACACATGGTATCTCCTTACATACAATTTGGTTAGGTCTGTTACTAAAAAACTAAAACATTAATCATGCTGAGGATTATAGGATCTTGGGGGGAGTGGTAATCCGTGTGGGCTGCGCTCCTTAATTGTTGGCGTGCGCCGTACGCAGTTTGGCCCTCACATTCAGATACTCGGGATTCACGTACTGCCGCTCCTCGGCCTCCTCCTGATCCTGTTTCTGGGCCGCCGCCTCATGCTTCTGCGCCCGCTCCATGATCACACGGCCGAGTTCACCTTTCAGTCCAGGAATCCCGCCGACTATTTCCGCATCCGGCGAATGTTGCTCGGCGGCAGCATGTCGCTCCTTTTGCTTGTCGTAGGCACGTTGCAGTTCCGATTTTTGATTTAGCACGCTCTTGCCACTAGAAAATATTAGAAAATTACACATTATATTCCTTATAAAAAACTCTAAAAGAAGATCACAACTACTCACACTCTGGCATTGAACTTGAGTTCCCGATGCAGTTCCTTGCGATCCATGTTCTCCATGCAGGGATTGATGAGTTTCTTGGGCAGGATCAGACCATCGGAGTCCGTTTGGACGCCAGTGGGCGTGGCCGGCGGGGAGCTGGTCATGGACATCATCGTTCCGGCCGCGTTCTCAGCCTCCGACAGACTGTGCCTGAATTCTGTATCTGGAAGAAAGATGCAGAGAGTTCAAAGATTAGTGAATGGTTTCGCATTCTTTCCCACTCGTTTACTACACGGCAAGAAACTCTTTTAATTTACAGCCTTTACAGCAACAAAAAAATACCATAAAATATGATAATGCCTGTTTGATCTGCTTTTTTTCTTATCAGAACACTGATAAAAATACCCCACATTTTCTTCAGTGTACCTTTTGGATATTGTCGCCTTGTTTGACTGTGCCAAAGTTTAATTGGCACTTGGCCTTCCCCTCACAAATCAGTTCGGGCCTTAACCACCAAACAATGCCCACGACAACCGCTCGAGACCAGAACCCAAGAGAACCAAACAAAAGACGTCTAAAGCAACGTCGTCTTCGTCGTTTATTAAGGTTAAATATTTCTACCCATTCATGTCATTGTCAATTTGTTATTACAAAAAAAGATAAAAAAGAGCGAAAAAAAGAGCCAACAAACAACAGCTGTAAAACCGTAAAAAAAAATTATGGGAGGCGCAGAGGAACAGAAACTCGATTCAAGTCAGCGGTAAAGTTCTTTCCAAACGACTGTATTCTTCTCGTTCTGGTTCTGCTGTTCATTTCTTTTTTTTTTACATTTTTTACTGAACCGTCACCAGCGATGAACTTCTTTTGTTCACCCATCATATTAACCCACATCGCGGCGAACTAGTTAGTCGCTTCAAGCCCAAAACCTAAACTAGATTAATAGCCGATGATAAGGGACAGAGTGAAAATAAATAAAAATAAAAAAAAGAAAGAAAAAAGCGCTGAAAAGGGCAATGACATGGCTGAAAATGGTCTTCGCAAACTAAGATGAAAATCGCAATGGGCTCAGTTTGGTTACCATTCTTACGAGAATTCGCTGACTGCTGCACTGGGGAACTGTGCCAAAAAGTCACAATCAAAATGGCATTCAATTTGTATAATTCTGTGATAATTTAGCATAAAGCTAAATGGGAACAGCTTAATAAAGTTGGCCCAAAGCCAAAGGGCTAAGATTTAAAAAGTATTGAATTAAACCAAAAACCAAGTTGGAGTTTCCAAAAGTGGGACATCGATTTTTTGAGTTTAAGTAAACTCCGAAGATCAAACACGTAAGTGGGCCAGTTAAGGGTATTACTAAATGAAAAGTAAACAAGAGTAAACAATAATAACAACCTTTTTTTCACATCTCTTCAATCATTAACTCTTTTCTTTCCAATCATTCGCAAAACATAATATAAATTGGCAAAACTAGTTCACACGAGTCTCAGCATTTCTTCGAGAGGGTTAACCAACCTTAATTGGCCTCTCCGCTTGGAGTTCGCATTGGACAATCAATCAATCAATTTCATCAGAGGCATTTCAAACAATTCCACCGAATTATGGTCGATTCAATGGAAAAACATTCAAGATTTTATACAACAAACACAAACTCCTATTTGCCGACTCTAATGGCCATGAAAACGCTAGTCTTCAGTGTTTAACCTTTAACATTTTCAGGCCCTCGGGCTGAAAATATGACAAAACCATCTTTATCAGCCGGACTGCATTATGCTAAACAAGTTGTTCCATATGTGGCTCAATCGGAAATCGCATGCAAATCCGTTGTGATTGATTTTTCTTTGATTTCAAACATAAAATTTGCATTCGCCGACGACTCTGAGCTCGCAATTTGCATTTACATTTGCAGCGATGTCTGGTCTGGGATATTCTGATAGTTTTGCTCGAATTGACCTAATGTAACCATGTAAGGAAATGGGGAAAAACCTTTTTCTCTAATTGGTGTGGAAGCCTACCCTTTGATACCCTTTGCATGAAAGAAAGTGTACCTTTTTCAGTTTTAAGTCTAAAATTGTACTTTAAAGAGTGCATCTAAAACCTCTCATAGGTGTTAAAACACAATAAAAAGTAAATTAGTAGTAGACCATAAATCTAAACAAACTTCCAATTTCGATTACCCAAACTAGCGAGGGTATTTCAATCAGTTCCAGACGGGGCTTCACTTCACTTACTATATAACTTATACGATGTCCATCGTCGTACAACAAGTTTTCACTTGCGCAATCGAGTGGTTTGACTCGCCAGCAGACTCGCCCCACCTTAACCCCTTCAAACCCCAAACACTCTTTTAGAAAAATGTGCCCGACTCGCTTCCATGTGGGTTAATGAGTTGCACATGTGCTATGGGGTTTGGGTGTGAAATTAACTCGAATGAAATAAACGGCGGGTACTCCGGGTAAGGGAACAAAGTCGGAGACACCACAACAACCCACCACCCCCTTCCATACTCGGGCTAATTATATGCAATTTGTTTTCACCGAATGACCGGAGGCGACCCACTCTCTAAGCCACATAAATCAAGACAACATTGCAGTGCATTGTGTACACAATTTATGATATGGCTAGCATAGGGCTCTGGAAAATTATTATCATGTGCGGTCGCCAAACGAAAGTTTTCTTTGAAGACAGCCAAACCATTTAACCCGGTTAAGGGACCAACAAGCCATGACAGCACAGTTAAAGGCAAACCATTGTTATGGGTTGTCAAGGGTTAACTAGCTCAGATCGTTGCGATATCTATCACCAAAGGGCAGGGGAAATTTTCTTGATTTTCAATTCTCGGAATTATGGTTATAGCTCTGTCTAGGAGGTCTAAGAAAACTTGTCAAAGAAATAAAACTTTTCAGAGTTTTCAAATATTTCAAATTCACCTATGGACTTCTTATCAATAAGTCAAACTAAATGAATCCTATTCATCTGTGCCATATAATCCTTTTAAAAGCTTAAGCTAGATTTTCACAGTTTCCAAATGCTTTAGGAATATCCCTGAAGAGTTTTTTAAGATTTTTTCAAACCACAAAATACACAATATACTCATCACAACACCGAAACCTTTGTAGCTGAAAGACAACCTTATCAGACATGTCTCTTACAAATTTTCTACACTTTTACCCACATTTTAGAGGCAGTAGTTAATCATTTTACACCATCGCCGAAAGCCAAGTCGGTGGAAAAGCCAAAACAAAAGGAAATAGACACGATTTCACTGACTGAGAGTAGAAGAGTGTGTGGCTCTTTTGTCTGGCCATAAGAATGGCTTGAATAGAGTGATGAATAAGTGAGCAAATGAATATATTTATTAGGGAATGAATTATTCACGCGGCAGACTTGTGTTCACTCACTTTCAAAGATGGACATGCGGTTCATGATGTTACTTGAGATATTCGGCGTGGGTCGTTGCATTTTGATAACACAGCTTTTTGGCTCATCAAATGGCACTATTGTTATTTACAATTTTTCCTTCTTAGTTTATAAATTTTAAAACTTAACACCACACTTGAAATTTCTTTAAATGCGGAATTTTTTTTTAGTAATTTTTTATAATTTTCAAAGACAAGAAAAAAGAGTGTTGCTACGTTTTGTGATTTATTTTGAACAGCTGAGGTGTTGCTGGTGGTAAGAGTGCTGCAGCTGGTGGCTAATTGTGGCTCACATCTTATTAACACAGTCACTTTCGCTTTCCTCGACGTTCTTATCAACGCAACAAACGGCTAAAAACTGCGAGCCGAGAAGGAAAATGTTGGTAACCGGACCCCTGCAATCGATTGCTGCTGCTGCTGCTGCTGCTGGTGCTGCTGCTGCTGCAACTTTGTGCAGTGCAACGCCAACACGTAACGCGTTTGGCTCGCTATTTTAGGCTTCCTCATTTGCAGCAGCTAACCAAACACGGCAGGGTTGAAAAACGGGGTTGGGTTTATGGGGTGTTGGGGCTGGAATGGGTGTTTTTTTTTCTTAGTTTTATTTTTTTATATGCCGCCGGACTGGCTTATGCAAGCCGAACAAACGACCAAACAACAGCTGACCCAGATATGCATTTTAGCCACGAACGAAACGGCATACTTAGAACACAACATGGCCAGCGGTGAACTAAAGCCAAAACGGATTAAATCCTTCAAAAAGTGAAAGCTCTTTGTGCTCAATCAAACACCCCAACCTCCAAGTGCACATGCTCATATGAGTCTTCTCTATTATCGAATTGTAACTAGTTAGTTAGGTACTAGTCGCACTTTTGAATACCCTTTTTTAAGGACTTCTATTCAATGGTTGAGAGCTCACTTTTAAGGCACTTTCTTCAAAATCAATCCAATATAAATTACTAAAAAAACAACCAACTAAATATTAACTCCATAAAATATTATAAAGTTAAATATTTGTTAAGTACATAGTACTACATTAATAATTATAAATAATATTAGTTAGCACAAGTAATTAAGTTAATATACCAAAAAATACTTTTAATCTAACATTCAAAAACAAAAATTATTACCAAACTTTTCTAAATTTTAAAGGTTTTTCAAAGTAAAGTTTACTAATATTATAACCTCCAAATCACTGCCTTGATTTATGATCCCCCATTCTTTTCAGCGCAATATGTCAGCTGGCGCAAGGATGTTGCATGTTGGATGTGGCATTTGGCAGTGGCAGCTGGGGGTGGTAGCCTTGACCCGACGCCATCGCCCGTCTGCATAAAGGACACACGTGTGCAGGATAACAAAGGAGCCGACAAAGGGGAGGGATAACAGCCTCCTACCGGCAGAAGCTTTTCCGGAAGCTTCACTCTCTCTCTCTCTCCCTCTCGCTGGTTCCATCGTTCTCTTTCTATTTCTGTATATCCATCTCTCGGGAATTTTGTAGGAGCATCGGCAGCCTCCTCCTGGGGAAGAAAATGGAAAATCGACAGCCAAAGGCGAGCGTTTTCCAGCTTCCGTTTCCTGACCGCCTGGTGCTAATTGGCTCCATGGAGAAAATGGCTGCTTCACACGCAACACAAACAAAGTCGCGGCCCCGCCAGCGTCTTTTTTCCCAGCATTATCCGACCCCTTCGTAAGATGGAAGTCTAAGACATGGACCAACTTCTTGGACGGCAGACAATCCAATAAAAAATTGGTCCTTCAGCAGGGGAAGTTGCAGCCACTCCAGTATTTCTCCAGCCGAAAAACGGGGTGGTTGTCACAGGTGGGCGGGTGTTTCGGTGGCCGGAGCTGTGGTGTTAACAAGGGGGCGGAACCGGGAGCCCGCCATTGAGCAACTCTAACTCAAATACTCCGCCTCAAATCAACCGGCGAGCAGAAAATGGCACAAGCTCGATGCCAGACAGGAGCAACAGGAGTCGCCAAACAGGAGCTATGACGTAAGCAACAGGACAAGACAGAGATAGGTAGAATGGTAGTGAGATGTACAGCAAGGAGTGGGCTAGAGATGTTGAATGCTTTTACACAGAGAGAAATGGTTTGTTCTAGTTTTTATCACATTACAAAAAGGTTTTCATTTGAAAAGGCTTTATTTTTAAGAGGTTTTGCAACTGTTCTTAAATTATTTTATTACATTTTTTATTAATTATAATGTTATATTACTTTAAACTACCAATTAAGTTATATCTAACTTGTCATGATAAGTTTTCTCCCTGTGCACAGAGCTTTTGGTTGTCGTGAAAGCTTTTGTCAACCGAACAAGCACTGCATTTTACCTCTCTGTCTAGCGCTGCTTGCCTTCTCCTTCTGTGATGTCATATATTCATCGACCCTTGGGGAACCCTCGCGCTTTCTCACTCACTCTTGCCTGGGGTTTGTGCGAAAAACATCAATAAATAGATTTCCCTGATTTTTCAACAGGATAGCAGAAATGCCAGCAAAAGTCAGCAAACAAACAATCACAAATCGTCACCCAAACCTCCCTCTAACTTAACACCCCCCTAACCCTCCTTCCAATGCATAAATATTCGCCAACAGACATAAAAGCTTTTGGGTATTGTATTTCTAGTAAAGGGGGCTCGTCGCTCGGCTGTCTTTCTTCAGCTGCTGCCTGTGGGTTAATCAGCTGTGCGCTTGTGTAGTCAGGGGTTAAGAGGTTGCCTTGCTAATTTCCACAGGAGTTTTTCATACCTTTCTAGCTAAAAACAAAATAAAAATAAAATTGGGGTTGGTTGTTTACCACAAAGTGAGTATGTTTGTTTGCCTGTTGTAAATATTTAGACAACAAGGCCAGAAATAACAGAAATGGAAACAGGCAAAAACAGTTCAATAAATAAACCAGGCAATTGAGACTTGTGTTTTTGGCTAAAAGCAAATTTGTGTATGATATGGATTTTTGGCCAAAACTTTTATATAGTATCCCCTTGAATGGATTAAAAACTCTTTTTGTGTTTGCAAAATTCTTGAGCTCGTTTATCGCCAACGAAAGAGTGACAAGTTTTCCTCACAACTTTTCAATTTTCTTTTGTGTCCGAACTTGGTTGGCTAGAAACTTAAAAAGATGAAGTTTTTTGTGATTGCTGGGTGGACAGAAAAACCATAAGAAAACTGCTCAAATGAAAAATATTACACTTTTAGGTAAACTAACGAAATGAAATGAAAATGTTAAAGATTTTTATGGTTAACTTTGTTTTAGTAATATTATGTTCTCTTAAGTTTAACTCATTTATGATAAGCAAGTATCTTCTAGCAATCCCCAGTTAAAGTTGCACATTTCTTTAGCTTTCCTTTCATCATTTTCCTGACCTGCCCTTTCTGATCCCTCTCATCTTGGTCACTAAACCCAATTGCTCGATGGGCTCTGTTTCAGTGAAATAAACCCCTATAGCCTTCGGCTCGTTGAGGGCGCGTGTTAGTCATAGAAATTTTATATTTACTATTTATTTGTGTTTGGCACATCGACTTGTGTTTGTCTGCCAACAAATAGCACGCAAGGCTTTTCCTATTAACTAACCACCACGCTCCTCTCCCCTCCCCCCCTTTTCATTTCAATCCCCTCTTTTCTCTTCTTGAAACCTTTTTCCTATTTTTCCTTTAATTTTAATGGCGTGTCAGAATTTATTGGCCACGTTTAGTCGGCCGTTTGAGCCCCACGCCCATCGCTAATTATCCGGCAGGTGAGTCATGAAATTAGCTAATCTGCCACTCCCCCTCTAGCGCCTATTTTTCGCCGTTTTTTTTTGTTGTATTTTGTGGTCAATCACCCAGCGGGAGATGCAACCACAGGAAGTCGTCCAAGTGGCCAAAGGCATTCGGCAATGTAAGTCAGTCATTCCCCAGCTACAAAGTGGCTTACCGGCTTTCACCTGATACGCCTCCCCTCTTAACCGCCCCTCTTAAAACTGTCCACTTCAGTCACTCATTCAGTCATTCATTCAGTCGGTGGCAACCACTAATTTTCCGCGTCGACATCGTTTGTCGTCTTGTACGCGCTTTTAATAACAATTTTCAGTTTAATTTCTTGCATTTTTTTTATATCTTTTTTTATTTTTTTTTTTATTTTTTGGTTTTTTGGCTAAGCAGCTTGACGAGTGGACATAAATAAAAAAAAACCGGTCAAAGTCCAAAAACCGAAAACACTTGGCATTGCGCAATGGGAAAGCCTGAAAAACTAAAACCTGGCAATGGGACACCAAATGCTTACTGGGAATTAAGGGAAAACTTTGTAAAAACTAAAGAAAATAACCCAACCAACCAACTCCCTGAAGTACTGACCTTTCCTTGGAACTCACTTTGGCCCCAAACTGCGAAACATTCCAAGAAATCCAAATCGGAATCGGGGACCAGGCATTAAATGCATTTCTAAATCTAAACAGAGATTTGCTAAATAAACAAACCAACTCAGCAGCCCCAAACACACACATGTGGCATGCCCAATTCAACATTCCGCATTAACAATAACACAAACAATTCAACCGACCCCACACCACAAAAAGAATTTTTCAACAATAAACAGAAAATTTGTTTTTCCCGCGAGCCGAAAGCGTTTATAGTTCGAAAAACTAGAAGGAAATATTGTTTAACAGGGTTCGACTAGGAAATACTTTACGACCTCAAAATTAATCGAACTATTAAATATAATAGTTATATTGATATATTACTATATTATTTAAGCTGTACAAACTCTATAAGTCTAGTAATAAAACCATAAAGTCTTTTTCTTTCTCTAAAAATAATATCACATTAATTCTTCTCTTAATTACGAAATAAAAAATATTAAAAAATAAGTTATTAATAGTCTTATAATTCCATAATTTCATATAACCAACATACCCCTAATAACTAACAAAACCCAGGGTACTAAAGTATGGGGCGCTGAGCAAGTCCATTAAAAGAATTTCGTAATCGAAATCCCGCATCGAGCCAATCAAGCTAAAAATTCTGAACCCATAGCCCATCCACATGCGGGTGCAAAACGCTTATCAGCCGGAATAATAATAGCTTGGACAACAACGAAATCCACATGAAATAAATTTAATAAACATTTTTTATGATTGCTCTTCATTTCACTGCCTTTGTTTCCCGAGCTTTATGGAAATTTGTTAGTTTTTGATGTAGCCAAATAATAATCTCAAGTTTTTTTTTTGCGGGATAAGCGATTATATTTAGGCAAATATTTGGCCATGAACGAGCATTAAAACGCGGACGTCAGTTCAGATAAGATTTGGAGAAATCATAAAATAGTACGTACGAGTATAATATCCACATGGCAAATGTTGAAAACTGTAA